AAGTGTCCCGATCGCAAAGGCACCGCCGATTTCTTGCAAGAGGTCTTACAGAATTGACCCTTATTTTGTTTTTTTTTTATTATTATAAAAGAATATCAATCTGACTCACTTAGTCACTTGCCTTGGTGAACAGGTAACTTCAAGGAAAGACCAAGAGCAATATTGGGCAGACACGACAAAACCATACACATACATTCCCGTCTCCGAATTCTCCAAACGATTTAGAACCTTCCATGTCGGAGCCAATCTTGAAAACGATCTATCTGTCCCTTACGACAGATTCAAATCACATCCAGCTGCTCTCGTCATCAACAAACACTCTGTTCCCAAATCTCAGCTCTTCAAGATCTGTTGGGACAGAGAAGTGCTTCTCATAAGACGCAACGCTTTCTTCTACGTTTTCAAGACCGTTCAGATCATTATAATGGCCTTGATCGCATCGACCGTGTACCTGAGGACGGAGATGGATACAAAGGACGAGAATGACGGAGCCGTCTACATTGGTGCACTGATGTTCTCCATGATCGCTAACATGTTCAATGGATTTGCGGAGCTTTCTTTGATGATTCAAAGACTTCCCGTGTTCTACAAGCAACGAGACCTTTTGTTTCACCCTCCTTGGACCTTTACTCTTCCAACATTTCTCTTAAGCATTCCTATCTCCCTCTTCGAATCCGTTGTTTGGGTCAGCATTACGTATAACTTGATCGGATTTGCTCCCGAACCCACCAGGTGATTATGATTCTTGAAGCAGAATTTTTTTAACTTGTTACATTTTTCTCTAGTGATGTTAGCTCACTCAACTGGTGGTGATTTGAGATGCAAAACATCTATAGAGACTTGACTTCGAGTTCTAGTTCATTAATCAATGCAGTTTACATATCTTGAAAATATTAGTGTTCAATGGATCCAAGTTTCCTAATTATGAAAAACTAAATCTAAAAAAAACAAAATCTTTTGTTTATGGCAGGTTCTTGAAGCATTTATTGGTGATATTTCTGACACAGCAAATGGCTGGTAGTATTTTTCGATTCATTGCGGGAACTTGTAGATCGATGATTCTTGCTAATACCGGAGGATCTCTAGTTATTCTCCTCCTCTTCTTGCTTGGAGGATTCATTGTTCCTAGAGGTTATATATATACAACTTATACATCAAAAAACATTATCAAGCTGATTTTAAGAATTCTACATGTTTTGACGACAATTTAAACTACTTGGTCTTGAATCTTGATGATATATGTTAATAGGTGAGATTCCGATATGGTGGAAATGGGCTTACTGGGTTTCACCAATGGCTTACACTTATGATGCTTTAACTGTCAACGAAATGCTTGCTCCTAGATGGATGGATCAACCGGTAAACAACTGCAACCAACATTTCCACTATAGTTACTAAAATGTCATTAACTTCTTCCTTTTTTTCTCACTTTCTTAAATCCAATTATTGATTAATCAACTCTCTTTTACTTGCATTGCAGTCTTCTGATAATTCCACGAGGTTGGGATTGGCTGTTCTTGGGATTTTCGATGTATTCACGGATCCAAGCTGGTACTGGATCGGGGTAGGAGCCATTCTCGGGTTTACGATTCTCTTTAACGTCCTTGTCACCTTTGCTCTTGCATTCTTAAACCGTAAGGTTCACCTATATTGATTGTTTTTGTTTCTATTAGAATCTGATTTCTACGATAACTTGAGACAAACGTAATACACAGAGAAAAATATACTCAGAGCCAATTGGTTTTTATATGGAAACAAATGAACCTTGATTTTTCTTTTTGTTCCTTCTTCATCACGTTTTCTTGATATCCCAGCACTTGAGAAGCCGCAAGCCATCGTTTCTAAAGAGAATGCTGAGGAAAACAGAGCCGAGAATGGCTCAGAGAGTAGAAGCACTTACGTGAAAAGAGGAATGGTTCTACCTTTTACTCCTTACACAATGTCATTTGACAACGTCAACTACTACGTCGATATGCCTAAGGTAACACCAAAACCAAAACCCTTGTTCCATTAAATGTATTGAAACTGAAACAATATATATTGTTTATTTAACCTTAAAACAACAAACAGGAAATGAAGGAACAAGAAGTTGCGCAGGATAAGCTTCAGCTGCTGAGGGAAGTGACAGGAGTGTTTAGGCCAGGTGTATTAACAGCTCTGATGGGAGTAAGTGGAGCTGGTAAAACCACTTTAATGGATGTTTTGGCTGGTAGAAAGACAGGTGGATACATCGAAGGAGACATCAGGATCTCTGGTTTTCCTAAAAGACAAGATACTTTTGCAAGAATCTCTGGTTACTGTGAACAAAACGATATCCATTCGCCACAAGTCACTGTCAGCGAGTCTCTCATCTACTCTGCTTTCCTTCGTCTCCCAAAAGAAGTCACCAAAGATGAGAAAATGGTATTGCTTCTTCTCGCAATTTCACACCATTATTTTAGATCAAAATCTCAGCCATTGATGACTCACGCATGCACCTAACTTTTGTAGAGATTTGTGGACCAAGTGATGGAGTTAGTAGAGCTAAAGAGTCTAAAAGACGCTATAGTGGGGCTTCCAGGGATCACAGGATTATCAACAGAACAGAGGAAGAGACTTACAATCGCAGTGGAATTAGTGGCGAATCCATCTATAATCTTCATGGATGAGCCGACTTCAGGGCTTGACGCGAGGGCTGCAGCCATTGTTATGAGGACAGTGAGGAACACAGTTGACACAGGAAGAACTGTTGTCTGCACAATCCACCAGCCTAGCATTGATATCTTTGAATCTTTTGATGAACTTCTGCTTATGAAGAGAGGAGGACAAGTGATTTACGCTGGTCCTGTTGGCCGAAACTCCCACAAGATTATCGAATATTTCCAGGTTAGATTCTAAATTTTGATAGGAATAATCTCACATTGAAAATTCCTGATCACTACTCGTTTGTGAAAAACTACAGGCAATTCCTGGAGTTCGGGAAATAAAAGAGAAGTATAATCCGGCGACATGGATGCTAGAAGTGAGCTCAATGGCTGCAGAAGCCAAGCTTAAGATAGATTTTGCTGAGCATTACAAAACATCATCCTTATACCAGTAAGTTAAACATAAGACACAAAAAGTCTAATCAATTCACAAGAGTTTACGACTAAATTACTAGAACTGATCTTGGTGTAGACAAAACAAGAAACTTGTAAAGGAGCTAAGCACACCGCCACAAGATGCAAAAGATTTATATTTCTCTACGCAGTTCTCACAATCATTGTTAGGACAATTCAAATCTTGTCTATGGAAACAGTGGATAACTTACTGGAGAACCCCAGACTACAATCTAGCCAGATTTTTCTTTACATTGGTTGCAGCTCTCATGGTTGGATCAATTTTCTGGAAAGTTGGCACAAAAAGGTTTGTTCAAGGACCTTAAGGCCTGTAAAAAGCTCGTATATGAGTTACTTCATACTTACGTAAACCCTATATCATTTATTGTACGGACAGGGGCAGTGCAAATGATCTTACAAAGGTTATTGGAGCAATGTACGCTGCGGTTTTATTCGTGGGCATAAACAATTCCACATCTGTCCAACCGATCGTAGCCGTGGAACGAACTGTGTTCTATCGAGAAAGAGCTGCTGAAATGTACTCTGCTTTACCCTATGCCCTAGCGCAGGTGAGATTAACCTAGAACCGAGCATACTTACTTGGTGAACAAGAAATCTTATAATGCTAGTAAATTAACTAAATTTTCTTCGTTGGATTCAGGTGGTATGCGAAATACCGTACGTGCTGATCCAAACTACGTATTATACGCTGATTATATACGCAATGTTGTGTTTTGAATGGACATTGGTCAAATTCTTTTGGTTTTATTTCGTATCATTCTTCTCCTTTCTCTACTTCACATACTACGGGATGATGGCTGTCTCCATCACCCCTAACCAGCAAGTCGCAGCTGTTTTCGCTGGAGCTTTCTACGGACTTTTCAACCTCTTCTCCGGTTTTCTCATCCCTAGACCGGTTAGTTTTGGTTACTTTTCTCGCAAGAAAGCTTAAACCCTATAGGGTTTTTTTTCTTCTTTTGATTCTATTGTAAGTTGTTTAACTTTTCCGCAGAGAATTCCGAAATGGTGGATATGGTACTACTGGATCTGTCCAGTAGCTTGGACTGTGTATGGATTGATTGTTTCACAGTACGGTGACGTAGAGGATACGATTAAGGTTCCGGGTATGATGAAAGATCCGACGATAAAGTGGTACATTGAGAACCATTACGGGTACGACCCGAATTTTATGGGCTCAATTGCTGCTGTGTTAGTGGGCTTCACTGTCTTTTTCGCTTTCATGTTTGCCTTCGGCATCAAAATGTTAAATTTCCAACAAAGATAGATGGGTTGATAGTCAAATGCGTTTGTATAATTTTATTTTTTATGGATTGTTAAAGATTGATTATGAAAATGATGGGAGAAAAAGAAAGGATATTATGACAAGGATAATAATTTATTATTTATGATCGTCCAAATCTCAATCACATTTTGTGTCAACCAAAGAACTAAATGTGCTTTAATCATCATTATGATAACATCCATTCCCTTTAAATCTAGACCACTTGATCCATCTCATATTGAAAACGTGTTTCTTCTTATATGTGGATAGATCGCCTCACAAGTGGATTACAAGAAAATGTATAATTTATTACCTTTCATGACAGATTTAGATTATATAATATTATCCTCAACATCTTAAAACAATTATTTGATTATCTTGGTTATCAGAACTGAATTTGTCGGTAACAATTTTTCTATATAAAAAAAAATATCCTAAACAACGAGAGAGATGGAGAGGATTTAAAAAAATTTGTTTGTTATCATGAACGAAAATTTCCAGGTAAGATAAGATAAAATAAAGGGAAAGCTTATAATTAGTAACTTTTAACACGAATTCAACGTACGATCCACCACAATCCTCTCTCGTCTTTCACATCTCAAAATACCCAAATTACCCTTCCTTCTTCTTTCCATAAGAAATCAAAACCAAGTCGTCATCTTTTTTTCTTGTTTGTTTTTCCATGGTTGTAATTACACATCTCTCTTCTATTATCTCTTTCTAATTTTCCTCGAATTTGTGTATACGCAAAACCTGTTTTACAGAGCATTTATTACGAAAAGTGTTTCGCTTTTTTTTGTTTGTTTGTGTCTTTTGCGGATGACTCGTCGGTGTTCGCATTGTAGCAACAATGGGCACAATTCTCGCACGTGTCCTACGCGTGGGGGTGGCACGTGCGGTGGAAACGGAGGTGGTGCAGGAGGAGGATCTTCCTCCTCCGCCGTGAAGCTGTTCGGCGTGCGGTTAACGGATGGTTCGATTATAAAGAAGAGTGCGAGTATGGGCAACCTCTCGGCATTGGCCGTCGCAGCAGCGGCTGCGCACCACCGTTTATCTCCGTCGTCTCCTCTAGCGACGCCGAATCATCACAACGATTCGCCGTTATCGGATCACGCTCGGTACTCTAACCAACATAACGAAGGGTATTTATCCGATGATCTAGCTCATGGTTCTGGCTCCATTCACCGTCGAGGGGAGAGGAAGAGAGGTGAAATAATCATCCTTCGTTTATTGGGTTTCACATTTAATCTATAAAGTATCTGTTTTTTTGTGAAATCTGGGTTCGTGGTTGCAAATCGTTAGCTAAAGTTTTGAACTTTGCAATTGAAACTGTTCTATAGGTCTAGTGTTACCTGTTTCAATCCTTGGTGATGCAAGAGATGATTTTTTTTTCCATGTTTGTGGGAGACTTTATGCTGTTGAATTTGCTATCGGTTATTAGAGAAATCGATTGGGTCTTACCGGTTTGTGAAACTGTTGGGAATAAACCAGATGAAGCTTATTGCAGGACAACAATCTTTACAGTGTTTGATTCTTTTATTTGTCTGTCAAGATGGGGAATCGTTGTTTCGACATTATCTCTTTTGTGGATCAAAGTCTATGGTTATATGTGTTTGAAGTTGAAAGGGTTTAGTGTTCTTACATTCTGATATGGTTTTACATGTAAATTTTGGGCTTACAGGTGTTCCTTGGACCGAGGAGGAACACAGGCTATTCTTAGTCGGTCTTCAGAAACTCGGGAAAGGAGATTGGCGCGGGATTTCAAGAAATTATGTAACTTCAAGAACTCCCACGCAAGTGGCAAGTCATGCTCAAAAGTATTTCATTCGCCATACTTGTTCTAGCCGCAGGAAAAGACGTTCTAGCCTCTTCGACATGGTTACAGATGAAATGGTTAGCTTCATCTCTTCATGATTTGAGTTTATTATATGGAAGACGCTTATATTGAAATATCTCCTCTGTTTTGCCTTCTTTAGGTAACCGAGTCATCGCCAACACAGGAAGACCAAACCATAAACCAGTCCCCTCCAAGCAAGGAACCGGAAAACAAAACCCACCTTCCTTCACTAGAGCTTTCACTTAACAATACTACAGAACCTGAAGCGGTCATAGCCACGGCGACACCACAGGAGAAACCAGAAGAAGCCGTAGAACCATCAATGCTAGTCCAGGGAGGCTTTTTTCCTCCTTGTTTTCCAGTCACTTACACGTTCTGGCTCCCTGCGACTTCCACTTCACTTCACGCAACAGAACATTCTTTAGAAGCTGAGGCTTCTTCTCAGAAACATCAGGTCCTAAAACCAAAACCTGAATTTGCTAAAGAACGTGTAAACATGGACGAGCTGGTCGGCATGTCTCAGCTTCGCATAGGAATGGCGACAAGACATGAAACCGAAGCTTCTCCTTCTCCATCTCCACTATCTCTGAATCTAATAGGGGAGCCCTCAAGGCCATCGGCGTTTCACACTAATGGCTCGGTTAATGGTTCAGATTTGAGTAAAGGCAACAGCGCAATTCAGGCAATCTGAAAAAATCTTGTTGGTGGTTCAAGAATGAAGAAGGAAGGCCCTGACCAGATTAAACCAGAGCATGTTCCTGGTTTTAGACGAAACAAACCAAGGCATAAACCATTAGAGACAGTGGCAGACTCACGAGATGAAGGGATTATACCGGTTGAATTTGGAAAACTGTAATTGTTTCACTAGTAGTTTGTGGCTGATTTGGTCAAAAATTTTTACTATTGACTCTCCTAAAAACGTTTAGCCCTTATCATTGACAACATTAATTCAATTTTCTATTTAAAATGATATTATTTGTGAAACCGATGAGTAATAATTTTTTTTAAAAAAATATACTCCTATGTTTTATGATCATTTTTACTATCATTTTTTAAAAAAAAATTGTTGTCATGTATACACATATACAGTATATCTATAACACGTATAAACCTAAGCCATACTAACTATGATATGAATAAACCTATATATCTACTTTCATAAATGATTTCAATAGTTTGGTACCATGGTTAAATAAAATATGATGAATAATCAAAATTTCATTCTTAAAAATAGTGCATAACAAATATTTTTTTATTTTTAGCCTTTCAAATTTTAATATTAGCTCTGGTTTCATGACCTGGATAAAAATAATATCTGAGTCTGCCGAGAAAAAAAAATACTTGCAAAAAAGAGAAAAAAAACAGAGCAAACTGTAACGACAGACTTACCAAACAGTCAAAAACGTTTCTAAGCATTACGTCATACTTTTTTTTGGGTGTAAATGTTAAGATATATACCATTTTCTGAGTTTCCATGTTACAAGAGTAACTTATTCCTAATCGCCTCATACATTTCTAAGCATCATTTTACATGTCACGGCATACAATATTAGTATATTACCCTTCATTTACTGTCACATCATATTTTTCACTATTTAGAGATTAGACAATAAGATATGTTACAATTTACAAATCAAATATTTATGGCCACCGTTCAACCATTTCTACTGTTAAATGTTCGACTCGAACATTAAATTGGATATAAGCCAAAAAAAAAGAAAAGAAGAGAGTATTTGTTCTTTGGTGTGAAGCTGCTTTCAGCAATGGCAAAGCCCAAATCAAATCAGCAATGAGGACAGAGAGAAGAATCAATGCTGCGTTGGGAATAATTTCAAAGAAAAAGGACCCTAAAGTCGAATTTTGTAAATGATTGCAACTTTGCCCCCCACAAATTCCTAAAAGATATTCCAAACAAGCCACTCTCTAAATAGTAAAATTGTGTGTACATTTCTCTAAATGTTGATCACTTTTAGCTATGTTCCTTTCTTGTGCTTCAATGTACCGTCTCTTTCGCTTCTTGAACGACCAGTACGGAATTTATATCCAGATGTTTTTGTTCTTCTAGTTTATGTTCTCAATAACTTATGTCTAGAGACTACTACACACGGTACGTACTAGAGAGTATCTTGTGGAATGACCGAATGAGAATGGTGGTCTCTAGGGATGATTAAAGGGAATGGTGGTCTCCAGTATTAATAAGTAGCTTATACATCTAATCTAATGTGTTGGCTACCCACTGTGACAGCTATCTATGATATTCTACCTAGAGTTCTAAAATCTCAGTTGATACTTAAAGTGCCCAAAGAATTTTATAACAATGCCAAAATCGTGTTTTTAGAAGGATTCATCACTAAATCTTTCGATCTGCGTCAAACCCTCTGATAAATGCTCATATACTATGTAAACCCATATGTCTATGCGCTTCAACATTCAACAAACCATGCACGAGGTAAATATTCTCAAGCAATCAGTAAACCCAAATCATCAAACCACACTAAGCGACAGCAACAATCTTATTAAGAACAATAATTCGATGCATTTATTAGTTCTTCATCTCTATGAAGGTACTTTTAATTTTGTTTAATTACGTATTTGGAACCAAAAGTAGATGCAATTATGAATGATACGTACTTGTCCCTTTAATAAGAATTATGTGTTCTTTCTTAATTTACAAACTATGACATATGAAAAAAAAAAATCATATGATATGGACAGTCATAAGTTTCTCAGAAAATGGATCATAAATTTACACGATACATTAGTATATAAACAAAATTTGCTTTGGAATTTATTTTAAGTCTATACTATTTGTCTATTTACACTTTTATATAGTATAGTTCGATCTCTACTTAAATCCTAATTAATAAATTGCATATGTCAAACCAGTTCACAAATGACAAACGAAGCTATATTTTCTGTTTAGCATATGAAACTCGTTTTCCTGGTTGTGCAGCCTCATCTTTAACAAACAGTGGCGACCTTCAACCACGTACGACAGCTACTCAAAATTTAGTTGGGATGAGTAAATGAAATTTTGATATTAACATGTTATGTCGGAAGGCGGTCCCCTATGATTTAACGTAAACTCGGCTCTATTTTTCTATTTTACTTTTACGATTATGATTAGTCATTATCGGTCGAATTATTTGGTTTTTAATCATTTCATGGGATTATAGCTTTTTCGGTTTGGGGGGGGGGGGGAATCATGTTCATAATATCAAGGTGTAATTATTCATGAAAATGATAGAGGATACATGTTTAGCATATACTTTATCTAAGGGAATGATAGATGATTGAAGGTAAGGCTTTCAAATATTGTGAAAATTTTGAATTTACATTGTTGAGAAGGAAATTTTAATAGAGTGATCAGCACAATTAAAGAAAATTCTGTTTCCGTGTCGACATTCTATTTTTTTTCACTAGTCATCTTCAATCACGAACCAGTCAACATTGTGCCCTTTACAAATTAAAATACGTAGTTCAAATTAGGTGCTAATAGCTACTTGAAATGACTTTAGTAGCAAAAATTCGCATCATGTAGATCCAACAAAAAAATCTCATGACAACATTCCGAAGAATATCTATCGTTTATTAAATCAATTAATAAAAAATCTATTAATCTTTCAATCATATGGAACAAATAGTGGAACAAGCTAGCCTTCTAAAGCATCACAAGACTGATTTTTTCTTGAATATGGGTCTAAGTTATATTGTTAACCTGGCCTATAGACTATAGTTTAGTAATTTTCTAATAATATATGGAAATTAAATTTCTAAATATTATCCTCCAGCGAGTTGATTATTCATTGGTACACAGATGATGAATAATGAGCTCGTGATACTTACAGTTAGAGAGCCTTAAAGCTTAGAAATATACAAAATATAATAATAAATAATATCTTAAGAAGATTAAAATGATACTGTAGAAATTTACCTTGTTAGATACTTAAATTTTAATCTCGATAATTGACTAAAATCTTGTTAAACAAGTTGCCGATACAGTGATATTAGTAGCCACGCTGCTTTTATGAAGCAATGCTAGAACATCTCGTGAAAAAAAAAATATTTAACACATATTTAAAAATACACAGAAATATCATAAAATCGATCTGTTTATATTATAACTTTATCTTTAAAGTAGATAAAATGTAGAGTATTAACATTTAATATAAATTAACAAAGAGAGTATTAACATTTAGTATAAATTAACAAAGATTTGTTAGATTTAATCACTTGTGTTTTCATGATGTTAAACCTTACAATTTTTGCATGAGTTTTTCTTAAAAATGTTGGTATAATGTATTGCTATTCATGTTACAAGGAAGGTCGGAATTAAGGAGAATAATCGAGATGAGACAGCAAGCAATAATCAAACTGATATTCTAAACCCACTTACACCCAAAAATATGTAGTAGACAAGTCTTGATGTGAAATTGGTTTGGTGGACGGAGGAATAAATAAAGTTGTAAATTTTGTATATAATCAATCTCTCTCTCTTCTGTAATTCGATCTCACGATGCTTGTCTGAGAGAGAAAGAGACAGAGACAGAGAGAGAAGGAACAAATTATGCTGTAATGATAAAAAAGATCTTATGTGTCTTTGTGTCAATCATTTAGATCACACTCGTTATGTGCTCTGCTTTTGGTTCAGTTTTTTCCTTTGTAGATACTAGTGCCTTATTTCCAATAACAGAAATTTATGGTTTATTATTAGTGTATTTTTTGTTGGCCATATGTATCTTATTCTCTCTTCTTTTTTTTGGTCTCGTATCTCATATCCTCCATCAACTTCAAACTTTATCAACTATTATAAAAAAAAAACAAAGTATATAGAAGTATGAACCGCACGCATCCGCACAAGCACTAGTTTTTCCTCGGAACAAGACACCCTCTTACTTGCACACAACTTCAATTTTTTTAACAAACTTCCAGTGTTTGTTTTGCAGCGATCGAAGGGAAAATATATCAAATAGAAACTTCTGATGATACCCTCAACTTGGTTTAGTTTTTTTGTTTGTTTTTTATTTATTTGATGTTTAGTACAAGAAGTTTCTATACAATAAAAAGTGGTATAATTATATATACATAGTTTGAATGTTTTGAGTACAGAAATCACAACCACAAACAAAAATAAGAGAACGATGATAGTAAACAAAACTTGGTGAACACATGTATTAAATAAATATTCAGTAATTAATCGAGACAGAAATGGTCATTTATTGGTTGAGAATATATTTATCTCGAAGTCTATACCTTTTTTTCAGATTATTAGTTTTCTTTTACACTTTCAGAAATATTCTTGTTCCAAATACATCTTATAAGTATATTTTTTTTATTCTTTATAAAAAAGTATATATTTTGCCCCCATTTCCAAAGATGTGCTTCGTATAGTAACAACGTTCAGTGTTTAGGTTCTGTTCGAGATTTACCTGTTTCTATAATGTACATAATTAAATAATGTTATTAATTTATTCGTCATTCATGAGATCCTTTAATTAATTCAGAAGCAATTTATTTATTTTTTTAAATGGCCATTATAATAGATCGATCATCTTCAGTACTTTTTTTTCTTCATAATTAATTGACACATAATTAAGTAACAATCTACTTTGAGTAATCCTCTCCAATCTTTTTTTTGGTAAAATAATCCGCTCATATCTTGAAATCTCATAGTCTAAACTTAAACATACATATTAACTTATATCACGAGATTTTGTTTTTTAAGGGATTATATCACGATACATACCATTCGATATTTCGATACCATTCAAAATATAATTAAATATGTTATATCGAGAAATCCATCCATTTGTCATGGAAATAAGCTGATAATAACGAATACACATTTTTCTTTGTAGTATATAATTCTCATGTTCCCTTACGTTGCAGGTTCCCATCATTTTTATTAATATTCTCTTCTCTTTTCTGCTTTCTCTTTTTTTGATGTAATATGAAATTGATAATTTATATTCTATTTTCCCTTATATATATACCTCGGCTGTCCATCGTTTGGGTATTGCATTGCCATTCGAATTACCTAAGATAACAAAAATAATTAAGAGATAGATTTTCTCACTTATTGGTATCTCAAAAATTTAAACAAAAATGCAGAGGCAAGTGGCACTTATTAAGCAGTCCCTCTTTGATCAGGTTTTTTTTTGGTTTTTCTCACTTGTATTTTTGTAGTATTTTATATTCGTCCTAGTTTTGAGTTTCTTCTAAGAAAAAGAAAATTACTTAAAAGTTCAAATGAAAATGCATGCAGGGATATCTCGACGATCAATTCATGGAACTAGAAGAGCTCCAAGATGATGCAAACCCTAATTTTGTTGAAGAAGTTGCAACATTATACTTCAAAGATTCAGCTCGTTTAATAAATAACATTGACCAAGCTTTGTGGGTACCTTTAGTTTTACATATTTATTCTTCTATTTTTTGCACAAGAATTTGGGGTTGTTGATATACGAGAATTACTTTAACAATGCAGGGAAAGAGGATCATTTGATTTCAATCGGCTGGATAGTTACATGCATCAGTTCAAGGGTAGCAGCACGAGGTCATTTCCCCCCTGAGCTCTAATAATTTGTACTTATAGAAATGCGAATAATTGAGTACTTGAAATGTTGAGTGTAGCTAGCACCCTTAACCAAAAAAAAAAGTAATACAAGCACACTAAAATTTATTCCATTCCTATTCATGATTCAATGACGGAATTTAATTTACTAGACTCGACGTAATTTTGTTTTCGGATTCTAGTTTGTACTGCTATTAAATACTAGAATTGATTAAACGTAATTTATAATGACATAATGTGCATTTTTTTCCTCTTTTGTAGCATTGGTGCGAGTAAGGTGAAAACCGAATGCACTATGTTTAGGGAATACTGCAGAGCTGGAAATACTGAAGGGTACTTTAGTCATTCAACTTATACTTCGTGCTTCTCGTTTTTCATACGTAATAGATAAACTCATGGGATCAAGATTAAAATAAAAAGAATATGGCGTTACTTAAGCAAATCAACTTAACCTTGAAACATTTGCTTTGTTTTTAAATCCCCACGCACTAATTAACATCCTCGGTATTCCGTACATGCGACGAGTGCAGATGCTTGAGGACATTCCAGCAACTGAAGAAAGAGCACGCAACGTTAAGAAAGAAGCTTGAACATTATTTCCAGGCAAGCCAACGATTAATTATGCTTAATGAATCACACAAATTACATATGTGATCACTGATCAGTATCATTAATCAATTTTTGATTTGTTTAACTTATTTAACGAAATTAAATTTTGTCCGAACAGTTGGCAAGACAGGCGGGGCCTAAGGAGACAGCACGTAGGCCAAAGTAAGAGAGAGATAAATGAGGAATCGTCGGCGATTTTTGTAGTAGAAAATACTAGTATAATAAATAGTTCCTGATTGACCAAAAAAAAATAAAAATAAATAGTTCCTGATCAATGTACGTTATAAAGAAGTTATTGGATTTTAATATGATGTATGTTAATAAACGGTCCAAATTTCTCAATGTCTTTTTCCTTATATGGCTAATATTCTCCTTAGAGATTGATTATATTTAAGATTACATCTTATTCGTAGCGATTTGGCTTCCACTAATAACGGCATAAAGAAAATAGTCGATAAAAACAAATAAACAGTGCATTTATCGATTGATTCGATTCGACTTTTACCATGAATAAGACATTACTTTATTTCATTAAATTAGGCACTTCGAAGTACTCTCTACTGCTACTGGTACTGTTTATAAAAGCGTAAAAAACGTAGAAGGATTAGTTAGATGCAAACTATTTAAAGCTAGCTAATGCTATAATTCTTGAATTTTCTATAAGAATCTATTAAAATAACACTTTCCATTTTTCATACGCATGGGGAAAACAAAAACGAAAACAAAAAATCTCGATGCAGAAAAATAAATCATATGTTTTCTTAAATTGGTCCAACATTTGCGTAAAGTATTAGGTTATTTATTTCAAGTTCTTCCGCGTAAAGTATACACTAGATACACAGTAACGCTGACTTTTAGAAGCAGATAGCAGCAATAAATTTCTCTGCCGAAAGAAAAAAAAGGAAAACAGAACAGCCTAATATTACATAACTAGATGTTAGTTCTTGATATTTATGAACTAATTATTTTAATTAAATTCCAAAGCGACGTATAACCACTCTCATTTATTAGCCTAGCAGTAGCTTATATTATCTCACTCACTCTCACAACCTCCATCTTCCTCACTTTAAACACAGGCCAGATCCTATTTATGGCATCCATGTGCACCTTTTTTGCCACTTAAAGGTAAATTCAATACTAAAATTACCTATAAAATTAAATTTGAAAGAACAGGCTGGTTCAATTGTTTCCACGAATCAAAAATAGTTGGAAAAATATTGAATAAGAGAGAGAGAGAGAGAGGGTTGACACAACATTGAAGTAAATTAACTCCTAACCTCTTTGTCTTTGGTGTAAGCTTCTTCTCTCTATGTATATATATAAATCAAAGTACACACCATTCACACATACCAAACCAAGAAAATGGATCATCACACGACGTCGTTTTTGCTTCTCCTCTTGGTCTCTACCTTCTCCATTCTCCAAATTTCGTTTGCCCAAGACGTTCCAACGACTCTTGTTCCTGCAATTATGACATTCGGAGACTCTGTAGTCGATGTCGGAAACAACAACTATCTTCCGACCCTTTTCAGAGCTGATTACCCTCCTTATGGCCGTGATTTTGCTAACCACAAACCCACCGGTCGTTTCTGCAACGGCAAATTAGCCACTGATATTACCGGTAAAAGCTTTTACTTCTATCCCAAGTAATCTTTTGAAGCTGCTTGAAACTGATTCTTTTAGTGTGTGCGTGTGTTTTTCTTTGCTCTCTATAACAGCTGAGACTTTAGGCTTCACTAAGTACCCACCAGCTTATCTAAGTCCAGAAGCTTCAGGCAAGAATCTTCTCATTGGTGCTAATTTCGCTTCTGCAGCTTCAGGTTACGATGACAAAGCCGCTCTTCTCAATGTGAGGAGTCACTGTTACTTTCTTCTTTGATATGTTTTCTTTGTTTTTTTTTTCTTTCTATTCTGACTTCTTTTTTCTTCTTTATTTGTGCAGCATGCGATCCCTTTGTATCAGCAAGTTGAGTACTTCAAGGAATACAAGAGCAAGCTCATAAAAGTTGCAGGAAGCAAAAAATCTGATTCGATCATAAAGGGAGCAATCTATCTCTTAAGCGCAGGAAGCAGTGACTTCGTTCAAAATTATTATGTGAATCCTTTCCTTTACAAAGCCTACACTCCTGATCAGTACGGATCTATGCTTATCGATAACTTCTCTACATTTATTAAGGTAACATGTTATTTTCATTCTCCTTCTCCTTCTCTGTTTCTTTTTCGTTTTGGTTATGCTCTGTTTCCAGTTTCAAAGAGGAGATTGTGACTCTCTGTTAATTGCAGCAAGTGTATGCGGTTGGAGCAAGGAAGATCGGTGTGACTTCTCTTCCTCCAATGGGATGTCTTCCAGCTGCAAGAACCCTTTTCGGTTTCCATGAAAAAGGCTGTGTTTCAAGACTCAACACAGATGCTCAACAATTCAACAAGAAGCTTAACGCAGCTGCTTCAAAGCTTCAGAAGCAATACTCTGGTCTTAAGATTGTTGTCTTCGACATATTCACCCCACTCTATGATCTTGTTCAGTCCCCTGCCAAATCTGGTAATTAAGTCACAACAATGGACTGACATATTATTCTAACATTTCTGGTTGCTGATCTACTTTTAGACAATCCAGCATGACACATATTCATCTTTATTTCCCAACAGGATTCACGGAAGCAACAAAAGGATGTTGTGGAACAGGAACAGTCGAGACAACTTCGCTCTTGTGCAACCCCAAATCGTACGGGACATGCTCCAATGCTACTCAGTATGTGTTCTGGGACAGTGTTCATCCTTCTGAAGCTGCAAATGAGATTCTTGCCACTGCTTTAATCGGACAAGGCTTCTCTCTTCTCGGTTGATCTCTAAGTATTATTTGTCTTTTTCTCTTTGGAAATCGCTGTATCTGTCAAATCTTTGAGTCATACATTTATTTCGCTTTGAATTATATGTATCAAACCACCACCGTTTACTACAAATGAAATTGTTATGATTACTACTTTAAGAAAACCAAAAGTTGCGAACACCTAATACCAGAAACTATACACAACCTCCATCTGCATGTTCATTTGTACAAAAACAAAACGATTAAAAGGCTTTGTGATCTAAATGTCTACAGATCCAAGCTCTAGAGATCTATACCATATGTCTATATGTGATGAGTAAAAACTAATGAAGAGAGAGTTCTACGCAGTGAGAAAGCTCAAGCCAAATGTTAAGCAACTTCAGTTTTTCTCTGCCGTCTTATTTGGTGACAACATCGCCATCAATTCCGCTGATTTTTTTCCAAGTTCTTCCGCAGATGTCTTCGCTTTGGAGCAAGTGGATGCCTTTAAATTTTGGTTACCCTTCTCCTTAAAGACCAATTTCTGTTTAGCACCACCACTCTTGGCAAAGGTATAAACCTGCAGAAATTTATCAACTTAAAGATATAAACTTTCAACTGTGCAAACATTTTGAACTAATTCAACACAAAAAGTCCGGGAGATATGAAAGATTCAGCACATATGTTGTTAATGAAGATGAGAAGAGAAAGAGCATACCGGGTTTCTGTAGACTAGTTGCACTGATCGTCTCTGCTTCAGATGAGCTTGGCCAGCTGGAACCTGAGTTAAAAATGGGAGTGTGAGAGGTCTTAATGCAAAATAATGGTTTCGTGTTTGTTTTGAAGATGCAGATAAATGCTTACATAGGTGGCGATTTTCTGTTGACCCAACATTTGTGGTAACTGAGTTCCCATATAGTAATAAGATGCCCCAATATGGAATGGCTGCAAATAACCATATGAGCTAGGCATAGATGGAGGGACTGGCTGAGCTGGTGCAGGGATTGGCTGAACTGGTGCAGGGACTGGCTGATGAGCTGGTGAAGGGGCAAGAGGAGCTTGCGTGTAATGGCGCTGTTGTACTTGATGATACTGCTGCATCCTCTTGAACCGATCCTCTTTGCGTTCAGCAACTCGAACAACAAGTGATTTTCCATCAACTACAAACCCTGTAAGCAGTAGTAGTAATCAGTATATCATCAGCCTCTTTTCGACGTCAACAAGTGGTTTAGAGGAAAGATAAACTATGTTAGTTTAGTTATAGTTTACCATTGAGCTCTCTTTTAGCCTTTTGGGACTCTTCAAGGTTAGAGTAACCCACGAAGCCGAATCCTTTACATTTGCCATTTTCATGGCGCATCACTTTGGCGGAGACTACTTTCCCACAGCTTCCAAATATTTCTCGCAGCTTTTTTTCGTCGACTGATTCACTCAGGTTCTTCACGTACAGGCTAAACTTGGCAGTAAAGTTGTCCCTGTATTTTTGTTTCAGCATCTCCATCCTTTCAGCTTTTCTCAGAGCCCTTCCAACAAACAATTTCTTGGATCCTAATCGTGAAAGAAATGTTCTAAAATCAGAAACTCTGGTCTAATAACAATGTATGTTCTAAAGTCAGAAACTCTGGTCTAATAACAATGTAATAAGTACTAGGTGCAGACAAAGGCGTAGGGTTACCAAGTTGTTTTCCACAGAGAGATTCCACAGCTTTCTTAGCATTTTCTGGATGGCAGAAGTCAACAAATCCGAAACCTCTAGATCGTCCCATACCATCCCTCATAACCACAACACTAGAGACGGTCCCGTACTGAGAAAACAGTCCATGTAGAACATCCTCTGTGACATCTTCGATTAGATTCTTCACATAAACGTTTGTGAATTCTTGATTTCCTGACATAGCTGATCTTTCATTCCTGTTGACGAACTTGGCTACAAACCTAAGAAAGAAACACACCAAGTAAACAAACAAACATTCAATTAATAAGAAACCGTGCTTTAAGGAAGAAGTATGTACACTTTACAACTTACAGTTTCATGCCATCAACCATAGAGCCATGGAGGGCAGAACGAGCAGCTACAGCAGATTGCTCTGTATTAAACTGAACAAACCCAAAACCTTTACTCTGGCCATTCTCTTCAGCGACTTTGCAAGAAAGTATCGCTCCATAGGGGCTAAACAGACGCTCTAAGCAAATGCTAGTGATCGAGCTGTTGAGATTCTTAACAAAGAGGTTTCCGAAACCACTACGACGACGGTATGCAAGATCTCTCTGAGACCACATCATCCGCATTGCCTTTCCCTTCAAATCGGTGTGGTTTAAGCGAGCCATAGCATTCGATGCTAATCCAGAGAAGCAGCAAGAAACATGAAACAAAGTGATTCATCAATCGCAAGACATGAATACAATTCTGAAGAAAACCTAAATCGGATAATCTGGGAGAAAAGCGAAGAATCGCTAGGTGTTAATCAACACAGAGATGATTAATTTCGAAGACATAAAGAGATAGTATACGAACATGGAAACGGATACACATTTGGGGAAATTTCTAGGGTTCGTACGAGAAATTTGGGATTACATGAAAAAAAAGGGGGAAAAATAGACGAACGAATTGAAACGACTGTATGTACACAAGAACATGAGCGAGTCCGAAATCAGAAACCATAACATGAAACCAAGACACCAAAATCGAAGATTAGAGAGAAGAAATGAGGACGGGGATTTTCTTACCGGTGAAAGGTGAGTCGAAGTTGACGTAAGCGTAGCACATAGATTTTCCGGTGACCGAGTTGCGGCAAAGATGGACGGAGACGGCAGGAACAGTCGTAGAGAACTTGCAGATGAGGTCTTCCTCCGTCACATCGGGACTAAGATCACCGACGTAAAGCGATGCAAAGCTTGAGGAATGCCGGTTTTCTAGCGCCTGCATATCCGATTTCACGAGCGCCATGGTTGTTCGTAAATCTTTCTCTGTAGAAAAAAATAGGACTGAGCAACTTTTTCCAAGAAAGTGAAGAAGAGAGAGAATCTGCAGGAAAAGGAAAAAAAATGGAGAAGACGAGCGAAGTGGAAGAAGCAGAGAGGTCTTTTGTCTTTGTGTGTGTATATATATACACAGTTATGTGTATATATCGTTCCGTTATAACCGTCATGATAGCGAAGTGACCAGCACACACAGACTCGCAGAGTCGGCGGGTACGATTTTTGTACGGAGAGTACACGCGCTGCGAGTATGATTCAGTATAAACTCGCGCTATTTTGTTCATCCCAAATGTCAAGATTACGAGCCCAATTAAAAATGACGTTAAAAAAAAAAATACGAGCCCAATTAAAAATTTATAATTATGAGTGAGATTAACAAAGAGGGTTGAACAGAAAAAAAATGAGACTAAAAATAAGTTATTTTCATTCCTAGCATAATTCCTTTTCATATTTAGGAGCGCATAAATTTTATTAAGAGAACAATTTCAAATGTAGCACCAAATGTATTTTTTCATGAGAGCAGAAATGATAAGTATTTATAACTTTTAATTAAAGTTACATAGATTAAGTTACAAAACAAATAAAATATATGGTGCTGGGCCAGCTGGGGAGAAAAGAATTGGTCCATGTACTTTAGTGAAAATAGCCCACTTACCAAATATTTTTGGGCTTTGCTTTTTAGTTTTGGGTTTGTTACTATTCAGTTTCCAATAAGGCTCATCATGTCATTGCATAAATTATGTGCCTATGGAATTAAAGTGTACTACAGTATACACAAGAATTATGCCAGAAACTCTCTCTCTCTCTCTCTCTCTCTCTCTCTCTTCTTTTTATTTTTGGTTAAGGATAATTTGTACTACAGTTGCTCAAAAAAAAGATAATTTGTACTACAATTGAGAAGATGTGTGAAACAAATAATAGCTCATGTTGTATTCTGAATCATCCGTTTTAAGTTTGAAAGCGGCGGAACATGTAGCAGAAAGTTGATAAATGGTGAAAAAGTTCAAATTATCTAGTAGAAGTTGGAGTTCACTTCGTTACAGATTATTCAGATTTCGAGTTTAATATAAAGTACATATAGTCTCCTATTACTTCTAAATAAATAACATAAACTATCTCTCGTATCTTGATTTTTGTCATCCAATATCATATAGCATATTTAAACAATTCTACTGTTATGTGCATACATTACATAAGTAAATTTGTGCATTAGTGCATACATGCGTTGGGTATCTTGTGGTATTCGATTGTCCATGTTATTACATTGATATTGTATACAACTATAGATCGTAGAAACTTATTTCTTGGTCGGCTGAATCCAATTGCATCATAATTTAAATATCCTCCATATCACGTATTTATTATGCCAGCATTGATGAGGATTATTATTGTAAGTCTGTTCAGTTGAATACTAAATATGAAAACCTTTACATGGAATGGAAGAGTTTTTTTTTTACAGTGGAAGAGTTTTTTTATAGAAATAATATAAAGTACATAATAGTAGACGTTAAGTTGAAAATGGAGGTAGAAAGAAAAATAAAACATTTATTGCTTAGAAAGGGAAAAATATAAAAACGAAAATATGTATCTATTTTTTTTAACCAAGAATGATTCGGATTTTTATCATCTAATTAATTTTCTATAGAGGATTCCTATCAATCACTGATAGATATTTACTTGGTTCACCATGTAAAGTGGACTAATAAATTGGAAGTCAGTTATGCATCTTTCTGAAAAAAATATAGCGAAGTTAAGAGAAAGATAAATGAAAATGGAATTCATAAATAAAAAAGAAATTTTGTCTCTCAAATTAGATTACAATTAGAGTTTTTCTGTTATACGTCGTCGACGCTTGTTTAAATTTCAAGACTCTTGTTCTATTTATATTAAGATTACTAGTAAAATTAGGCATTTAACATATACAGTATTAGTTTTTGTAGAAATCTATATCCAAACTAAAATGATTTTTCGGGTTGAATCTGATTAGAATTGGTTGAGTTGTCGAAATTGGACACCTAGCAATACTATTAATTGCCTCAAAAGCGGGGGTCCCGTTTTATAATTGAGGGCAATGTTACCTTTAATAGCTGATCATTAAGACGAACGTGGCTGTGATTCAGAAAAATAAAGCACTTGGAAATAACGAAACAAAAAATGATAAAAGTATAGTGTTCATAGAAAAAAGAATTATCTGTCTTGACTTTTGAGTAACAACGATATATGATATAAAATGGGGAATGTATATAGTTTTAGTTATAATAGTACATATATAATGAAATTCTCGTAAACTAAATGGAAAAAATCAGAGTAGCTGGCATATATCATTTCCTATATACACTATAGCGAGAATCATTCCTACTATAAGCGTAGCAGTTGAAGTCAAAAGTCAAAAATCATATCAATTAATTTTTTAGTGTCTCGCGGATCACGAGATAATACAGTATTGCAAGAAATATGTCTACGTGTATTTCCATGTGCCAATAAATACGCATGCAATCTCCCAAAATGGATCACGGCACAAAATCATTACTTTCTTCTCAGGTCAGCTTTCTCCACATCTGACATCTCTCTCTATCTGTCTCCCAAACAATGGTAGTTTGTATAGTATTTAATCATAATTGTTACTAAATTAACAATCTCTGTTCGTAATAACAGATTAATTAAAAGAAAGCAAAAGAGATGGCCCAAAAGCTGGAAGCAAAGGGTGGTGAGGCAGGAGAGGCATGGGACGATGGCACATTTGACGGTGTTAGAAAAGTATATGTAGGGCAAGGACAAGATGGTATAGCCTTCGTCAAGTTTGAGTATGTCAATGGTTCTGAAGTGGTTGTTGGAGATGAACGTGGGAAGCAGACATTGCTAGGAGCTGAGGAGGTACTAATATCAATATACATATATTTATGCTAAAAAAGGGTCTTTACTTATTTGTTTTCTTTTTGTTTCCCCATGCAGTTTGAGGTTGATCCAGATGACTACATCGTGTATGTGGAAGGTTACCATGAAAAAGTTTATGGGGTAACCACAGAAATCATCACGGCACTTAAATTCGAGACATATAAAGGCAAAACCTCTCAGCAATTCGGAATGGTCTCAGGGATAAAGTTTGTTCTACAAGGTGGCAAAATCGTTGGGTTTCACGGACGTTCTACCGATGTTCTACACTCCCTTGGAGCCTATATTTCTTTTCCCTCCACTCCTGACTTGCTTGGAAAGTGGGTAAAGGTAGTAATCTCTTATTTTATTTTATTTTCAAACACTGACAATCAAAAATAAGAAAATATTTATGAAGAATAGAGGAATAAGTGAAAAAATAAAAGTTTACTTTATTTAAAACATGCGGGAATCCTGGAATCATTCCTCGTGCAACTAATCAGAATCTAAATCTCTTTAACAGAAGAAACTAACAAAATATTATTAATTTATAAGGTGGAGCAAAAAGGAGACGGTCCAAGGCTAAGATGCTCACATGCCATAGCACAGGTAGGAAACAAGATTTACTCATTTGGTGGCGAGTTCGAACCAAATCAGCCCATAGACAAAGAACTTTACGTCTTTGACCTCGAGACCAGGACTTGGTCCATTTCTCCAGCCACCGGAGACGTTCCCCACCTCTCTTGCTTAGGCGTCTGTATGGTGTCAATTGGTTCAACCCTCTATGTCTTTGGAGGCCGAGACGCTTCCCGACAATACAACGGTTTCTACTCTTTTGACACGACGAAGAACGAGTGGAAACTGCTGACTCCTCTCGAAGAAGGACCCACTCCTCGTAGCTTCCACTCTATGGCAGCCGATGAGAACAACGTTTATGTTTTCGGTGGAGTGAGTGCCACGGAACGGCTCAAAACCCTAGACGCTTACAACATCGTTGATCAGAAGTGGGTGAAGTGTGCTACTCCGGGAGAGTCCTTTAGCATAAGAGGAGGAGCCGGGCTCGAAGTGGTGCAAGGGAAGGTTTGGGTGGTTTATGGATTCAACGGATGTGAAGTAGATGATGTTCATTACTACGATCCCGTTGAAGACAAGTGGACACAAGTAGAAACATTCGGTGAGAAACCTTCCGGGAGGAGCGTGTTCGCTAGTGCAGTTGTTGGGAAACACATTGTGATCTTTGGAGGTGAGATTGCTATGGACCCACAAGCTCACGTGGGTCCAGGAAAGTTGATCGGTGGGACTTTTGCGTTGGATACAGTGACTTTGAAATGGGAGAGGTTGGATAAGTTAGGTGAAGAGACTCCTAATATCAGGGGATGGTCTGCCTCCACAACTGGGACCATTGCTGGTAAGAAAGGGCTGGTTATGCATGGTGGGAAAGCTCAGACCAATGACCGGTTTGATGATCTCTACTTTTACGGGATTGACTCTGCTTAAACGCTTTAATTAAAACGTCGTTTGATGATAATCGTTTGCGATTGTTCGTTTGTGTGTGTGATTCGATAAGAGAAGGTCGTGATCTCATATGATCCTTCCTTCATCAGCGTTGTTAATCCTTTAGATCACTAAGTATGCTTAATAGATTATGAGAACGATTAGAGATGGTTTCGGGGTGAGATTTTCGTATAATAAGAGTGATTTAGTTAAAGGGAAAAAGAAAGTGTCAGCTCGGAAACGTAAGGGATGTTTGCAATGAGATAACATCTGATGTTTCGAACTAAGTCTGGAGTAGATCCAGTTCGGTGCTTTTTATTTCGTTACAGCGAGCTCGGTTGAGAGACAAGTGTATTAAAGTAGAGAGAGAGAGTAATAATTTTCCCGGTCCCCCTCATAAATGATCTACGAGGAGTATTTATAGCGGGAGTTGGGAGACGAGTTTACTCCAAATCGGGGCGACGTGGCAGCTTCAGCGCATCTCGCGGGTATGGCGTCTGGAGCCGCACGTCCGAACCACTCCGCGGCGTGTGATGATGGTCCTTCGCCGAGCTTCTTACGTGCTTAGGTCACTGTAGACGAACTGCCCCTACACGTGTCAGGTTCTGCTCGGCTCCGCGCACTGTAGATCGGCGTCACAATGATAACGATTTGGCGGGACCATGCTGACCGGGCTCGTTGACTTTGGCTGGGTTTCTGTTGACTTAGTCTGTGGGCTTTATTGTCCAAGATGGGCCTAGCTAATTGGGGGTGCTAAGCCCACCTCCAACAATAGGCCCCCCCAGTTCGGTGTGTGAGAGGTTGTCAAATGCGCTGGACTCGTGGTGTTGATTAGCTTGGCCCGTCTCAGGTCGGTGTTAAGTGGGTTTTAGGGCGAACTCCCTCGTGCTTTAGTATAGGCGGGGAAAGGATGAGGGTTTCCCGCGGAAAACCCCTGAGCTCCCGCGCGTGACCGGCACGCGGGGACATAAAGGGACGTTTATTGCTGCTTTTTATTTCTGCGCGTCTCGAGGAGGGTACCGAAGCGGCGTCATCATTAGGGTTTTGCCAAGTGTCGATCATCCCTCCGATTGATCACTTTTCCCTTCTACTTAAATGCTCTTCCCTTTTTCTTCTTTTCACTTTTGCTTTCACGTGGAAAACAGGAACGAGGAATTATACGAAACATTTCTCCTCTTTGCTCCTTCGATTTCGTTCTTCTTCATTCTCTTTTTCGTTTTCGATTCTTCGCATTCCGTGATGGCAGACATCTTTGATGGGATTTCGGCCGAGTCTCAGACCGAATCTGGGTCTCGTGAGGAGCGTGACAAGATGCTTCCGGAAAGCTCTTCGCCGGCGCCGAGTTCTGAGCATACGGATTCCCCTTCCCGCGCGGAAGATGAGGGGGACGATCTTCCGATCGTCCACCGGGCTAAAGGGAAGGCACCCCAGACCGGGCCATCGAGAGGCGGTGGTAGGCGGCGAGGCGAGCCCGGTGGTCGAGGTGGTGATCCGATTTCGCGACCTCAGAAATCCAAAGTCTCGAAGACTCCTCGGATTTCTTATGCGGACGGGGGGTCGGCGACCTGGAGTAATTCGGAGTCCGTATCGGCGATGATTTCTGGGTGCGGGTTTCCTTCAGACGTCGAAATCCGGATTCTTGCCGAGGATGATCGTCCTTGGCGTCCTCCGACCGGCTTTGTATGCCTGTGTGAGGCTTATTTTACGAAGTGCGGGCTGCGCTTTCCTCTTCCCGACCTGTTTGTCTCGTACTGTCGGAGAAGGGATTTGGCGTTTTCGCAGATCTGCCCGACAACGGTGCAGAATATGATTGTGTTGGTGACTCTGGGGTCGGAGGCTGGTGTCAATGTGACGCTCGACCTTTTCGAGGATATTATCAATCATAAGAACAACCCTGCCATTTCGGGTTCTTATTACGCTTCCTTCAGGCCGGGGTTGAATATCACTTCGAACAAGCCGAGCAAGGTTGGCGATTGGGACCGGAGTTATTTTTTCGTGCGGGCTAAGGAAGCTGCCGGTCTCGTTCCGGGCCGGAAGTACCGATCTGATTGGAATTTTTCTCCTAGTAAGTTGCCGAAGTGAACATTATTGACCGGACTGGCGCCTTCTGTTTTTCCTTACTTTTGTTTTTTTTTTTTTGTAGTTTCGCACCGAGACGGAGTCAAAGTAGGGGACTACGAGCCGCTCCTTGATAAGCTTAGGTCGGTGGAGAGACGCAGGTGGGCGGATTTTTCTGCCGAACGGGTGGCGGTGGCGTTTGCGACGATGGCGTCGGGTAAAGGCCTAACCCTTTCCTCCCTTTTTTTTTTTTTTTTTTTTTTTTTTTTATGAATGGGACTATGTTGCAGGCCGCCCGCGGAATTTTTCTTCAGCCGGTGCTACGTCCTCGACGGCACCGAGGAGGCCGGTTGGTCCGCCGGCGTCGGGTGAGACTCGGTCGGGGCAAGGCGCTGGGACCGCGCCGTCTTTAGCTCGGACGAGGCCGATCGCGCCCCAAAAAGCATCTGTTAGGAGGACGACGTCGGGCGCTGTAGCGGGTGCGTCTTCATCTGTGCCGAGACCGGGCTCCGCGGCGAGGTCGTCCGCTCCAACCCCACGGTCGACGCCGGTTCCGTTAGCTCCGCTGTCGGCTCCGTTGCTTACTCCACCCGCATCTTCGCCGATGTCGACCCCTGCTTTGAGGCCTGGTGAGTTACCGTTTTTTTTTTTGTTTAGCTGGTTACTATGGTGTTGTGGGTTGACGCGTTATTCTCAGGTCGCTCCCGCTTCACAATTCCTTCGTACGCGGCTACGTTTATTCCCACGCCGACCGTCCCGAATTCTGGTGCTTCCGTCGATGAGGAGGCGGAGAACGTTCCTGCGCTGAGGAGGAGGACGGCTGCCGAGAGGGAAAGGGAAGACGGCGTCGTTCCGGATGAGGCATCGAAGAGACGGAGGACTGGGGATGCGGAAGACGCGACGTCCGAGCCGGGGCCGATGCAGCCTGGTGAACAAGAAGGTGGGGTCCCTGGATCTCAAGGGGCTGATTCTCCGGAAGGTAGAGGGGAGCAGGGCGTCGAGGGTACCGCGGTGACCGACCTCGCGGCGGAAGAAAGGGAGGGCGGTGGCGACGGTACTTGGGGCCAACAAGGTCGGGACGATGTTGGTCCCGAGGGCGGGGATGCCGAGATGGACAGGAACGATCTGCCCGGTGGGGGTGATAGTGAGATTGTTTCTCAACCTCATGAGGGTGGGGAGGGCGAGGGTCGGAGGGAGGCAGGGGAGACCGGAGCGCGGGCACCCGGGATGCCCACCAATGAACCGGGTCTGCAGGAGGATAACCGCTTCGACTTTAGCTATCGCGAAGCAGGTCGGAGCATCCACTGCGATAAGCGTCAGTGCGCCGATCTTATCTATGCAGCGTCACATGGGAGGCAGGAACCGTACCGCTCCGTGGAGGACTTGGCTGTATCCGCGAACTTTCAGATCGCTTCGCGGGATTTGATTCGGGTAAGTTCGGGATCTCGCAACTGTATTATTTGTGTTATTCCAGATGATTGAATATATGTATTCTGTGCAGGCCGGAGCTTGTCTGACCGCCATATGCGAGGGCTATGAGAAGCGGCTCGACGATGCTCAAGAAGAGATCGTCAGGTCGGCAAACCAAGTGGTGACTCTCGAGCAGGAGCAGTCCTTGGCGGGGGAGAGGATTCGGGCGCTAGAGCGGGAGCTGGCAGAAGAGAGAGCGCACTCCGCCGCGCTAAGGGAGACCTCGGTTGAGGTGGGAAGGCTCCGATCTGACCTAGAGCAGGAGCAAGCGAAATCGAGGGGGTTGGAGGAGCAGATCTCCATCGCGTCTGAGGCGGCAAGGGAGGCGACCGTACAACGGGATACGCTACGGTCCGAGCTTGATGCGGAGAGGGTGAAGTCTGCCGATCTCGAGGCGCGGGTGACCAGTTCGTCTGACGTGATCAGGATACTCTCTTCGGAGAGGGATCATCATAAGGCTGAGTCCTTGCGGGTATCGGATATGTACATCCGGTTACACGGGAAGGTTAAGGCTGCCCAGGATCATCTCGCCAAGGAGAACGCGCGCATCGCGAATGCGCAAGCGGATAGGAAGCGTAAGTGGCAGGCGAAGATGATCAAGATCCGAGCTCATTTGTCAGGTCGGGAGAAGGAGTCGCCGGTACAGCTTCTTCTGAGCCAGGTGGTGGGGACGCACGAGTGCCTCATGAGGTTGAAGGATGTATATGGATTGACACCGCCTCCGGAAGTCCTAGAGAAGCTGAAAAGTGACGAGGCCGAGTTTAGGGCCCAGCTCGAGAGGATTGATTATCCCGATCTTACTCCGGACGATCTCTGCCTCCCAAATGATGCCCCTCTAGTGATTCGTGCTGAGGCTGCTCTGCCCGTATATGTGGTAGAGAGGACCGGTGCCGAGCAGACGTCAGCTGTTCCCGAGGCGGCGTCGACTTTGTCTTCGATGCCTGGCCAAGGCGTGGAGCCTCCCGTGCCGGACTCCTCGAACCCTGAACCGTCCTCAGGAGGGAGAGGTGGAGCGGCGGAATCGACCCGGCCTTTTCGCGGTCAGTTCGGGACGAACGTGCGGATGCTGAGCCCGGAGGATGCTAGGGACCTGCGTACCGATGAAGCTTGAGCTCTCTCCCCCCCCTTTTGTTTTTTTTTTTTTTTGGGTTGTAGGCCGAGGTGCCAAGATTCTGATGTAGGCCTCGTGCCGTTTGTACATAGAAATTCATTGGAAAATTTAAGTTCTGTTCAATGCGAAATTGAGTTCGGCTTATATGTCAGAAAATGTATTGTGAGTGCGAGTAGCTAGCTCGGCTGAAAACACTTATAGGTTGTGTGTTGCGCGATGCAGATCGGAATCTGGCTAAAGACACTTAATAGTTTGTGTGTCTATAGATGCGAGTCGGAACTCGGCTGAAACACTTTCGTGGTTTGTGTGTTTAGAGATGCGAGTAAGGACTCGGCTATATATGAGCTCGGAAGCCGATTTTTAGAGAAATATTTTTTTTATTAATAATAGCTGTGCCCGGGTTGGGCTGCCTACGTACCCTTCCGAGGAAGGGATCAAGCCAGTCGTAGTTCGGTTATTTTTACATTGGTAGGTTTGGATTTTCGAGGACGGGAGCTTAATGCCGAGATGGGCTTAGTAGTAGAATCGCTTGAGATTGGCCGCGTTCCATGAGCGCAGGATTGCGTCGCCTGCCATTGTGACGAGCTCGTACACTCCGGGCTTGACGATTCTTGCGATGAGGTAGGGGCCTTCCCAGTTGGCTCCGAGCTTGCCCGCGTTTAATTCCGCTGTGTTTTCGAACACTTTTTGCAAAACTAAGTCACCTTCTGTGAAGAATCTGCCTTTGACCTTTTTGTTGTAATACTTGGAGGCGAGCTGTTGGTAATTTTGCATGCGAAGCAATGATTGGTCGCGGTCCTCCTCGGCGAAGTCGAGCTCGCTGCGGATCATGTTGCTGTTGAGGTCGGGGTCTTGTGTGAGCATCGAGCGGCGGATTGTGGGGAGTCCGACCTCCGAGGGGGCCATTGCTTCCATGCCGTGCGACAGACTGAATGGAGTTCGTCTTGTTGCACGCGGAGGCGTGGTTCGATGAGACCAAAGGACTCCATCAAGCTCGTCTACCCAGAGACCTTTTTTTTCGTCTAGCCGTTTTTTGAGGCCGTCTAAGATTGTTTTGTTCGTTGCTTCGGCCTGCCCGTTTCCTTGTGGGTACCTCGGGGTTGACTTGCTCAGCCTGATCTTCCATTTTGCACAGAAGTCTTCGAAAATGATCGACGTGAACTGGGCGCCGTTATCCGTGACGATCTCGTAGGGTAGACCGTGGCGACAGATGATGAACTTCCACACGAACTTGCGGACGTCCTCGGCGGTGATCCGGGCGTAGGATTCGGCCTCGACCCATTTGGTGAAGTAGTCCGTCATGACGAGGAGGAAACGCTTTTGGCGGGATCTTGGCAGCGGTCCCACGATGTCCATGGCCCAACGCATGAATGGGTAGGGCGGTGATGCCGTGGTGAGTAGCTCGGTGGGCGAATGGATCATGGGGCCGTGGCGTTGGCATTTTTCGCACCGGGCTGCGAACTTGTTGCAATCCTCGACCATTGTTGGCCAGTAATGTCCTTGGTTACGGATCCGGAGTGCGAGAGTTCGGCCGGTACAGTGGCTTCCTCCAGCGCCTTCGTGCATCTCCTTCATAACGTCGATTGTTTTGTCTCCGTGGAGACAGCTGAGCAGGGCGCCAGTTTCGCTCCACCGAAATAGGTTTCCGTCGAACTGGAAATACTTGGCGGCTTTCTTTTTTAATCTCCGAGCTGCCCAGCGGTCGTCAGGGACCGTCCCGCTGATGATATATGACAGGATGTCAGGTCGCCAATCTGGTTTGATGGGCTCGGGCGGGGGAGGTGGCAGGTTCTCACCGTCCTGGACATCCTGCTCTTCGATTGGGTCACCGGCGAGAAAATCGTTGATGAGGCAGATCCCCTTCGGGAGCTCTATGCTGGGGGAATCGATGCTCTCCACGGGGATTACTCGGCGCTGAGTGGGATCCGAGGTGGAGGCCAGAGCGGCTAGGGCGTCTGCAGAAGTATTATCCCCTCGGGGGATCTTGGTGAGATGAAATTCGGAGAACTCGGAGGCCAGGTCTTGGACAACCTTGAGATAGGCTTCCATGCGGTCGTTCTTGGCTTCATACTCGCCACTGAATTGGTTTGCGACGAGCTGGGAGTCGCAGTACGCTTGGATTTTCTTGACCCCGATCTCCTTTGCCAGTCGCAGGCCGGCTATCAGGGCCTCGTACTCCGCCTCGTTATTCGATGCCTGGAATGCTAAGCGGAATGACTGCTCTATCACCTCGTGGGTCGGTGATTCCAAGCAGATGCCGACGCCAGAGCCATGCTTTGAGGCCGAACCATCGACGTGAAGGCTCCATTTCTCATCGGGTGCTTCGCCGGTTAGCTCGGGAGCGAGTTCGACGAGGAAATCTGCCAATACTTGGGACTTCGCAGCGGTCCGTCCTCGATAGTCGATGTCGTATTCGCTGAGCTCTACCGCCCACTTCGCCATCCTACCCGACTGGCTCGGGCTGTGAAGGATTGTCCGCAGAGGATGTGTGGTTAGGACGGCGACAGTGTGAGATTGGAAGTAGGGGCGGAGCTTCCGGGCTGCTGTTACGACGGCCAACGCCAGTTTCTCCATGGTCGGGTACCTGCTCTCGGCTCCGTCCAGGGATTTAGAGACGTAGAAAACCGGCTTTTGCTCTCCTCGGTCCTCTCGAACCAGGACACCGCTTACAGCCGAGGTGGACACGGCGATGTACAGGTACAAGGTTTCTCCGTCTTCGGGCTTGGCCAGGACGGGTGGAGTTGAGAGGTATTCTTTCAGTTGCTGAAATGCCAGCTCGCACTTGTCGTCCCATTCGAACTTTTTGTTTCCTCGGAGTAGTTGATAGAAGGGGAGACATTTATCGGTGGATCGCGAGATAAATCGATTGAGGGCGGCAATTCTTCCGGTGAGACGCTGGACTTCACGGGTGCTTTTTGGTGACTGCAGTTTGAGGACGGCTTGGATTTGCTTCGGGTTTGCCTCTATCCCGCGCTGGGTGACCACGTAACCGAGAAATTCTCCTGAGGTGACACCGAAAGTGCACTTCGCGGGGTTGAGCTTCATGCCGTACTCGTTCAGAGTTTTGAAACACGTTTTTAGATGATCGACGTGATCACCAGCCACCATGGATTTAACGAGCATGTCGTCTATATACACCTCCATTGTGCGTCCGAGCTGGTCGGCGAACATCTTGTTCACGAGGCGCTGATAGGTGGCTCCGGCGTTTTTGAGCCCAAACGGCATGACCTTGTAGCAGTAGGTTCCACGGTCCGTGATGAATGCCGTCTTCTCCCTATCGTCGGGGTGCATGAAGATTTGATTGTAGCCCGAGAAGGCGTCCATGAAAGAGAGTAGCTCGTTCCCTGCAGTCGCCTCGACGACCTGGTCGATTCTTGGAAGGGGGAAGCAGTCCTTCGGGCAGGCCTTGTTGAGGTCGGTGAAGTCCACGCAGACTCTCCACTTGCCGTTTTTCTTTTTTACCACGACCGGGTTTGCGAGCCAATCCGGATATTTCACCTCTGTGATATTCCCGGCTGCCGTTAACCTATCCACCTCGTCATTCACGGCTTGAGCGCGCTCGGCGCCTAACTTTCGCCTCTTCTGCTTGATAGGCCGGAAGGTCGGGTCGACATTCAGTTCGTGGCTGCATATGGCCGGGTTGATGCCGGGCATGTCGCTGGTTGACCAGGCGAAGCTCGAGACGTTCTGCTTGAGGAACCCGATGAGCTCGGTCTTGATGCTTTCTTTCAGGTCGGCTCCGATGCCGACGCAGCGGTCGCTGTGACCGGGGTCGATGTTGACCTGGACAACGAGATCTCGGAGAGGATGATCTGCTTGGCTCGGTTCCCCTGGGAGCTCGGGTCCTACGATGTTGCAGGCAGGGACTCCGTTGCGGCTTACTGTGGCGCAGAGCTGAGTGCGGGCGGCGTTGCGGAGCTTATGTTCGATAATGAAGCATGAGCGCGAGATCCTTTGGTCGCTCCGGACTGTGAATGTGCCGGCCTGGTTGGGGAACTTGAGGCACTGGTGGTAGGTCGAGGTGACCGCCTTCATCGAATGCAGCCAAGGAGTACCGAGGATGATGTTGTATATGGCTGGACGGTCGACGACGGTGAATTTGACTATTTTTGTCACCCGACCTACGTAGACCGGCAGCTTGATCGTCCCTATCGATGTGATTGTATCTCCTGCGAAGCCGGTCAGGGGAGTGAGGGTTGGCTTCATCTCCACGCCGTGTAGGTCCATCTTCTTGAGGGCTTCTTTGAAGATGAGATCTACCGAGCTGCCCGTATCGACAAGGACCCGAGTCACGTCGCAATCTGCTACGCGAATTTGGATGACGAGGGGGTCGTTGTGAGGTTGGTCGACTCCCTCGGCGTCTTCCTCGGAGAACGTTATTCCCCTACCGCTTGTGTCTTGAGCGTTGGTTACTCTGATCTTTGCCACCCACCTCTCTGTCGGGGTGGACTTCCGCTCGTGGACTTTTATCGAGCGAACCGAGTCGTTGCAGGACAGGAGACCGCCCATGATCATTCCGATCATTGTCCGAGCCGGCGGTGGGGACGCCTGTCTCTGAGGTGCGGCCTGCTGTTGCCGTTGTTGCTGAACGGGCTGGACCCTATCGTTCTCGCGAGATGGGGAGCGCTGGCGGCGATTATCTTGTTGAACTCGGTTGTCTTGACGACGCTGGTTATCATTACGACCTCGGCCGCGCGGCTGCTGCTGGTCGGGGACTCTAATTCCCCCCTTTTGGTACTGAGCGAGGAGAGCTTCTTGAAGTTTGCGGCACTGCTCGGTTGCGTGCCCCTTCAGTTGGTGATACTCGCAGAACGCCTGGTTGTCTCTGGTAGCAGGAGCGGCGGCTCGCTCTTGGACGACCTGAGCCGGGGGCGGCGACTGGACCGGCGGCGGTGCCTCGATGGTGCGATACCATTTGTTAGATGGGAGAGGCTGCTGGTAATACTGCTGCGATGAGCTGGGTGCGGCCATCCCAGGTCGGTTGTACTGCGTATCGACTGCACAGTGGGGGCTGTCTACGCGGAAGACGGCTGCAGCTTCTTCGACGGGACACGAGGTCGGCGCGTTGCTGATGAGAAAAGTTGCGGCCTGCCTGCCCCTATATTCCTCATCGTAGTGCTGGCGGGGTTCGTGGTATTCGTCCTGAGCCCTTTCCTTTTGAGGTGGATTTTTCTGGGAAGCGAGCTTCCTAAGACTTGCCCTCTCCTCCTCGACTTCAATATGCAGCCCGGCGCGGTGTAATGCGTCTTCCAGAGTGTGCGGCGCGTTGAGCTTGAGTTCGTCCTTGAAAGCCGAGTCGAAGTGGAGGGCTTTCCTCAGGGCTGGGATGGCGGACTCGTCCGACACTGAGGCGCGGGAGGCCGTCGCTTTGAAGCGTTCGATGAACGACCGGAGGGATTCTTTCGGTCCCTGGCTCAAGGCCCAGAGATCGGCAGTTGAAGCAGAACGCTGGATAAATATGGAGTAATGTTTGAGGAAAGCGGTCGAGAGCGCTTTGAAGCTATCGATCAAGTGCGTCTCCAGCCTGGAGAACCAAGTCAGGGCGGGGCCGACCAGGTTTTCCACGAAGAGTTGACAGTGTCCGGCCTCCCGCTCTTCGGGCGTGAAGTGAGCTCGTCCCATGGCGATGGTGAATGCCGTTAGATACTGCGTGGGATCGGTATCTCCGGCGTAAGGTGGGAGCTTCACTTTGCTGACGTGGCGGAAAGGGGTGGAGGCGATTCGGTGCGTGAACGGTGTGTTTTGCGTCTCCTGCAGGACACGATCTATTTCTGGGGCCGAGCTCGTGGCTCGATGGACCTTGGAGTTCATTTCGCGAATTTTTGCCTTGATGGCCTCGATCTCCGCGTCGCGGTCTCTCTCTGCGGCCATGTGTCGGAACGCCTCCGGGCTGGAATGCAGAGGGCGCATTTCGGCCGAGCGATTTGCCAATTGGGTGGATCTCCGACTTGGTCCGGCTGACTCGGTTGGGGAGTCACCGAAGAGGTTCCTTTGCAGGAGTAGCACTTCTGAGCGGTGAGCTTCCTCGAGGTCGCGCTCAACCGAGGACCCGGGATTCTCTGGTTGGTTTGTGTGGGCTCCGCGCCCTGCCGTGAGCTCGGCAAACCTTCGGTCAGTTTGGCGGGTCATCTCGTCCATTCGGTCGAGCAAGGAATGGAGCAGAGGAGCCAGGGCGTGATCTCCGGCTGCCGGAGTGGTCCTTTCGGCTGGGGCCTGCAGGATGACATGTCTCGGACTCGCGGGTAATGCTATTGCCTCCGGGATTTGATGGGGAGCGCTGCTTTCCAGCTCGGACTCCAAGGGGAGCGGCGGTGCTGGTAGCTGCGGTGCAGGCATTCCGGTCTCTGTTGGTACGGCGGCTTCCTTAGGGTTGACAACCGACGAAGGCGACGTGAGTGCTGCGGGTGTCGTGGTTGTCGACTTGGCTGTCGCTGGTGATGATTTTGACATTCCTGATGTTGAGGGCGGTGTTCCTGCCATTTCCAAATCTTCCTTGTGCGTGTAGAAAATCTCTAAACTTCCCCCTCCTTCTAGCGCCAATTGTTAATCCTTTAGATCACTAAGTATGCTTAATAGATTATGAGAACGATTAGAGATGGTTTCGGGGTGAGATTTTCGTATAATAAGAGTGATTTAGTTAAAGGGAAAAAGAAAGTGTCAGCTCGGAAACGTAAGGGATGTTTGCAATGAGATAACAACTGATGTTTCGAACTAAGTCTGGAGTAGATCCAGTTCGGTGCTTTTTATTTCGTTACAGCGAGCTCGGTTGAGAGACAAGTGTATTAAAGTAGAGAGAGAGAGTAATAATTTTCCCGGTCCCCCTCATAAATGATCTACGAGGAGTATTTATAGCGGGAGTTGGGAGACGAGTTTACTCCAAATCGGGGCGACGTGGCAGCTTCAGCGCATCTCGCGGGTATGGCGTCTGGAGCCGCACGTCCGAACCACTCCGCGGCGTGTGATGATGGTCTTTCGCCGAGCTACTTACGTGCTTAGGTCACTGTAGACGAACTGCCCCTACACGTGTCAGGTTCTGCTCGGCTCCGCGCACTGTAGATCGGCGTCGCAATGATAACGATTTGGCGGGACCATGCTGACCGGGCTCGTTGACTTTGGCTGGGTTTCTGTTGACTTAGTCTGTGGGTTTTATTGTCCAAGATGGGCCTAGCTAATTGGGGGTGCTAAGCCCACCTCCAACAAGTGTGTCTGTTTTTTTTTTTTTTTTTTCGTTTTTTTCTGTGTTTTCTCATGGTTCATGTTTAAAACATAAATTGCTTGTAGACAAAAAAAACAATAAATTGCTTATTTCTTTCAAGGAATCACCTGATAAAAAAAAGACAGACAACTAGACAAGAACGGAGAGTCATAGCTTTAGCTTAATTAAATGAACAACGATGGGATGTGCTCCGATAACGCGTTTACGATTCATAAATAAAATCAATTGTATATACGCGAAAGCGACACTAATCCTACTCCGGGCGGTTGAGAAGTGATAAAACCCTTAACATAAAAAAACAATTAAAAACCCCTTTAAATAAACTAGAGAATTCTCCTTTTTAAAAAATTGGACACTTGGCCAAAACGAACGAAAAGGTAGACATATTTGCAAGACTTATTTTTAATTTCATGACTTATTTTTAATTACATGGCTTATTTTGGTGTAACACAAACTCAACCCAAAATTATAAATTATCCTGGTATTTCCAAAATAAATGCATCTCGAAACACAAAAATGTTGTGGGAAACTGTTGCCAAAAAAAATGTATGTAAAATTAACTCAAACCCTAATTTCAATTTTCAACTAACACGATGGATCATATGAATCACGTTGGGACTTGGGCTTTCTTTCACTATAATCGTATATAAAAGAGTTTTTCTATCAAAGATCCTCACATATCCAAAAAAATAAAATAAAGAATATACCTCCAGGGTTACCCTAAAAGTTTGACGGTTGGCACATCAAATTTCACGTGTTGAAGGTTTAGAGAGATTCAATGTTTCCTTATAATCGAGTATAATTAATAAGATTTGTCTCTATCAAAGGTGATCACATATTTTGTATATATATAAAACAAGTACAATTATACAACCATGCTTACCTAAAGGAATCAACTTCTATAACATTGTGAACTTCTTAATTTGGAAACAAATGATCTGACAAAGTCTCTACTGATTAGAATCTTACAGGAAACATATATTCTATAGTTTTAAGATGGGAGAACACGAAAAACCAATGAGAATATGGATGTGTTCTTGAAACTGGTTTAAGATGTTGCAAGTTTGAATGTTAATAACACTTACTCTCTGTCTTTGTTACTTCTCTACGATTATAATAACCGGCTACAAAGTCATAGTCTATTTCATAGGTACATAAAAGTCACAACAAACACAACCATCCAATCGTATCTATTTTTCTGTCAATATATATGCCTTCGTGTTTTTTTTTTTTTTTGGGTGATGGTGTTTTTATTCTCTAATCAAACGAACACACAAAAATCATGAAGAGAAAATTCTTGACTGGTGTGTGGAAGTAAAACCCATGCATTCATTTGTTCGCGACGACTTCGTACTTGCGTGAAGTATTTAGGTAAGTCATGCCATTCTTTGCTTTGTCACTTACTCATAATGTCACAAGTCACGACATATCTTAGCTGTTTGGTAACTACTTATCTTTTTTTTTTTTCAGTACTCTTCTATGTTACCAAATTAAATGCCCTGCACTGGTAAAATTAGTTACACCTTGCAAAAAGTATTTTCTTCATAGATTTACTATTTACTGTATTTATCAAAAACACTAAAATAAAAGGTTGAAAAGCAGAGAAATTAAAATAGAATCTTGTAATCTCTTAAAATCATATTTTATTTTATAAAATTTTCAAAGATTATCTAATTAAATAGTCATTTACTAAAATATTTTTGTAGGATATAGAAGATTACTTTAAAACCAATATTTCATCTTAAACTTAGTGTTGTATAATTGTATTGCTCTACTATGCATTTTTTTTTGTTCTGCCATTTTATTATTTTTACTGTTATAACATGTATGTCATTAGACTCATCACTTTAAGAACACTCTTTTATAGGAAATCTTCATAGGGTATCCATTTGATTTTGATGTTATTTTTTTTCTTATATATTTAATTTCCAATACTTGTAAAAAGATCAACAAGCACACCAAAAAAAAGAAAAAAAACCAGAGGAATATGAGGAGCATTTGTCTCACGTGTACTAATAACGTGTGTAACCAACTTTTTTTTTTTTTAAGGAATGTAACCAATTTCTTGCATCAATTACAACCTAGAATCAGAGCATTCTTTACATTTCTATTTGGTATCTCACAATACAGAAAACTTTCTATTAAATGAAATAATCTCTAAACTTATAGCCCACAACAAATATGGAAAATAATTATTAAAAAAATGTCGTTGTAGTATAGTGATAGAAGAAGAAAACTGATAAGTATACTATAAAAAAGTTTCCCAAAAAAAAAGAATGAAAAAAAAGAAAGTAAAATATGCATCAATGTAATAATAGTAAAAGAAAAATCATCGTAGTAAAAGAAAACCAATATTGGGTTTGGTCCGTACTAGAGACTAGTAGAGAGTGTCAATATATATATACATATGTATATCCCCAACACTCATGCATCACTTCTCTTACTTGAATCAGAGCTAAGAAATCCTGAGCTTGCAAATATCTTTCTACCAATTTAATTTCTCCCACTTTTAATTTTCTTATTTTTCTTAAGTCTCTCGGATCTACTATATCAGTGATTATTTGTCTCTATAAACTTACGTAAATCAACAATCTCAAAGAGCTTGTAAATTTCGCGCCCTTGTTATTATCGTTTAAAAAAATATATTTAGTTTCCGCCCAAATGATTTAGACATTTAGTAGCATTTAGTAGTATGCACAACATAAATGTTTAAACCTTTTTTCTCGTTGCGATAGAACATTTTAGAGATAATAAAATTGTATTGAAAGTTAAGGTTTAATTGTAAATTTTATTGAAAGTTGCAGGAAAAAATGTCGCAGAAAGTGGGACCTTTTGGTGGTAACAAGGGAGATGCATTCGACGATGGTGTTTTTGGTTACAAAGGTGTGAAGAAAGTGATTGTTGGGGAAAATCAAAACGGCGTCGACTGTATCAAAATTGAATACGAGAAAGACGGAACATTCGAGACACAAATGCACGGAAGTGTAACCGGAATACTCAAAGAGGTTCAAACATATATTACTCTGCATAATCATCTTGTTTAACATCCTCTGTTTTTATGTTGCTCTGTTTTAACTGCTCTGTTTTTTCTTTTTCCTTTTGTTGGGTTCCAGTTTGAGCTTAACTATCCAGACGAATATATCACATCAATTCAGGGAACCTATAGCGATGTTGCGAGATACAACACAACTATCGTGAAGACACTTACCTTCAAGACATCACACGGTAGAACATCTCCCACATTTGGTAAGCCAGCTTTCTTCCACACAGATTTTGTGGTGGAAGGTAAAGGTGGAGCAAAGCTTATCGGTTTCCATGGAAGGTCTGGTTCTGCTCTTGATTCCATAGGAGCTCACTTTTTTGCGTCTTCTTCTCCTCTAAAGCAATTAGAACCTCATGGTGGAGCCGGAGCTGCGTGGGATGATGGCGTTTACGATGGTGTAAGCAAAATCTTCGTTGGACTTAGCAGTGGCAACATAGGCTATGTTAAGTTCGAGTATGTTAAAGGAACCACATCGGTAATGCATTCTCATGGCAAGATTAGTGAAGAACCAAAAGAGGTAATTAGTAATATCTACAAATTAGCTTTTTGCTCAAGCTTTTACCTTTTTTTATGAGAATGCTTATGAGTTTGTTTCGCAGTTTAAGGTGGATTCTCCAAGTGAATACATTACATCAGTGGAAGGGACTTATAGTATTTGTGGTGATGTCACCTCGCTAACTTTCAAAACATCAAAGGGAAGAAACTCTCCTGTATTTGGAAGAGTCTCTGGTTCGAAATTTATCCTAGCAGTGAAAGATCACATGCTTGTCGGATTCCGTGGACGGAACGGTGTTCTTCTCAATGGCCTCGCAGCACTCGGAGCACATTTTGCGCCAGTTCCTGTGCCTGTCCCGGCTAAAAAACTAGAAGCAAAAGGCGGAAATGGAGGAGCTGCGTGGGATGATGGTTTCTATGAAGATGTGAGGAAGATATATGTGGGACAAGGTGATTCTGGTGTGGCTTTTGTCAAGTTTGAGTATGACAGTGGCAAAAAGCTTATATCTGGAGATGGTCATGGGAAGAAGTCACTTCTTGGAACAGAGGAGGTTCGTGCTCTGTTCTCTAGTTGACCAAATAACGTTTTCTTGAGATCCAAGTTTGACGGGTCTTTGTTTTCTCTTTTTGTTGCAGTTTGAGCTCGACTCTCTAAATGAGTACATCGTATCAGTGGAGGGATGTTACGAGAAAGTTTGGGTATGAATCTGAAGTTGTGACGATGCTTAGGTTCAAGACAAACAAACGTACATCTCCACCGTTTGGGCTCGATGGAGGCACAACGTTTGTGTTGGAGATGAAAGATCATAAGATCGTCGGATTCCATGGTAAAGCTGGAGATATGGTTCATCAAGTTGGTGTTCATGTCTCTCCAATCACCAAGTCTTAAGCTTTGAGAGCTCCTCTGCTTCTAGTCCCTTTTAACTATGTGACTATGTTGTTTAAGAATAGTTTGTCCTTTACTCCTGTCTCTTTGAATAAAGTATCGTTTGTGTTGGTGTTTGGATACTCTGTCGTCTCCAGTGACCTGTCCTAATCACGAAATGTGATCTTTGTCTTAAGGTTACACCCTCTACTTCGAGGTCAGGAGATCAAATGTGATGTTTCTTACTTTCTTTCCAGTGACATCAACTATTCTACTCTCAAAACTACGATAAAAGTACTAATAGTAACACTTTATTTTCTGAACTGAAATAGTAACAGTGTAAACACAAACTAGATGAGCCTTTCGACTTCTAGGTTTAACAAAGATATAGTTTTCTTAAAAAATGTTGCTTTCCGTAGTTATTTTTTCTTTTACAAACGTTCTCAATGATTCCTTTGAGCATATCCTTTTTTAAAAAAAATTTAAGCATTTCTTGGTTTTTCTGTTTTATTTTTATTTATTTGTTTCTGTATTTATTCAACGAAAACTGAGTCTGTTTAATGTTCATTGCTTTGTTGTTGGAGGTTCAAACGAATAAAGTCTTGTTTTGTATGACTTCACTACGTTCTGATTATGGTTGAGTTTTAATATGGTTTTCTTATCGTTATGGTTCGAAGTATCAAAGTCTGCTGTTTGCATCTTTAATTTTCATATCTCAATTTTTATTTTTATTTTGTCTAATTGAAATATAGGGGTTATAGTATGCATGATGATTAGATGATTACAAGGTAAAGTCTTTAATTAACTATATATGTACTTAAAAATTATAAATATGTACCCTAGTAATATTAAATAAGCAATGAGTAGGTAATATTGATTATTGAAATACCAAATAATTATTATTGAAAAAAGTAATGATTATGTGACGCAGTTTTTTGTCAATTATTTTAGATAAATAAGTCACTAAAATGACCCAACAAAAACATGAGAAATTTGCCAATATAGTGGGTTTTTTCGGTTTTTCCCAAACATACACATATTTTGATGAAAAGTTGTACATGAGTCGGCCGAAAGATATAAGTATAAGATATTTTTAGCTTTTTGGTATAATAATTTAATATGCCTCGTGGAGCACGAAATTATAGATTATTGTTTCGAATCGTACTAATTAATGGCCTGTATGCGGATCTAAGGCTAATTCCAAGAGATCAATAAATTCACATTACATTTCACTTGGATAGATCACCGTCTCTGTTTGAACTTGAAGGTCAGCTCCCTTATCCTCTTATTTCTTATGGTCATATAATAATAACAATTATGCAAATTTTGGTTAATTGTTGAATCATTTCCTTTTGCAATTAAAGGTAACTCATAAGATTGATCAAAAAGCAACAAGAAGATGGCTCAAAAGGTGGAAGCACAAGGAGGGAAAGGAGGAAAACAATGGGACGATGGATCAGAACACGACGCAGTGACCAAGATTCAGGTTGCAGCAGGAGGGAGCGGCATCCAGTACGTTCAGTTCGATTATGTCAAGAACGGTCAAACCGTAGAAGCCCCTCTTCGTGGTGTCAAGGGCCGTAGTATCGCAGCTGATCCGGTTTCTATACTTTTTCCTCAACCCTTGGTCTTCGTTTTTGTTTTTCCGAAGTTTTTGACATGTTGATCTGGAACTCTACATGCAGTTTGTGATTAGCCATCCGGAGGAGCATCTAGTTTCTGTAGAAGGTTGGTATAACCCTGAAGGTCTCATTCAAGGTCTCAAGTTCAAATCAAACAAGAAGACTTCTGAACTCATTGGATACGATGATGGTACTCCATTTACACTCCAAGTTCAAGACAAGAAGATCATTGGCTTTCATGGGTTTGCCGGAGACTATGTCCATTCTCTTGGAGCTTACTTTGCTCCGTTGACTAGTTCAACTCCGTTGACTCTTGCCAAGAAGATACCAGCACTTGGCAGCGATGAAGGAACTGCATGGGACGATGGTGCTCACCAAGGTGTTAAAAAGGTGTATGTCGGTCAAGGCCAGGATGGTGTATCAGCGGTTAAGTTTGAGTATGTCAATGGCTCTCAAGTGGTTGTTGGAGATGAACGTGGAAAGACGACTCTACTCGGATTCGAAGAGGTATTTTTATTTATATATTGCTCATTTTTCATCAAAATTGTGGACTTTCCATTTTATAACCAATTAACTAAATGAATAAGGCAAGTGTGTAATATAGCCCAGGAGTCTATGACCATTTAAAAAAAAAAAAATTACTACTAGACAATTGCCAAAAATATTTTTAACAATATCTTTTAAGAAAGGAGCTCAATTATTTATTTATTTATCCAAAAGCCTTCATTTTTCTTGGACCAGGCCGGATCCTTATTTTCTTTGTATACTAGTTGTTTTCTATCAAGCAGTATTGAATATTTTTGATTGGATTCAATTGCAGTTCGAACTAGACTATCCAAGTGAATACATCACGGCTGTTGATGGCACATTCGATAAAATCTTTGGAAGTGACTCTGCGGTCATCACCATGCTTAGGTTCAAGACTAATAAACGAACATCTAATCCCTTTGGGATGGAAGCTGGCATACCCTTCGAACTCAAAGAGGAAGGCCACAAGATGGTTGGGTTTTATGGGAAAGCCAATGAGGTGCTTCATCAAGTTGGAGCTCATGTCCTACCCGTCACCAACTGACCATGTCATCTTGTCTTTGAATCCATCTAATAAGTTATCTGTCTTATGTGTCTTCTAAAGTTGTCATCTGAAGTTTTTTTTTTTATATATATATGTTTATGTCTCTAGTGTCCTTTGAATAAGTTGTTTTGGTTTTCATGTTTCTGTTTGAAACTAGTTGAGTTTGTTTGTAATCCTATGAATGTGATCTTGTTTTGTTTTAGACGGGTTTATGGTCCAATTTATTGAAAAACTATAGGATAGTTTGTTCCTAGAAGGATTAGGGGCGATAAACACGCAAATTTACAAACTAAAGTTTTGAAGTCTTGAATATTTAATTTTGCGGGCTTAAACTTTAGTACTGGCTAAAAACTAGCCGTATTTTTAGGCCTACATACTTAAGTGAGCTTATAATGAGTTTATTGGCAAAATTGTATTTCTCTTTTACATGTGCTTAGAAATTAAAAGGATGTGTTTTTTTTGGGGGGTGGCTCATTATGGGGATGGGGGTGTTTAATGTTTATCTCTTTAAGTAAGATTATCTCTAATGATATTTTTTTTACTGAGAAATGAATAATTCATTTTTCAATTTTCAAAAAAAATACTTTTTTATTTGTAAAGGAATATTAAATGTTTATAATGTACCCCTCTTAAATAACCCGCGTAGCCAGCACACCACGTCAACGAGTTTAGTGTCGACGTAAACGTCAAAGTTAACGTCTTTTTTTTTTGTCAACAGTTAACGTCTTATAGGAGTATATGTTGTTTCTAACAAGAATTAGTATACGCTTATCCATTTGATATCCTCAATTTGATTAAAGACCGCGATTCACGCGATATTCACGTCACGAGACAAACGAGATACCTACGCACAAATCCTTCTTTGCTACATTCACGCACGCAATGATGTACGCGCGCGAGGTTGTAATATTACAACTCATAATTTTTTTCGCTGTCAACAACGTCTGAGTTCTGAAATGGTTTTATTCATAACTATTTATATATACATATAGTAAAAATGAAACTTCATGGTAAAAAAAAAGAAAGAAAAATCGAAAATCGCATTTTTTTTTTTTCGTATAGAATGAGTTAGTTGAATTTTGTGTGCTTCAACATCCGATGACAGCATTTATTTTTGCTTAAATTCAACTCAATTTGCTTCACATCCACAAGCCACAACAATTTAATACTTTAAATACTCGTGGAGTAAACAAAATAGACTTCTATAAATCTATTACGTAATTAGTGGCCTATATTCCAGGACGTCAATAAATACACATGCAACTCTACGTAAATGAATAACTAGAATCTCTATCTCTATCACCTATCAGGTTATCTGATCCCTCATTCTCTCATCTGATCATACTTATGTAGAATGTATATATGGTTTAAGGCAACTTTATTAATTCGTTGTTATACAGGTAATTTAAGGACTTATTCAAAAGCAAGCAAAAGATGACTCAAAAGGTGGAAGCACAAGGAGGTGTGGGTGGAGATGTATGGGATGACGGTGTTCACGACGGCGTTAGAAAGGTGCACGTAGGCCAAGGCCAAGATGGTGTGTCGTTTATCAACGTTGTATACGAGAAGGATTCTCAGGAGGTGGAAGGAGGTGAACATGGAAAGAAGTCACTACTTGGAATCGAAACGGTAATACACACTATTAAACAGTTTTGCTTCTATTCTTTTTTCTTTTAACAAGTTTTGTTTCCTATCTTGTCTTTGCTAAATAGAACCAGACCAATGCACACCTATTATACGGTCTAGATAAAGATAATCCATTACAACTTCCTTACTCACGAGAGGTTTTATTTAAATTTCTTTTTCAGTTTGAGGTCGATGCAGACGACTACATCATAGCAGTGCAGGTGACCTACGACAAAATCTTTGGCTATGACTCCGACGTCATCACATCTATTACCTTTTATACATCCAAAGGGAAAACATCTCCTCCTTATGGATTGGATACCGAAAAAAAGTTTTTACTCAAGGAAAAAAACGGTGGCAAACTTGTTGGGTTCCATGGACGTGCTGGCGAGGTTCTGTATGCTCTTGGGGCGTATTTCGCTACGGAAACAACTCCTATGTCTCCTGCCAAGAAGCTACCAGCAGTTGGTGATAATGAAGGAACTGCATGGGACGATGGTGCTTACGATGGCGTTAAAAAGATATATGTAGGACACGCCCAAGATGGTATATCAGTCGTCAAGTTTGTGTACGACAAGGGCTCTGAGGAAATTATAGGAGATGAACATGGAAATACTACATTACTTGGATTCGAAGAGGTACTAATTATTGTTTGATTTCTATCAAACTATATTATAATTTTTTTCTTTCCTAAAACCAATTTCGTAATGATCAGATCGAGTCTATGCCATTTGAATACCAATAATTTTATTTTATTTTTTTTGTTTTGGGTTCCTTTAACTGCAGTTTGAGCTTGACTATCCGAGTGAATACATAACGGCTGTTGAAGGCACCTACGATAAAATATATGGGAGTGATGCCATGGTCATAAATATGCTTAGGTTCAAGACTAACAAGCAAACCTCTGCTCCTTTTGGAATTGAGGCTGGCACACCATTCGAACTCAAAGAGGAAGGCTACAAGATCGTTGGTTTCCATGGCAAAGTAAGTGAGCTGCTTCATCAGTTTGGAGTCCATGTCCTTCCAATCACTAACTGATCATCATCACATCTTTCTCTTTGGTTCCAATGAATAAGTCTCTTGAAATATCTTTAATAAAATTTTACCTTTTATGTTCTGTTTGTTTATGTTTCAAGTGTTTTAAAGCATTATCTCTTTTGTAATGTTGTTCCGCCCTTGATGTTAATATATATATGATAGATCTTAATAAAAATGGTTGATTTGGTCCATATTAACTGTGCATTAGGTGTTGTAAGAACTAAGAATCGTGAACACAAGAAACAAAACCATATATTGGATTAGGGTTTTCAAAGGGAATTTATAGTATATCAGATGTAGGATGTTGAGTTAGGGATCTATAAATTGGTTTTTTTCTATTAGGTTTAATTGATAAAAAAAAAAGAAACTTGATTGATCACGTAGTTAGATCTTAAAGAGTTTCAAACACTAAAAATGTTTGTTTGAATACTTGAAAAAGCATAGATGAACAGAAAATTGATGTTGAAAGAAGCATAGATGAACAATTGATCAAGTATGAACTTTGATGCTTGTATAACTTTTTGAATGCAAAGGACGGATTTGTATACATAGAGTTTAGGCATAGATATTAATGCTTCCCTGATAATTTATTACGCTTAAAACCCTTGTACATTAAAATATGGAGTTGTGTGGTGTATTGTGGTTTTTGGTTTGTCTCAGGGATCGTACTGCATGTATGTCTGTGTTTCTTGTTAATCTTGATAAAGGAGGTTGTCTCTTTGTGATCTTAACCCTTTTGTTTATTTGGAACAAATACATAATTTATGGAACTAGATAAATAATTTGAACAAACTTCCTTTATCAAGATGGATCACAAATCTATCAAACACAAAACAACAACACAAATCAAGAGAAAAGACTTGAAACACTGACGAAGGAAACAAACAGAAACCAGAGAATGTAGAATCACCTTATTCAAATTTCAAAGACCATCAAGAGAGAGACACAAAGTGTGACAAATTAAGATCTCCATGATCAGTTGGTGATGGGAAGGACATGAACTCCAAATTTATGAAGAAGATCACTTGCGCTTCCATGGAAACCAACGATCTTGTGGCCTTCCTCTTTGAGTACGAAGGGTGTGCCAGCTTCCATCCCAAAGGGACCATATGTTTGCTTATTGGTCTGGAACCTAAGCATGGTAATGACCGCTGAGTCACTCCCAAAGATTTTATCGTAGGTGCCGTCCACTGCCGTGATGTATTCACTTGGATAGTCAAGCTCAAACTGCAATTTTAAGGAGCACCCCAAAAAAAAACAATTGAAATTGATTTTGAAAAAGAAAGTCATAGTTTAAAGAGAAAAGAGAAAGGAAGAAGCCAAGAAGTAATTAAGTGTGTGTACCTCTTCAAATCCAAGCATTGTAGTTTTTCCATGTTCATTTCCTACAACAACCTGAGCTCCTTTGTCATACACAAACTTAACCACTCCAACACCATCTTGGGCTTGTCCTACAGACACTTTTCTAACGCCATCGTAAACACCATCATCCCATGAAGTTCCTCCATCACCACCAGCTGCTTCTAGCTTCTTGGTTGGTTCTGCAGGAGTCAAAGGGATGGTGCCTACTGGAGCTAAGTAAACTCCGATAGCATGAACAACCTCACCAGCTCGTCCATGGAACCCGGAAATCTTGTAACCTTCCTCCTTGAATACAAACGGTGTGCTACCTTCAAGCCCGAAGGGTCCAGCTGTTTTGTTCTTGTTTGTCTTGAACGTAAGCATAGTCACTATTGCACTGTCAGTCCCAAAGATTTTGTCATAAGTGCCTTCCACGGATGTAATGTACTCATCTGATTCAAGCTCAAACTGCACGCAATAAATTAATTATTAAAGCTAGTTCCACATAGCTTTAACAAGGGAGAAAACCAATAATCTGTTTTTCATTTTTGGGGAGCATACCTCTTCGTAGCCAAGCATTGTAGGTTTCCCATGTTCAACTCCAATAACCACCTGAGAACCATTTGTGTATTCAAACTTGACGGCTCCTACACCATCTTGGCCTTGTCCTACATACACCTTTTTAACATTGTCGTGAGCACTATCGTCCCACACAGCCCCTGTATCACCACCCTTAGCTTCAAGCTTCTTCGGGGGAACTGAAGGAGTGGAGGTTAGTAATGGAGCAAAGTAAGCTCCAAGAGAATGAAGATTGTCTCCGGCGAAGCCATGAAAGCCAATGATCTTCTTGTCTCGAACTTGGAGAGTCAATGGAGTACCATCATCGTATCCAATAAGTTCAGAAGTCTTCTTGTTGGATTTAAACTTAAGACCTTGAATGAAACCTGCAGGGTCATACCAACCTTCAACAGAAACAAGATGCTCCTCTGGATGGTCAATCACAAACTGCAAAGATCGATCGAGATCGAAATGTCAACTAACTTATAAAACAAAACAAAAAAAAACATTGTCTAAGCATTCCCTTAACAATGTTTGATCTCATATGGCAATATCTAATCTTGATACTGTTTTCATTCACGGTGATCTAGCTGTAACAAAGAAAAATCTAATTAAGAAACATATATATAGGCAAAGAAAGTGTATAAGTACCGGATCAGCTGCGATACTACGGCCCTTGACACCGCGAAGAGGTGCTTCAACGGTTTGACCGTTCTTGACATAATCGAACTGAACGTATTGAATGCCGCTCCCGCCTGCTGCAACCTGAATCTTGGTCACTGCATCGTGTTCCGATCCATCATCCCATTGGTTTCCTCCATTTCCTCCTTGTGCTTCCACCTTTTGGGCCATATCTTTTGCTTACGAATATTAGTTACCTGTAATTACAGGAACACGAGTTGTTTTATAATCAAAGTACTCAACAAAACTATTATCAGATGAGAGAGTGAGAGTTGACCTGAGAAGAGAAGGTGAGAGTTTATGATCCATTTACAAACAACTGCATCTATATATATATTGATCTCCTTGAATATATGCCAGTATATATAATTAATAAAGTCGATATACTAATATATAATCTCGTGATCCACGAGTCATTAAAATATTGATTAAATTGTTGTGAATATGAAGCAAATTAGTTGAATTTCAATAGTTGATATAAATGATATGATAGTAGTATACATTTCTTGATAAACAATGAAATGAAAATTATCGTGCATATTTATAATGGTGTTTGACAATTCAACTAATTAAGACTAATCGCGATTAGTCTGCCGCTTGCCAAAGTGTCAGCGTTTTAATTAACTTTTAAGTCTTGTCTAGGATTTTTGAGCTCCCTTTTTTGTTTGAAATCAGTTTTTTGGTACTTAACCGTCTTGTACTATTATGTTTAGTGATTAGGCACTAATTAGGCCTTAACAATCCCGCCATGTCATGGCTAACCACAGGAACAAACAAACAAAAAGTTTAGTCTAAAGTTTCTGAATGACATTTGAGCAAACATATCAACTCTTTCTTCTTCTTTTTTACGTCAAAATGTATCAATTTTACAGTGAATGCAATTAAGAAAATGAAATTTAATTTTCCAGATCAACAAGACGAAAACTACTTTACGTGGTAAATAATCACTATAATCAGGTTGGAATAGATTAAAAGACCCTAATTTCTAAAGATTTCCTTCTTGATCTTGCTTCACACAAGTTTCATTATGCACCTGTAATCTCTAGTAGCCTTTCATCTCTTGTTTCAAATTGTAATCTTAAATGATACCTTGAGGAAGATGAATAAAGGCAGAATATTCACACACAAGAAACCAGGGTGGAATAAATTTAATATTATTTCAAATATAAAACGACTTTTGTAAAATACGATAAACATGAACTTTACAACAAAATATATGTATTTTACCCATATCGCTTTAATTGATTATATAATATTAATCGTGGATTATCCGCGTAAGGAGTGGAGACCTGATCCACACACGTCCCACGAGTTTAGACTCGACGTGCTCAGATTGTGATAATGTATTTTTATTTTGTAAGCTTTAGAAAGTCATCACTTTTTTTATGCCAATATATTTAAATAAAGACCACGAGACCCACGAGTACATTTCTTTTATTTAAATTAATTTTTGCTAAAAGAACCCAAAAAATGTTGGTATTTCTTGGGAAATTAAGAAGAATTGTTAAATATATCTTTTAATCATAAAATTACAGTAAAATCTACTTTTAGTTACATCAGTGTATCGTAAAGATTTAGATTAGGGTTGATTACGTGCTTATTCCTTGAATTCTGTGAGAAACGTGCAATCACTGAATAATTCGCAAGTTTCAAACTCCATACTAGAAAAACAGTAAAATAAAGTTATATTCTACATTACAATATCATATATTTGATCGAATAAGACAACGGAGCAGTTAAAGGAAGCTTCATACATATTATTAAGTTACAAACTCAAGTTGTTTAAATAATTAGAATTTAGACATCTCAATAATTGTAGTAAATACATACGTAATCCGATTTACAACCCAAAAAAAAAAATATGAAATACGATAAAGATCGATCGTTTCAACGATATGAGTATATCAAGGAAATATATAAACAAAACAGGTGACAGGCAGCACTGTATTGTTCTTTAGATATGCGATGCACGATCAAATTATGAAATAATCAACGCAATGATAAATCAAAGAGGGTTCCATTGAATCTTCTAGTATCCATCGTGTCACCATCTGCATTACTCATCTGCGTATGTCATATTTTGCTACAAATCTTGTTATAAGATCTTATTTACAAGTAAAAGCCTCATTACTATATATATACACGTTTATTTGGCAAAATTCCGATCTGGATATGGATACTCATTGCTCCCACCTCTATTTGTCTTCATGCCATACAATCACAATATATTTTTATGATGTTTTTTTTTTTTCATTTTGTTAAATAGTTTTCTTAAACTTTAAAAACAGAATAGTTGCAAAGGGAATCAAACGCCAACCAGAAATCGAACCTATTTCAGGGTCAGTATGAGTAACCTATAAATACAATATGACCACTTGGCCAAAAATCATTTCTAGTCGGAAAACTGGATTGAAAAAAACTACTTTGTGTCTTAATTTGTCCAAATTTCAGCAAAGATTTATTTATGATTCTGCCACAATGATATTTTCTTCACTATTTTTTGGCATTTGGGTTAGTTTTTTAACAAGAGAGCAATGACCGGTTTGGTGACGATTACAAGCGATTATTACATACTTATGGACCCACATGAATATTTTTATATAGGCCATGTGATGCTTACTTAACGTTACATATAGTTAAAAAAAAATAATAATAATAATAACAATGGTCGATATGATATAAATCCCACCATTAGTCTCTCTTCTCACACACCAAAGTCTTCACCCTCCTCATCATCACATTCAGTCTCTACAATCAGGTGATCCCTCTCTCACTAGCTTCTCCCTCTGTATATATTCCATAATTCCTTATATATACATGTATTCAGTATGTACATTATCTGCTCTAAATATCGATCAATAAACTGATCTTCTCATATATCTCAATCGCTTTATGTTTGTTTGTTTAAGACCAATTGTTCATAAAGGATCAATTTGACTTTGGACTGCCCAAGGCTGGGGATTGTTATCATTAAGTGTAGTAAAGATAGTTTACCAATAAAAAAGAAACACATGAGTTAGAAGTTAGAACAGGAACTGTATGTATAATCTTTGACTTGCGACTTCCTGTCGACACTATGGTGTAGCTACAGTATTAACTACAAAATGGTCAAGAAAAATCAAAATCCGTTGGTTATGAAAAAAAAAAACCTTATACGAACAGGTAAATCGAAGCAGCGAGGATGTCTTGGGACGATGGAAAGCACGCGAAGGTCACGAAAGTGCAGCTTACGTACGATGACGTCATCTACTCGGTCCAGGTCACGTACGAGGGAACCAACCTTCAATCTCAGCGTCGCGGCTCCGTTGGGCCCAAATACGCCGAGGTTAGCTACTGAAAAATAGTTCAATTATTTTAACAGTAACATCAAATTTTAACAAGTTTTGACTTTTGAGTTTCAATTACTTTTGTAAATCAGTTCACTTTGGGATCAGACGAGTACATAACGGCTCTCTCTGCTTACGGCAAAACGTTGAGCACGCAAGACGTTATAACGGCGTTGACTTTCACAACCAACAAAAAGACTTACGGACCCTACGGTAACAAATCCGGTTTCCAGATCTCTGCTCCTGAGGCCACCGGTAAACAGATCGCCGGTTTCCTTGGTACCAGCGGCAATGTCCTCAACTCCATCGACGTTCACTACGCTCCCGTTCCCACCGGATCTGGAACCGGTGGAAGTGGAACTGGCGGAACCGGAACCGGTACGGAAGGAACCGGAACCGGTGGAAGTGGAACCGGCGGAACAGGAACCGGTGGAAGTGGAACCGGCGGAACTGGCACGGAGGGAACTGGAGGAACCGGAACCGGGGGAACAGGAACCGGCGGAACAGGCACGGAGGGAACTGGCGGAACCGGGGGAACCGGAACCGGCGGAAGTGGAACCGGAACCGGTTCAGGGGCAGAGAAATTGGAGGCACAAGGCGGCACAGGAGGAAGCGAATGGGACGACGGGTCCGATCACGACGGAGTGACGAAGATAAACGTAAGAACAGGAGGGGCAGGCATTCAATACGTCAAGTTCGACTACGTGAAAGGCGCAACACCAAAACTAGGAGCCCTCCATGGTGTGCAGGGTTCTAGAGGTTCAACGCGAGAGGTAACCAAGCTTCAAATACATATATGTTTTAATAACGCGAGAGGTACTGAACATTGTCAGTTAATCTCTGCAGATTTTGATTAACCATCCCGAAGAGTATCTAGTTTCCGTCGATGGTTGGTATGATTCATCCAATGTCATCTTAGGAATCCAATTCAAAACCAACCAAAAGACTTCTGACTACCTCGGCTACGAGTTCGATGGTACTGGTACTAAATTTACTCTCCAAGTTCAAGACAAGAAGATCATCGGGTTTCACGGTTTCGCCAGCGACCATCTCAATTCCATTGGAGCTTATTTCGTTCCATTAGCCTCCTCCTCCACCACTCCCGCCAAGAAGCTTGAAGCTAAAGGTGGTGAGACAGGAGATGTGTGGGACGATAGTGCTCACGACAATGTTAAAAAGGTATATGTAGGACAAGGCCAAGATGGTATAGCAGCCGTCAAGTTTGATTACACAAATGGTTCTCAGGTGGTTATTGGAGTTGAACATGGAAGATCTACAATGCTTGGTTTCGAAGAGGTATGTTTCTAAAAAAAAAACATATTATTGGTTTCTCACTTTTTAATACTAATGTGGAACTTATGATTTCTTCTTGTTTAGTTTGAGCTTGAATCAGATGAGTACATTACATCCGTGGAAGGCACTTATGACAAAATCTTTGGGACTGACAGTGCAATAGTGACTATGCTTACGTTCAAGACAAGCAAGAACAAAACAGCTGGACCCTTTGGGCTTGAAGGTAGCACACCGTTTGTATTCAAGGAGGAAGGTTACAAGATTTCCGGGTTCCATGGACGAGCTGGTGAGGTTGTTCATGCTATCGGAGTTTACTTAGCTCCATTAGGCACCATCCCTTTGACACCAGCAGAACCAACCAAGAAGCTAGAAGCAGCTGGTGGTGATGGGGGAACTTCATGGGATGATGGTGTTTACGACGGCGTAAGAAAAGTGTCTGTAGGACAAGCCCAAGATGGTGTTGGAGTGGTCAAGTTTGTGTATGACAAAGGAGCTCAGGTTGTTGTAGGAAATGAACATGGAAAAACTACAATGCTTGGATTTGAAGAGGTACACACACTTAATTACTTCTTGGCTTCTTCCTTTCTCTTCTCTCTTTAAACTATGACTTTCTTTTTCATAATCAATTTCAATTGTTTTTTTTTGGGGTGCTCCTTCAAATTGCAGTTTGAGCTTGACTATCCAAGTGAATACATCACGGCAGTGGACGGCACCTACGATAAAATCTTTGGGAGTGACTCAGCGGTCATTACCATGCTTAGGTTCAAGACCAATAAGCAAACATATGGTCCCTTTGGTATGGAAGCTGGCACACCCTTCGTACTCAAAGTGGAAGGCCACAAGATCGTTGGTTTCCATGGAAGCGCCAGTGATCTTCTTCATAAATTTGGAGTTCATGTCCTTCCCATCACCAGCTGATGATTATGGAGATCTTGAATTTGTCGCACTTTGTGGTCTCTCTCTTGATAGCCTTTGAACTTTGAATAAGGTGATTCTTCCTTTTCTGGTTTCTGTTTGTTTTCTTCTTCAGTCTTTCTCTTTGTGTTGTAGTTCTGTCTTTGGTTGATTTGTGATCTATTTTTAATAAAGGGATTTTGTTCCTAATATTTCTCTGGTTCCTTGAAATATTTTATTTAGCACCCCAAAGAAAACAAGATCAGAATGAAAAAGCACCCTTTATTTAGATAAACAAGGAACAACACACATACATTACATTATTACCCTTGAGACAAACCAAAAACAACAATAGACCATACAACTCCATAAACTCACAGGATAAATCTTATTCAAACTCTCGTGGCATATCAGATTGTTTCTGCATCAGTTGGCTATGGGCGCCACTTTGACTCCGATTTTGTAAAGAAACTCACCAGCTTGTCCATAGAACCCAACGATCTTGTGGTCTTTCTTCTCCAAAACGAATTTAGTTCCTGACTCCATTCCATACGGAATAGACGTTTTCTTGTTTGTTGTGAACTGGAGCGAGATAATTGCCGGTGCATCTACGCCGTAAATCTTGTCATAGTAGCCCGTCACGGCCGTGACATACTCACCAGCTTCAAGCACAAACTGCACGTTTTGCAACCAATTAAAATATTCAAGAAGTTGTAAATCAACTTTAAAAAAAAAAAAAAAGACAAGATTTGAAAAAAAATGAAATCAAGAATACAACCTCCTCTGCTCCAAGCAATGACTTCTTCCCGTGATCGCTTCCAATGACAGGCTTTGAAGCCTTTTCATACTCAGCTTTGAAATAAGTCACACTAGAGTCACCTTGTCCTACATATATCTTCTTCACACCGTCGTGAACACCATCATCCCAAGCAACTCCTGCGTCTCCTCCTTGTGCTGGAATAGTATTGGAAGGAGTCACTGGTGTGGACGATGAGACAATATAAGCTCCAAGAGAGTGGATCACATCACTCGCAGTTCCATGGAATCCAACGATTTTTCCGACTCCTAGCTCAGTTTCTTCACCAGAGGTCATTCCAAACGGTTGAGAAGTCTTTCCCTTGAATGTCTTGAAGATAAGAGCCGTGATGATCTCTGTTGGCGTTCCAAAGAGTTTCTCGTAGTAAACTTTCACAGATGTGATGTAATCATCTGAATCAAGCTCAAACTGAAAATAAAGAAAAGAAGCATCAAGAATGTTCTTTTATTTAGAAAAGAAAAAAAGAAAAAAAAATAACCTTTTAAGCAATTTCAAGAACACAAAATTCTATGTACCTCCTCTGTTCCAAGTAATGTCTTCTTCCCATGTTCACGTGATACAATTTTTCCATCTTTTTCGTAATCAAACTTGACATAAACCACACCAGAGTCACCTTGTCCAACATACACTTTCTTGACATTCTCAAAAGCACCACCATCGTCCCAAATCTCTCCTCCACGACCACCTTGAGCTTCCAACTTGGTCGTACCACCTGACTCCGGCGGAGTCACCGGCGTGGTTGACGAAGCTATATAGGCTCCTAGAGAATGAATAACATCACTCGCACTTCCATGGAATCCAACGATTTTTCCGCCTCCTAGCTCAAATTCTTGACCAGAGACCATTCCAAACGGCTGAGAAGTTTTGCCTTTGAATGTCTTGAAGACAAGAGCCGTGATGATCTCTGTTGGTGTTCCAAAGAGTTTCTCGTAAGAAATTTTCACTGATGTGATGTAATCTTCTGGATCAAGCTCAAACTAGCAACAACAACAAAATTATCAATCACTAAAAGTAAAATCTTCATGATGATTTCATCGAAAAAAAATAATAATATATATACCTCCTCTGTTCCAAGAAGCGACTTCTTCCCATGTTCGCGTGATACGATATTTCCGTCTTTTTCGTAGTCAAACTTGACGTAAACCACACCAGAATCACCTTGACCAACATACACTTTCTTGACGTTATCGTAAACACCACCATCGTCCCATAGCTCTCCTCCACGACCACCTTGAGCTTCCAACTTTTGCGCCATTTTTCCTTCTTAACCTAAAGTTTTATTACCCATTGTAGAAACTATGTGAGTATATAAACATACGGAGACCATAGAAGAGCCATGAATAGACACAGCTCAAGCACTTCGTGCTGATCAGGGTAGGGAAATTAAACACACGGATCATTGCCATCGACCACACTGAAAAAGAGACACTTATGGAAGCTAATCTAGTTGGAGGACTATAATACTCATTTACTTTAAACAATATTATCATATTCTCATAGATTCACTTGCCTTTCAAGATATGCATTAAAGGTAAATTCCTTGAAAAATAACAATTTGTGTAAGAAGAAACATAAAAAATAAAGAGGGAAGAGAGAAATATAACCTATTAGTGTGAGAAATGGAGATGAAGATTGAATGAATGGGTAGTTTGGGATTTTTGTGTATATATAAAAAACACTTTTGAATACGGACATTTACTTTTTTTTATAAAATAAATGCTAACTACTTTCTCTATTGTTTTTCTTTCCTTTTCTTGTAACGCTTCGAATTTAACCAACTCGTGCTTCACGAGGGAGAAGATTTTATTAGTTAGGATGTGTGTACCAAACAAAACGGGACACTGAACAATAACATATCTTCTTGCAAGACAAAAGAATAACATATCTTTTAAAAGTTGAGTTATATTAAGTATCTGTAAACAGAAACCCAAGATACGAACTACGAAAAAAAGTCTAAGATAAAAATCAAAAGAATCGTGTAAGCATCATTGACCAAGAGTCTAAGAGATCAAGTAAGACTGAGATTCAAAATCTCAGAGTACAAAGAAAATAATGAATACTTGGATTAGAGTAATTTCATAGAATATCGTAGACCAAATTGTTCATCTTTTTTTTTTGTGCATCACCTAATGATTAGAATTATAAGTGCACTGAGCTGTCAACGGCCCATGACTCCATCCTTTAATCACATTTTACTGAAACTCCGACGACCTTCTTTTTTTTTGGGTAAGAATGACGACCATTTGTCTTTCTCTCTCAATTATAACAACGAAACTACTCGTTATTCACGTGAGTTATACATCTCCCAAGTTCGGTACTCTCAAATCTCTATAATCCACTTCTAGTGATCATGTTAACATATAAAAACTCTGATGTCACTTTCTTGCAATTAGAGTTCAACGTTAGTTTAAGATAAATATTTATAAGGAATGATATAATTCATCAGACTACAATGCTAGATATCTTTTAATCAATTTCAGGTATCCGTATATATTTTTTTATATATCTTACCGGTACTAAAATAAAATTATCAGGTTGTTAGCTATGAGTAGCTTAAATTCTTAATACGTGTATATGTGAATAGTATTTTCTGCGGACAAAATTTTAATTATGTGCCCATTTTTGATATCGCATGGCCCACTCGGTGATAATTCGAAATGGGACTTTTCCACTCATGTCTAGCTCTATTCCTACATTATTAAGATGGGCCCACCTGCTATAGTATCTTTACGCATTCACTAAACGACACTTCAAAAATCACCTCCTCAAGCTTTCTTTAGTTTGTTTTTCATTGAGTTATATTTTGATTGTATTAGTTTACCTTCTGATTTATCTGTTTCTCGTTCTTTGTTCCATGTGTATTTTTTTTTGTTTTTGTAAAAGGTGGGTTAAGTTGTACTAATCAGAAGAGAGAAAAAAAGTGTTATAAATCTTCATACGGGCCTTGAATTAATCTTTATAAACAATTTGGGCCGAAACTATACAGGCCTTTGACAAAAAACAATTTCGTCAAACTAAGTAGCATTTGCACGATCCAATAAACTTGCAAAAGAAACAGGAACTCTCTCTCTCTCTCTCCTCCTGTCGTCAGCCACCACCGGCCACCGGGATACATTAGACGAACGATCTAGGGTTTCACAGTCGTCATGTACCGCACTGCAGCTACACGATCCAAGGCCCTTAAGGTCAATGTCGACTCCACTTTTTCCATAAACTTTTGTTATTTTTTTTAGGAAAACGCTTGGAATACACGAGTAGTGAACGATTTGTTAGATAGTATAGATTCTTGTAGATCTTAGATTCAATTTGATATATTCCTAGCAGCTGGTGATACATTTCATGCTTTTTCTAAGGTTAAGGAATGATGTCTGTTTCGAAAGTTCTTCTTTTTTTCAATATTCATTGTTAATTTCTGGTTGTAGTTTTTCCCACATTGTGAGTAAAGTAGCTATCCTTAGCAATCAATTAGAGCATCATTGGAGACAGATGAGTTTGATTTTTGTTCTCTTGATTGGAGATAAAAGCTTAACGATGCATAGGATTATACAGGGCATTTATAATCGCAATTACCGGGCATCTCGCTATGCAAGCTCGAGTGCTGTTGCAACGAGTTCTTCTTCGAAACCTGGTTTGGCCAGCTGGCTAACTGGAGGCTCCTCTAGCTCGCTTCCTTCGCTGAACATTCCCTTGGCTGATGTCTCTCTTCCACCATCACTCGCTGACAATGTCGAGCCTAGCAAACTCAAGACCACTACTCTTCCAAATGGTCTTACAATAGCCTCTGAGATGTCTCCGGTGAGAAGCTTCTTCTGATAATCTCAGCGTTTCAACTTCACTATCGAAATCGCAAAGTGATTCTGAACGAATTATGTTCTGTTGAATTTTTGTGTCAGAATCCAGCAGCTTCCGTTGGTTTATACGTTGATTGTGGCTCTATTTACGAGACACCAAATTTCCGTGGAGCGACGCACTTGCTTGAGAGGATGGCTTTCAAGAGTACATTGAACAGAAGCCATCTTCGTCTTGTAAGGGAAATAGAAGCTATCGCAGCCATTACTTCAGCCTCTGCTTCCCGAGAGCAGATGGGTTACACAATCGATGCTCTCAAAACCTATGTTCCCGAAATGGTTGAAGTGCTTGTTGACAGTGTGAGGAACCCTGCTTTCTTGGATTGGGAAGTGAACGAAGAGGTAATTATGTCATGTTGCATTAATCTCGCAATACTCAAAGCAAAGCATCTTTTTCTTGACATTCTATTTCTATTGTCTTTGTTGTTCTCCTGGCAGCTCCGGAAAGTGAAAGTGGAGATAGGAGAACTTGCAAAGAATCCTATGGGGTTTCTCTTGGAGACTGTTCATTCTGCTGGTTACTCTGGCGCATTGGCAAATCCATTGTATGCACCTGAATCTGCTATTAATGGATTGACTGGGGACGTCTTGGAAGAGTTCGTTGCTGTAAGACCGCAATAACACAAGAGATTATTACATTCTTCTCTGCAATTATGGCCGTTGCTTTTAGTTTAAGTTATATCGCGTGTGTGTCCTTTTCTTCTCATGTGGTGCTCAAATTTCAGGAGAACTACACAGCTCCACGAATGGTGTTAGCAGCTAGTGGAGTTGAACATGAAGAACTTTTAAAAGTTGCTGAGCCATTACTTTCTGACCTTCCTAATGTAACCAGACCAGCGGAGCCAAAGTCTCAATATGTTGGTGGAGATTTCCGTCAACATACTGGTGGAGAGGTACTCATTATCCGTGCCTTTTAATGACCCTGGTTGAGTTAAAATTTGGTTTATTATTCCTTATTGCTATTTTTTTTATTCCACCATTCTCAGGCTACACATTTTGCGCTTGCTTTTGGAGTGCCAGGATGGGATAACGAGAAGGAAGCTGTTATTGCCACTGTTCTTCAGGTGCCTAACTCAAATACATTACTCGATCTTCCACGAGTAGAGTTTAACGGTGTAAAATATAATTCTTATTTAGATGCTTATGGGAGGAGGTGGCTCATTCTCTGCGGGAGGTCCTGGAAAGGGAATGCACTCTTGGCTCTGTAAGTCTCTCAATGTGTTTCTTTCTAGTTCCCGTTCCATCTTTGTTTTTCTAACTCTCATCAGTTGGTGATGATGATGTTGATGATGCTAACGATGGTTTCTTTATGTGTGGATGCAGATCTCCGTATTTTGAACGAATATCAGCAGTTTCAATCATGCACCGCATTCACTAGCATCTTTAACAATAGCGGATTGTTTGGAATCTATGGTTGCACGGTGAGTTTTCACCAATTTTCATTTCTTGATTACAAGAACAGTATCTCCATGGCGAGTTTGCTTACATTTTTTTGGGGCTTCAGAGTCCTGAGTTTGCAGCAAGAGGAATTGAATTAGTAGCTGATGAAATGAAAGCTGTTGCTGAAGGAAAAGGTTTTGTAAATTTGCTCCTTTCTTCTTCTTTTTTAACCATTTATCAATATATGTATTAGTTAACATATTATTTCCTTTGGTTTTATATTTTTTGGCAGTTAACCAGAAACATCTTGATCGCGCCAAGGCAGCAACCAAGTCTGCAATTCTGATGAATCTGGAATCTCGAGTACCTATACATAACTTGCACTCTTTTTTTTTTTTTTTGAGCATGAGTTGTGCTTTTCTAATGGAATCTAATTGTTTGTGTGATTTGCAGATGATTGTGGCAGAAGATATAGGTAGACAGATACTTACATACGGAGAGAGGTACATATATATACACACGCAACACATGCAACCTCTAAACCGGTTAGAATCGGGGTTTTCTCTAACCCGGTTCATATTTGCAGGAAGCCAGTTGACCAATTCTTGAAGACGGTAGACCAACTCACCTTAAAGGACATTGCAGATTTCACCAGCAAGGTTATTGCAAAGCCTTTGACTATGGCGTCTTTCGGACAAGGTAAAGAAAACAATAAGAAAAAAACATCTTCACACTTCGTTGTTCTTTTTAATTACCAACGTTGATTTTATTCAACATGCTAAAATTTCATATATTCTGTTAATTTTTGGACAGTGTTGAGTGTTCCAAGCTATGACGCCGTAAGCAGCAGATTCTCTTGAAGCTGCTCAAAACAGATCATCTTGTTTTTGCATCAGAAGAAAAGAGTTGGGACCTGTAAAATAAAGAAGGCCTTTCCAGTTTTTGGGAGATCCAACAAATTTTTTTTTTTTTCCTCTCACGGTTTCTGAATTCTGACCGAAGATAAGACCCATAAAATGGCGACAAGTTACGTCCATGTCTCCAACATTTTTGCGTATTTCTTCGGTTCGTGAATAATGATTAATACGTTTACCAGCTTTTTACTCTTTCGTTTCAGCTTCAGTTTTATTTTCTTTCTTGATGGAGAATGTTGGGAAACTTAGACATAGACATGAAGATAATCTGAGTAGAACATTTATTTTTGTTAATAATTTTAAAGTTATAACCCATGATATTTTGAGTTCGTAACGCTTAATATCCAAATAAATGCTTTAATATCCAAGTTCTAAAGCCTTATATAATGTGATGTGATGTGATCGTTGACAAAAAAAGAAAAGATAAGAGTAATGTGATCCAAAACAAACCCAATGAGACGAATTTACCTCGATTTTTTGAAATGTTAAAAGCATATTCATCTTGAGTCGATAGTCTAAACAAAAGATCAAGGTATTTAATAATAGAAAACCTTAATTAAAAGGCTATTAGGGAATCTTTTTGGCAGATTACGAGGTAAATACTAGAGCTTAACTTATTTTTTCATTGACATGGTAAATAGAGCTTATCAAAAGCCGTTGAAGTAACTTTTTAATTTATTTTGGGTTTCAGAAGAACGAATATGATGACGCAAACACGTATCGGCCTCCGCCAATCATATCCCCTGGTGCTTTTAAAAATGATTAGATATAGAAACATTACAAAAGATTTTGAAAATTTCACAATAATGATAACGTCATGTCGTACTTGTCTGACGCTACATGGATTCCCAATTTATTGCAAATTTCAACCTCATTTCGTCATCATGGTTAGTTAATAATATCTTCTCAATTACTCTCACATCTTTGAATTTCAAATTCTCCAAAACCGAAATCTAAAATTCAACTAACCTTAATAATTATTTACTGTTGTGCGTTAATATTTAAACAGCTTCTTATTTCTCTAAAATATTCACATGAAGAAGTCGTAGTCTAGTCTAGTAGATAACTCGAAACAAATTTAACATTTTTTTTCTAAAGCCAAAAATTTACAAAAATAAGAACCCGAAAAAAAGGGAGAACATAAAAACCAAGAGAAAAAAAAGGGTCCTCGATGAAAAGTCAAAAGCAATGACGTTCTCTTATTAAGGACGAAAAAAGAAACGTTTCTTTCTAATTATAGAATCTAAAATCCGCCGGTTCTTGAGGAAACTGTTTATCATAAGAACAGGAAGAGCGTTTTTCTTGTTGCAGCAATAGCGGTTGCGTTTGCGCCATCCTCACGCCGCTAACGCTACTCCTAGCCGCCATAATCTCATCAAGCGACAACCTTTTCCTATCAGGACGCTGTCGCGGCGCACTATGCGAACGAACCTTAGCCTTAAACGACTGCGTATTAGCCATATAGCTCGGTGTCATCAAACCAGGATAACTTGGCCTAAAACAAGCGTCTCTGCAAACGCTTTTCGCCGGTGAAGGCGGTGTGTAGTAGTAATGATGATTATTCGCCGCCGATGAAGAGAATCTTGGCGTGTTTTGAGCCGTAGGGAATTTGCTTTTCTCTCCTGGAAAACTCCATTCGAAATCTTTGCCTTGATAGATGAAATCATCTCCACACTCGGAGACAGCAACATTCATTCTCTTGGATCTTGATTTCGTCCTAAAAGTGTCAATCTCAACGATCTTGGGACTGGTCTCATCGTACACGGCGTTGTTGTTGCTCTGTTTCTCTACAGAGATTGATATTCTCTTGCTATGGATTTCGCTTCTCGAATCATCAAACCTCTCCTGTATAATTCAATCCACAAATAACATAAGTTTGACCACAGAGATATATGTTAGGATTGAGAAATTAGAAAATGAATGGTTCTTCTTACAAGAGAATATCGAGGATGAAACATGTTATTGTTGTTGTCTCTGGTGAGAGAGGAGCGGATCATGCGTTGAGATCGAACGCTGGTTTGTGCTCTGAAGAGAGCTTGCATGCTATGAAACGTTTCCGCGGCGCGTTTGCGGACTAAGTATCCTCTCACTAAAGCTTGTAGCTTCACTAGACCTTTCAAAGCTCTTAACGCTTTTCTCGCCTGAAAACAAAATTCAAATTAAAAAATTATATATTAAAAATATAAAGCCATAATAATCGTGCATAATTCGAAAAGAGTACAAATTTTTCTTGAAACTAGCAAAGGTGTGTACTGTTTCATTAAGGGAGATGTGTAAGGAGCAAGCAATGTACAGACATGCTTCCTTTAGAAATCTCGAATCTAAACGAAACCCACATGGCAAAATTGTATCTTTCGTGTCGAAATCGGTGACCAAAAACAAGGGAGAGATTTATGAACTTACCAAATAGCCCTTGAAGACTGTTTGGATTTTCACGGCGGCCCACCGCTCCATTGTGGACCCGGAAACTCCGCTCCCGCCGGAATATCCTCCGGCTCTTCCGTTACTTGTTAGTCTGACCACCGCGACAGCAGCTTGTGCCGCTGCAACCGCTGCGTCTGCGGCTGCGGCAGTGGCGGCAGCAACCGCAATCGCGTGTTTGTTCTGTTCCTTGTCTGTTTCCGCCATGTAAGTTCTGAGCCAGACGGAGTCTGCTTGGAGAACTTTCCGGTGAATATTGGACCCACCAGATTCTCCTCCGCCTTTGCCGGAATCTTCTCCGCCGCCGGAAACTCGGTTCTCTTTCTCTTTGCTCTTTTTCATACCGAAAATGCCCTTGAACCATCTCGCTGCTCTGCCCATCTTCTCTCAGTTCGAATTTGAATAACGGTCAGAGATGTTTTTGTTTCCTTACGATTTAAAAGAGAGAAAAGATTCAGAGATGACAAATCACAAATACTCAGAAGAACTTTTCGTATGCGAAAAAATGGAGAGGAAACAATTTTTTTTGGCACTGAAACTGAAGACACAATATGATGTTTAGTGAAAGAAGAACTGTTAAAAAAAAAAAAAGAGAGATAAAGAACTAAAGAGATAGAGAGAGAGCGATGTATAGATTCTTTGAAAACAAATATCAGGTTCACATGTATATATATGTATACTAATTTGAATTTAAACTCGAGCAAAAAAACAAATAGGTTAATTATAAAAAACTAGTATTTCTGTACATTTGTTATGGAGAATTTTGGTTTTAAATGCACCGTTTGATAAAGAGCTAACCTTTTGATTATACGATGTAGCTTCAAATATAAGGTAACGTATTTTAATTCAAAAAACATTAACAATTATTAAAACTTAAGCGTCAAATTGAAGGTTAACTTACTTTTGTCAGCAAATTAAGCTATAGAATATCAATTTAAAATTTTATTAGTTGCTCAATAAATATAAGAAAAGAAGAAGTAATAGTATACATTTCTAGTTTTGTAATTGTAAGACAAACAGTTACTTCATTTGAAAATACCTTGAATTCAATTCAATGAACTGACAACAGTTGTAATCATCCTTTTTGAAAACACGAAAAGTAGGAATCATTACTCAGATATTTGAAAACCAATTATTTATTGACCAAACAAAAAAAAAACCTTAAGCGAAAAATAATACGGATTTACAGAATATATTTACACAGAGTCTAGATTTTAGGGCAGTGAATAATTATTGTTTTGAAAAGGATTGGAAGAAAGAAGAAATAAGATATATGTAAAAAAAAAGATCTGACACAACCTCGTGAAGAACTGAATTACAAGACAAAATGATGTCATGGTCTCATGGAGAGACAAAAGATGGAGCGCTCTAATTTTTTTATTAATCGTTTTGTTTTCGAAATATATCTTTAAAATATACAAGAAGAGAAAGAAAAATACAAAATCAAACACAACGGAACACGGATCTGCAGACAAACAATGAAGACGAACAGAGTAAATTATCCTTTTTAATTATTCTACAAATAAAACTAAAGATAAACGCACCTTCAAATATTCAAAAGTGGTGTCTCTGGCTTCAACAATTTGCTCTTGAGTAATAGAAAAATGGTCTTTATGGAGCATTGTGTTCTTACTCGATTTCAGAGATACCCTTCTCGTAGTTCCCGTTATTAATTAATTTAATTCCCATTTTCCCTCCTCAACCCATAATCACCAGCCCCATTTACTTTTAAATGCTAACTAAAATAGATCCTTTTTTCTTAAGTTAAGAAACCTATATGATTTTTGAAACATAATCACTAATTAATCCGTTTAGATTTGGTATACAAATACGCTAATGGCATTGATTACGGAATCATCTTGACTTGTTTCTAAATCAAGTCTGGCTTAGAAATGGAATGAGTGTGTGATTTATAATGCAAAACCAAATAATATAAATGTTATGGTTGACGAGCGTTGACGAAGACATTTCCATCATTATAGCTAAGGTTTATGCTCATGTCGAAGTGTGGAAAACAAATGTGACTCTGGAAACTATAATAGAAAGTTGAAACTTTATGTCTTAATGATGAGTTTCTGTTACCAATTAAAGAAGGTTGTAGTATTGGGTTTGTCTGTCTCGAGAAATGAAATTAACTTGTGAAACAATGTACCTTTTAACGTTCTTCATTGTACTTTTTTGGTGTGGTTTATTTGGTTTTGGGTATAAACTATAAAGTCATACTCCAATTATAGATTCTAGCATCGTTATGGGAATTTCACGGTAGCAACATATTTACATCCAGTAAAAAAAGATCAATAACTTAAATTAACGTGATATTTGCACACACACACAGAACAATAATAAATAATAAGAGACGATTTATCACTTCATCCAAAATGATAAGAAAACTTCAACCCTTTGTTTAGTTATCAGCAATAGTGAAATACCTTAGATTTGTGACAAGACTATATTTAAGTTGGATCCAAGTAGGTGATAATAACGATCAGACGTAAATTAGTCGTAGTATGATGACAACTTGAGTAGAGATTGAGTAAAATTGTTAAAATGGATTTCTCAGGCCAGTCTCGTCCGATCCGTATGAGATGAGCATCGACTTAATATTCTGACCCGTAAAAAAATGTGGACGTTTTAAAAATATGTTTAGATGATTAATGATTATATATTGTATTTTAGGTGAACTCTCCATCTTGCTGCCACATCAGCATCTAAATGGAGGCTGCCACATCAGCATCTAAATGGAGGACACATGTCCTTTCATTTAATTAATAAATCATAAATTTTAAATAAAAAATTAAAAACTAATTAATATCACTACTTCTAATTTAACTATTCTATTTAATGTTTATTTCATATATATTTATATTTATAGCTATTAAGTTACATTAATATTAAAGTTTTTCACATTCCTAACAAAATAAATAAATAACATTTCTAACTTTTTACATTTCTAACTTTTTGGTACTCATCTAAAATTTTTTAACATTTTTCTATACTAACTCGATATTTTTCTTCCAGCTTATCCTCATCATAAACACTTTTTTCGAAGCTGGTTATATGAAAAAATATAAAAATGTAGCGTTATCTTCATTCAAAGATTTGACAGTTTTTATGGGTCAAATATAATATTATTATAGCTGCATTTTAATGTAAAAAATAAATTATGGGGTGGTTCTTGCAGAATCAAAGCAATTGTACACGTAATAAATTTGAGAACATTAAAAATCAGAAGTAATTATATGTTTTTAAGCAATTTAAACAGAAAAATATGACTTTTATCTATGTCTTTTTTACTCATATCATATTTATAATTTCTAGAATAGTAGAATAATTTTCCTAATTACCATATTTCCAATCCTTAAAAAAATTGTTTATTTTACAAAAAAAATTATTTTTCAAAAACCTAATACTAAACAATCAAACAAATTACCATATTCTTATAATTAAATATATATATATATATATCAACACAAACATATTTTTAAAAATATTATGTGAAACAAAACCTGCACGTATGCGCGGATACAAATCTAGTTGATAATGAAAAACCATAAGATAATAATTCATATGTTGATATGGTGGAAATGAAACACAGTTGATAAATTGAACCGTACTAAAAATTAAAATGTACTACATAAATAGCTTATGCGTCCCTGATTAAGAACTTAATTCACGTGGATACAAACACTTTTCAATCCACCTCTTATTACGGCAAATTCTTATATTTTTTTGCTATGAAATGGCACAGTTTTATTTGGCAAAATTCACCATTGATATTATCTTAAATGCCACAGTTTATCCTTCTCAATGAAACTAAGAAAATATTTAAGCTACAACCCAACAAAATGTAGTCTGAGTGTTGAGTCCGATCGGATGGGATCATGGTACGAACCGACTCACAACTTTGAAAATAAATCACAGACGACAAAATGTTTTAGTGCGTTTACCATTAGCCCACATCACATGACGTTATTTTTCGCTATATTTCTGTATAAGGTATATATATTATCTGCGGTAAAGAGTAAAAATGGTTGGAATCAATGAAATCATTTGATCACGTCTCAGGGCGTAGTAATTTTTGCAAACCGACTAGAGGAAAATGTTTCAATTTTTTTTTTTTTTTTTTGGTAAAATGTTTCAATTTTGTTTGTACTAAAAAAAATGCTTCAATCGTATTTTGCAAACCGACATGAGGTTTGGGTTTCTCGATAGCTTTTGACTAAAACCACTTATTTGAAACCGATGACCTACCATCTCTAAGAAGAAAAACTCAAGGTAACATCATTGAAGCTTGCATCTATCTTCTCTTCTCACTCGCATCATAGACAAGTCTATTCGGAACTCGATATCCTCTCTCTGCTACAATTACTCTCATAGATTGGAAGACCTCCTTCGTAGGTGGTTCAGCTCATAAACATTCAGCTAATCTAGCATCCGATAATTTTCTATTTCTTTACACATTGTTACTTCATTGCAAAAATATCTTGTTTCATTTTTTTCCGCTAGTTATAAACAAACTTTCTTGGTTAACTCAAGAAACTTTATCTTTTTTAGAGAAAAATACACACACATTCGAAGTCGAACATGATATAGCTCGATTTATCAATCCAAGTTATCCAACAAACGTAGTGATAAACAACTAAACAATCTCTTATTGTCTAAGACACTTCATACAATATGGATTGAATTGAATTATTATGAACAATTATATAAATTCATATTGGGAAAGAATATTGTATACATTTAAGAACATAATCGAAGTGAGCTTCAAGCTCCGTACATATGCTAATACACACATTACAAGAACGTACCCAAATCAACATCCTAATTAACGTTAAATTTTAAGAAAATTATTACCTTTTCTTTTAATTTATTCTTTTGCCTGACTTAACCCTGTGTGCCATAGGACCCCTTTTATGACATTGGCACCTTTTACAGTTATCTTCTTCAGGCCATCTCCCAAGAACTTCTGCTTCTGCTGCTTCTTCCTCTTCCTTACCAAATCCAATATACTCACTTTGTCTCTTGCTTCGTTCTCAAGAAGTAGATACACCAATTAGAAGACATAAGTCTTGTCTCTTTTTCAAAAACTTCCCTGTCACTCGCTTAGATTTACAATAATACCCTTCTCAAACCATAATTCAACTTAAAATAAATATACACACGCATACAAAAAAAAAGGAGTCTGTAAACTATAGCAAACTTATGAATCAGAGTTTAACCGATGAAACGAAAAACTCATTAAGCTATTATATGTCAAAATGATGTTTCTAGAAGCACTCGATTACTTGGAGACCATTTTTACTCACAGGACATTTTTCATATAACTTAATGATTATACATTTACAATATGAGCACACAAGTAATTCGATAGGTCCATCACAGCTTTAAAACAATTATTCTTTTCTCTCTTCACTTTCTTCTAATAATATTTTCAGTTTATACGTACGTACAATTTAAGCCAATATCGATTCTCTTTATATAATCACTTCTAAAAATTAAGATCCAGCCGCTTTGTTTCCTTGGGCTCGTGAGTGTCGCGAGAAGAACGCTCCTCATTATCTAACTGCTTAGAGCAATCATAGTAGTACGTTTCACACATTTTAATAAAAACTTCTGTTCCAATGGAACAAAAGATTTTTCAAATAGTAAAATCAAGAACTACTGTATAAACTTACATAAAGACTGATCTCCGTATCTGTGTTCTTTTGTTTTGGCTTTTTGCTGTTGTAATATCCAAAGTCCAAAGATAAAACAAAAAAAACATCACTGTTTTTGTACAGATATCGTTTCAAATACAAACTTAGCAAGAATAATATAAATTTATCCATTTTTCATTAGAATTCTAGGTTTTCTAATTTGGATTGTTTATCATCCAAAGAAATCGTTGTTTCCATTTTTTCCCACAAAACTTGCATCATTCCACTGCGTTTTTGTTATACACGTTTTTAAAATAAAATAAGATTTGATATTTTAGTACAAAGGGTCATCATGCGGGATAGGATAAGTGGGATGGACACTGAAAAATGATTCAACCAAAATTTTCATTATTCGTTAGAAACAAACTAAATAATACATATTCAACAGTTATGGGCGCCTCCACTTGATAAATTCTTTATATATTGGAGAATCTTGTCTCCTCGTCAAATCCCATAATCACTGCCTTTGAGTTCCCTTTCTCAATATTCATGATCTATTTCATTTTATTTTCACTAGTATATATAATTGAGAAAGTTTTCCAAAATACGTCTGGAGAAGATTAGAAATGTTATTAATGTACACCTAACTCGACTATCCACAAGAAAATTACTAATTGATCGGGATCAATGATTGTTTATTGAAACGTTTGTTGCTCCTAGAACTAGAGGGCTGGTCCAGGAATAAGTTAACCTTCTTCTCACTACAATACACATATACATATTCTAGTTTATTATCATATTGTCGATATGGTAATCATGACTTTAGTATAACATATGAAATCTATCGAAGAATCTTTTACTGCTTTTCTTAATGTGGGCCGAATCTTCCAACTGTTTTATAAGATATTTTCGTTAGTGTTCTCTATGTTTAAAGATTATGTCGGAGATACATTTTCCATTGTAAACAGTGTTTTTTAGGTGTTACCAATTGGAGAGGCATTAATATTTATCAGTATTTGAAAATGATAATTATTTTAGGTGCTACCAAATCAGCTAGTGGTTTAAGCCTCCCTTTATAGAATTTGAATTTGACCAAAAGAATAATTTTTGAAAAGTATAGGTGATTAGGTTCAATATAAATTTTCATTGCGTGACGAACTTTAAATGTGTGTGGTTGTTTCAGACTTTCAGTGTTTGGAGAATGTAGCGACTCAGCGTGGACCGATATCTTTTTAACTTGTAAGGCCCATTTCAGAGTAAAACGGCAAGCAGTCTGACAAAAAAATCCAGAAATGCTGCGCAATGTGTTTTCCGTAGAATATAATTGGTTATTATTAGTATGAACTAAACTGGTTCATACTACACTAGTAACCATTTCTTCTATAAACAAATTAACCCATAAATATTTGAACTGTTTCGTTTACGCGTTGATTAGATTTAGAGAAATCCAGCAGAACATGTTTTAAAGAAAAAAAATGTTTTTATTTACATAAACAATTTCTTTTCGCTATATTAATATGTGTTCAAGACTTCAGTTTCTTCGCTATACATTTGGTGGAGAATACTACAGTCTACATCACTATCATGTACTTACTAAATGACCAATCGCTTTAGATAAAGAAAGAGTAATAGAACTCTTACATTTGCTTTGAGTTAGGCATGTCTCAACGAAAATGACTATTCAAGTTCAATGTTTCTATCGCATTTATTATTTATTTCAATGTCTTATTCAGTATTTTCCCCAAAATCCCCCAACCACAAATTTTAGCTCATCCATTCATACTACTTTACAAGACGAACACCACCAACATTTTGATCATGTCTCTGCTCTTTAATTTTTGCTTATGTTTAGTAAGAAACTTGAAATTATAGTGGCTCCAAACGATGAGAGTATAATAAGTGGTTCCAAGTATTTGAATAGCTTTTAATGGTTAATGCATGCGGCTGTTATGTTTAAATAATTCGATCAAGACATATTTGGATAGTTTTTTCAATATTTTGATTACTTAAATATAGTTATCAAAAGAATTTGAAAATTTTCTAGACTTCGTTATGAATTCTTCATTTAGGCTTTTGAGTTATATCTCGTGGTCGAAGTTGTACTTAATTTGAGAAGATTCTACGTCGGCCAGTTTACTTCAAATATTGCTATGAAAATATTGATCACGAAAATAATGTGCTCAATTAATCAGTTTTTAGTGTGAATTGTGACGATTCAGTCGGTCCACCGAGAAACGTCCAATAGGCATATATATAGAGGTGATAATACAAAATGTGTTACATTTAGTACTGTATACATGATTAATGATTTATAGCTGTAAAAAAAAAGTGCTACATAACAGTGTATACATGATTTATATTGAAAGCAAAAAGCTGCTAAACTCTGCACTATAACAAAAGAGATGATAGCCACCAAAATGATCGATATGGACTGATCATTCTGAGAAGTCTTTTTGGGTTTTCAACTTACAATCTTACGAACAGACTCAAGTAACTAAAAAGCAAAAAAAAAAAAAGAACAATAATGGCCATTCTCAGCTTTTAACACGATTAAAGGGATAGCTAAAGTTGGAGCGAAAGTTAAAAGTGCTTTTACAGAGAATAAAATTTTCATTTATTTTTCCGAAAGAGTTTTGCAGACATGAGATGTTTATTATGCTCTTCGAAGTATATTTAATGCTTGGAAACACAAATCGCTTCTATAACCTCATCGTTGAGTATCTTGGAGACATGGGAACATATATCAGATCAGATCAAATGTCTCTCTGGACAAAACCAATGACTATCTCTTATATATAGCAAAAAACAGATGTACAATTAAAAAGTAAAAAACTGTGAGACCCTCTGACTCAAATAGAAGTCTCTAAAAGTCTCTTCTTCAGTTCCTCATCTTTTCTTCCTTACCGCATCCAACTGCATACACAGATGAAACCCTTCTTCAGTTATTACGCTAAATCATCTTAACATAAAACAAACACATACGAACATAGCAAATAGCTTACATCTCAAGGCAGATGAAATCTCAGAGCTTTTAATCACACGCAGTCTCTTCACAGATGAAACGAACATTCTGGTTTTAGAACACGTATCAAGATTACATTAGTATCCATTTTTTTATTTGTAAACGATAATCAATTTGAAACTACTAACAAAAAGGTGATACTTTTATACTTTTTTTTGTTATATGATTTAAGAATCTGATTCTGCAAAACACTGAATCAGATTCAGAGAAGAAAAAGAAAAGATTCTTACTGCCAAGGAACATCCCCAACAAGCATCTTGTCCCCTTCATTATCCTCATAAGTTAAAGTAAATTCTCCTTTACCATCCAGTAAACCAATGATCGGTTTCTCTTCTCCTTCACCACCAGAGGTATCTCTTTGAGCTAAATACAAACAAAACACAGCTCAATAAAACAAGAAGCGTTTTCTAATAATAAACAAAAACAAAAGATTTGAAATTAAAATTAACCTGCGAGAAGACCTCTAAAGAGCTTGTCAACGGCAAAAGAGAGCTGTTCGTAACTACTGTAAGCATTGAGATCGACTTTCCGACCAATCGGAACACTATCCATGTTGATTTTTACAAACATTCCTTCCCTCTTAGGTTCGACTTGCTTTTCACCATCACCACTCTTATTGATTTGACCTCCATGAGAGGATTCGTTTCCGAGCTTTGAAGAGCTTGTGCTTGCTAAATTCTTCCTGAAAGAACGAACCGGAGGCCAACCCACCACTGGACCAGGAGCAGTTCTTTGTATCATACATTCAAAAGAAAAGTTATGTCAACACCAAACGAAAAACAGAGCAAAACAGAGCAAAACAGAGCAAAGCAGAGTTTAAAATAAGGCCAGTAAAAAACTGCAAGTTTAACAATTAACACGTGAGGGTGAAAAGAAAGAAGACAACAGAGATGGGTCCCTAATGTCTAGAGAATATCCGCTGTCAAAGTAAGAAAAAAAATTAACAGTGAGGAAAAAGGAGATACCTTTTCTGAGAGATGTGAGGAGCATAAGTGGTTTTGTTGGAAGGAGAGAAATGGTTTCCGCTGAGACTGAAGATGGATTTGTCTTCTGATTCCTTCTTGGTGTTGTTTCTTGATTCTGTGTTCTTCTTCTTCATCGTCGAATGGTCCTCTTCCTCACCACCCGGTGGTCCAAGCCTTAGCTCAAGTTTCTTTTCCTGATCTGTGTTGTTCTTCTCTTCATGGTACCATTTTCTTCCTTGGGGAATCAAATCAAGAAGTTTAGGACAGATTTCTCTGTTTCTTGGACAACCTTCCATTGAAGTTTTTTTTTTTTTTTTGCTTCAACGCAAGAAGATTCCTTATCTCGTTTACAAAGAGATGAAATTCGACAAACCCCAAACTTGAAAAACTTGTAATTGGCTTCAAAAGGTTCAAGGATTTTTGTTCATAAAAACTTATATCTTTCTTACGAGGGGAGACGTACGACAGAGATTCACCAAACTATAAGAAAACTTTAAAGAAAAAAACCTGAGATACCTTTAAAGAAGAAACAATCTCATAAAACTGAGAGCGAGAGAGAGAAAGAGAGATGTAATGAAGATATGGTAAGACAAGTGGTGGGATTTTATACAAATCAAAGCTTTGCTTCTTCTTTTTTTCTTGGCCCCTTTTTCTCTCTCGTGCACGCTTTGGTGGGTTCTCTCTCACACACAGACTTACCCCTTTTTTTTAAACAATTTGTTCTCCCTCTCTCTCTCTCTCTCTCTCTCTCTCTCTCTCAAGATTCTGAAAGGGACGAGAAGAGAAAAAAATTAAGTTGGATTTGTTTGAAGAAGAGCAAATAGTTAAACAAAAAAAAAACCAGAAAAAGGGATAGCAGAGAGTGACTCCACTTTTACTCCTGAACCCCAAAAGATGAAACAAAAAATTACAGCTTCTCCGTACAAAGAAAAACAGTAAATTTTCTTGGCCAGGGATTTAGGCTTTAGGAGGGTTATTTGGAGTAAAACGTACGCAACCTTATCTTTTTTTCTGCCTCAAATATCGCTAATTAAGGATTTGTCTAGTGAAAGAAGCAAGCCGTGCAGTTCTGTTTCTTACAAGTAGTGGTAGTACTATTACGGATTAAATAAATAATTAAATGCATGTATCCAATAAACAACTTGCCAAACAAAAAAAAATGATAGCCGGCGAAAAAAATTAAAATATGATAACAATAAAGGAACTAGGGAAGATCCCATAATTTATGGTCTGTTAAGGACCACTCTCTTATCCACTGGCCATAAGACACATATCCCTATACTTATAAACACATTTTTATATTGGTTTTCATAGTAATATGAAACTTTAATATTATTTTTCATAAGTATCTACAAAAATATTCATATATATAATTTTGGTTCATCTAATAATAAATGAATCGCATGGGAAGACTAACTGATAGAATTCAAGAAATGGGAGTACATACGAATCTGCATGTCGTCTCAATGAAATAAATTTTATTAAACTTAAAGAAGAAATGAAAAATGTCAATTTGTTAGGTAGCTAATCAATAATTTTGTCAAAGTTAAAAACAATGCGTACGTGTGGATTGCGATGGTATATTTAATTTGCTTCCCAAACTAAGTAAGTTCGTCAACCGTTTATTTCGTAATCCTTATTTATTGATTCTCAAATACATATTAATAAAATCATAATTAAAAAATTGACATATTTAGAAAATAACAAAGAACTTCAAAAAGAATATTGGTATATTTGATTATTGAATTCAACATAATTTGTACATAATTTTGCTGCTTTAATTATGAACATATTTCAACGCTAAATCAATTCATGTGGTTTTTATTTTTCAGGAGGGGAAACGGAATGTACATGTCTCTCCCACGTGTGATAGCGATATTACGGAAAGGCCAAACAAAGAAAAATTGAGAGTATAGAGTTCCGGTCAAGTAAGGAAGGGTATTTTTGGCAAATTAGTGAAGGAGTGTGTCGCTAGTCATATCTTGTCTCCGTTTTACCCAACTCCGTGACTTTCTTCCCTCTGTGTCAGACAAACCTTAACCATGGTCAAGATTTCCGGTTCAACTTAACCGCACTTCCTAATCTCAGTGAATAGTTTAAAGTGAAAATATAGCAAATAATAATTAAATTCTAGAAACACAACTAGATCCGCGCAGACAGTGGACACATGTTGCACTTGCACAAGACGTCTAGTTCGTACGATAAGGTTTAAATTTCGGCCTGTAATCACAACCGTAGAAGTGAATAAAGACGAGAGAAGTAAACGGCTGTGATTTAATATTACAAAGCATCTAACTAAAAGTAGCCGACTCAGGAGATAAGGAACAAAACAACTCGTGAAATGAATGTCATATCAGGAAAAGAGAAAAGAGCAACAAAAAAGATAAGCGAAGAGAATAGTGGTGCCAATGATGCTCTTCCAAGAATTTCACCAAGAATTATAATCTGAAGTTTTAAAAGTTATACTTGAACTTGTCTAAATCAACGATTATTTATGACTCACTATTAGTTTGTTGGTTTTTTTACTTTTTAGGGTATTATTATCGTTTGTATACTCTTTGTCAGTCTATGCTAGTCTCATAGTTTGTATTAAGTATATATTAATAAAGCAATATTATCTCTTGTTGGAATGGAAGAGGGAGGGAGGGAGGAGGAGAGAACTAAAAAGAATATATTAGAATGATGAATTTCACTGAAAAAAGATCAGCTAAATAACTTCATACAAAATTTAAGAATTTAGACTCTTCACTTCCAAAAACGACATTGCATAACTGTTTAAAAGTTGCTAACCATTTATTCAGAAGAGGATTAGTTATAACTTCCCCGCAAAGGAAAAATAACAAACAGCTTAATAGGAAATATTCTTACTGATTTGAGAAAGAAGATGAGGGCTCTATCGAGTTAACTAAAATTTTTTTATTAGCCTACTGTTCTGTTTATAACTTAGCGTTGTTTTTGCGTTTCAATTTACCCGATATCGCAGACTGATGAAACCACGGTTGCCACTTGCCATGGAATTGGCCACAAGATACCATTTTCTGTGAATCTTGTTCTTTCAATTGCAAACCTAAACTTACTTGATATCAATTTAGCTTGTTCTATAGTTTGTTTCTTGAACAAGATAACGAAGAAGGAAGGATACAATGATCTACGAGTGCCCATCATAATACTCGATCTTGGTACATCTCGTTAAGTTTATAAGTTATCAATCTTTCGTTTCCTCTGCCTCTCTTCTCTGTTTCTTGACTTGTATAACTTGTAACAGATTCGCAACAACTTCTAAGACGCCGCGTTTTGACATTATCGCAAAAGCAGTTTAGCTTTGGGCTTCTCCACAAGAAAGCCCACTTACACATTGTTCATATGAGGTTGCTTCACCAGTCTCTTCTTAATTTTGTAATTTCCTAAGTTAACATTTTTTTTTGTTGGTCAGGATAAGTCAACATATCAATCGTATACCAAAATATCAAGTTGTAGAGTGCCGTCCAAGAAAATAAAACCAAGTTGTACAGTCGAACAAATACTAAAGTTAACCAAATGATCTTTTTTCCCTCTTAACTAAACATAAAATCTGACCAATATCTCTCAAGGTTTTAAATCTTACAATTGCACCATGCTTAAGCTGTGGAAAGTAGAAAGCCAAAAAAACAAAAAAAAAACAAGAGAATCACGCAACTAGGATTATTGACAACACGAAAAATAGTTTAGGAAAAAAAAAGAGGAAAAAGAATTTATCAACTCTCACAAGTAAAAAATTAAAAATCAAAGCCAATGTCGGACACTAAATCGCCGAGTAATAGCCCACCCAATGCTCCTCCCAGAAGCCCAGCTCCCATTCCAAGCCCTGGTTTATTCTTCTTCGGCGGCGTTTGCGACGGCGGACCACCGTATCCGTATCCCGGCGATGCCTGCGAATAACCGTACCCATGCTGATTCTGTGGCGACGGCGGCGCGTACCCGTGAAACGACAGTGACGGTTGAGCTTGGTGGTACGAATGACCAGGTTTATCAGGAGGAGGCGGATACAAATACGGATAATGCGGCGGGGATGCACCGTAATACGGCGGAGGATAGATATTGGAGGCGGTGGAAGACGGCGGGTAATTCGAGGCGGATGGTGACGGTGGATAAACGGTGACCGGTTGTTCTGTATAAGGTGAATCGTACTGGTGCGGGTACGGATACGTCGGCGCGGAATACTCTTGCGGCGGAGACGACGGCGGATATACAAGTGACGGTGGCGGTGGTGGTGGATAGAAACCTGCTTGAGGCGGCGGAGGATAAGTCGTTGACGGGAAATCAGGCGAAGCTTCAATCGGATTCGGGTAAACCGGGGATGCCGGTAGATCCGGTTTAAATAACGGCGTATCAAACCGGTACGAGAAAGTCAACGAACCTTGACCTTTACCACACGGATTTCTCACCTGATACGTCACGAATCTCATCCCCTGGCCGTTTCGGTTATCGTCACCGTTAAATGACGGCGACGATTTGAGAAGCTCAAGAACCGGTACATGGACTTCTCCGAGATCTTTGTCGCCGAAGATCCGATCGCAGACCAATTTCACGACGAGGGTTAAACGGCCTTCACGGGCTAATCTTTGATTCACGGAGAACTTCACGGCGTGATTCCAAGTCGGCTCAGAATCTCCGGTTCGGTCGACGGCGGTTTTCTCCTTTTGATTCTGTTGAGAATCATCGCCGGTGATCCAAACGACGGCGTATACGTCCATCTTGGTGATAAGGTTGACATTTTCCAAATCTTTTGCAGAGTAGATGTTGAGCTCTAAGGTCAGATTCGCCATGGTAGAGAGAGAGAGAGAAGAGAAGGAGATAAAATTTGTTGTTTCCGTCTTAAAAGGAATGTAGTTTAAGTATTGAATAAATCTGCGCGTCAAATAATAATGATATATTTATGTAACGGAAGCTTCAAAGCTATAATATTAAATCGCAGATGTGTATCTAGTGGACAGTAGAAGATTCCGCTCCATATACAAATCAATCTTAGCCGTTTATTTTAATTAGATCGTCTGACACGTATTAATCTTAGCCGTTTATTCAGCTCTTTCGTTTAATATCTCAAACTTAACCGAATAAACCTAATAATTCTTGACGCGGTAACTTTGAATTCTACTCCATTAATAATTGATGAAATAAGTCTAAGATTGTTCTGGGCTCCACGACTGGAGTAAAACAGTCAACGCGGTATGAGATGAACCGGTTTCGGTCAAGGCTAATTCGGCCGCATTCTTCATGGCCTTGGTTCTCTCCCTAACCGGACCCTCCTCCACTATCTCTCGCACTCGTTTCTCCACCTCCATCGAGCTCACGAAACCCGTCTCCGATTCAACCATCGGGATCGCAATCTTGATCTCCTCCACGATAACCACTCTGTTGAATCTCTGCTCAGCATACAACGGCCACGCCACCATCGGTACACCTATATTACGGTATACCAGTTGAGTTAACCACACCAAATCACTCTACGCATCATTATATCTTTATATGCAATTGATTTTGTGTGTTTATAATCATTTACCGGCGCAAACGGATTCGAGAATAGAATTCCAGCCGCAATGAGTGACGAATCCGCCGATTGCTTTATGATTGAGAACCGGAACTTGCGGAGCCCAGGATTTAACGACCATTCCCCTGTTTCCGGTTTGGTTTAAGAATCCTTCCGGTAAAAGTAATTTCAAGTCCGGTTCTGTTTGGTTTTGTAACTCGGGTGGATTACGGACCACCCACAAGAACCTCTGCTCACTTTTCTCTAGACCAATAGCAATCTCCTTGACCTGTTCTTCTGAGAACAAACCCAAGCTTCCGAAACAGAGGAACACAACACTCTGTTCCGGCTGTGAATCGAGCCATTTCAAACAAGAGTCTGCGTTTTCAACATTCTTATCTCCCGTTCTTCCGTTAACAATGAGCGGTCCAATCGGATAAAGACTGCGAAAACAGAGCTCCTCTGTTATGGCCTTGATGGCTCTGCTCTCTAATGCTTCAAACGTGTTGATGATGATTCCCGAGGAGTTCGAGAGCTGTTTAGAGAACAATATAAAGGCATCGTAAACCTCTTCATTGCGGTCGAGCACCGGTTTAGGCATATCGGAGCCTTTGATCGGAGGAACCCCTGGTATGTTGAGTAACGAGTGGACGTCTTTGAGGTTTTTTCCGGCGGTTGTTTCGTCCAGTGTTGGGAGATGGAAGAAGGAGGCGAGACAGGCGGCTCCAGAGGTAAAGAAGTAGTAGACCGGGAAAGTGAAATCAGAGGTGACGTCTAATACGGCGGTGCAAAAGAAGTCAATGATCATGGCACAGAGGTTGAATGTTTGGGAGATGGAGAACAGAGTCCGGTGGACATTTGGGTTGCTGAAACAGAGGATTTCTAGGAGGAGTGACTCGTGATGTTTTCGTGAGTTTGTGGCGGAGGAGTAGGGTGCGACGGATGGGAGGTGGTGGAAGGTAAGTGAAGGGTAGGCGGAGGAGACGGAGGAGATATAAGTGGTGGTTGATTCCGGCTGATAAGGCGGTGGAACTAAGATGATGTGGATTGAGAGAGACGGTTTTAGGGAGAGGATGAGTTTGCCTAACTCAACCATGGACACTAAGTGACCTATTGGTGGTGATGGATACAGAACTATTGCTTCTTGCTTTTCCATGGTTCTTCTCAAGGGTTTTGTGAGCTTTTTTTTTTTTTTTTTTTAGAAGATCTTTTGTGAGCTTTTGTTGCAAGAATGAAAAGAAGAATGTGAAGTTGGAAGATGATGTTGATGATATGGTTTAGAGTTACACGGCTCTCTGATTGCCAAACAGATTGAGATTTTTCAGTAACTTTATTTTTTTGGAGGATAAGACATATGGAACCGGACCAATCAATGATGGTTCATAGATAATGGATTCACTGTACATCAAAGAAAAATCACAAGTTGTACAAAATTGAAAAATCACAAAGCAACGACGAAGTTGACAAATCACCTATTCTTAGCAATCTGTTGCTCTAAAGCTCATGCTTAGTTTCTCCGTGGTGTTTTAATTTTGTGTGTACCAATAATCTTTCTTTTTCTTATATATAAGTTTTCTTCTTTGCCGGTTTATTTTTCTTAGTTCATTGCAATTTCATAGGCATATAAAACGTTTTATATATGTAAATTTCTCTGGGAATTATCTCTGTTAATGAAGTAAAAAAATTGTTACATAAAGCGGGAAAAGAAATATGGAATAAATTAGATAATTTTACATTATAATCAATAGTACCATGAGGGGATAAACGAATGTGGTGAACTAATACTTTAATTAAATGGGATATTGATAGCCAAGTAATATTATATATATGACATCATGTATTATATGGATTTATTTGAATTCATGGCTGCATCATGCATGTGCAAGAGAAATACCAGAAGTCAAAAATAAGTCAATACAAAAGTAAACAAAGTCAATACAAAAATAAAATACAAGTAAGATACCAGAAAAACTATTAAGCAAACGTGCATAGAGCATTTTCATTAGTGTTATTCTTTATAGGTTTCTTAAAAATAGTTTAATAATTGATTTTTCCTATAAAAGTAATTTTACAAAATTGAGAAAAAAAAATATATATATATATAACTAGCCAATAACCATCCGCCACGTGTTTAAAAAACAGTTTTCTTGCTTTTTATATAAGAAGCGCTCCTTCACTTTTAAGGTTTAAAACATTTTAAAAAATAGCAAATATCTAAGATTTTGGATCAAATTTCTGATAAAAGACTCTCTAATAGAGATGCTCTTAGAAGCTGCCAAAGTTATGTTGTGCCGTTCTAAGATGTGGGGAGTAGATTTCTTAGCAACTTTATAGTGAAATGCTAACATTACCTGTGTGTAAATCCAACCTAAGAAACTCAGTGTGCTAGTATCACATCCCTCAATGATAGGGATGCTTCAAAGTCTTCACTTTAACCCCATTAACTTTCTCAACCTATTCCCAAATGTCACATGAAACGATTAACCAATGTTTAAGAAACCAAACCGTAATCAAAAGAAACAATAACTCAATTACCCGCATTTGCTCGGAAAATTTTGTACCATAATTAATGCCATCTGTCAACAACTACACAAAGACTTGAATTCAAAAATACTTTGTATGATTTAATTCAAACAAGAAAGATAATGAAATTTTTGAAAAAGCATATCTGAGAAATTATGACGGGTTGTTCGTCCCCACTAATATCATCAAAATGCAATTGATTAGTGTAAATCTCCTCCACCGCACCAATGGATTCACTCACAAAATCGGCATATGCGTTAGTTAATGGGACAAAAACCTTTAACAAACCATTTTTAAGACAGTAAGGAGGATTATTTCACCTGGTTTCTTCATTGAAATCATGTGAGTAAAATGAATCATTTCGTTGTCTCGAAGAACAATTGCAAAAAAGAAAACTAATAAATACTCAGTTTTAGAACAGAAATAACAATAAATAAAACTACAACAACATCTATTATTATCACATGTCCCATCCCTTTTTATTTTGACACCATCGATAGGGAAAATTCTGTCATGGTGTTCAAAAATATGTAACAGAGGAGTTTATGTGTGTTATAACAGGTTCCGTCTGTTTCAATCCCAAGCGACCCAAAAGCGAATATTTATCAGCTCTCTTAACCCTGATGCTGGTTAAGAAATGATTAGTAATTAAGTATAGGATTACGAACCTGCGTGTAATTACATAGAGAAAAAAAAATGTTAGGGAAATAATCTGCAAAAAAAAAATGTGGGAGAAATAATAACAAGTGATTAACGATCAATTTACTGATACTTTTGTTATACAGTGAAAAAAGCAATCTTTGAAATGTAACCCTATGACATTACCTCGAATGATTACTGGGCAAACACTGTGCACTAATAATATTAGTATCTACAATGATTGCAAGTAGTATGACGTTACTCTGTTCATATATTCGAACATAAACCATTGTCACAAAACCTTTTGGGATGCAAATATTCTCACCACCTGTAGTTATTTGAGGAGATAAAATCAAGAATAAAACATAATAAAAGTTCATGGAATGATTTCTTAGATTACTATGCAATATTGAAACTCATAGTTTAAATTATGTCAAGAAAGTACATTATGCATAACGAGCAACGACTATAACTTCACCCAAAAGCAGTATCTTTCTGAAGTTCAAAGGATTCAAATCTTGCCAAACCTATGCATTCTCAACTACTAGAACTGCCAAATCACACTCATGAGATATTCTTTCAACTTATGTCTTGTATTTGTTCTTTCTAACGTGCACAAATGTGTTTGCGTTACGAACATCTACCACATGAGTGTTTGTGAGGATCTGCTTTCCCGAGATTGCAAACTCTTTCAAAGTAACCAAAACTATAAGTAGATTCATTGAAGACCCACAAACTTTTCCAATCAAATATCACCAAGACATATGGCAAAATATCAAGATTAATCAAAAATCACCAAAACATATGACATCTACACCAGCTATCAATGTACCAAGTCACCGTTGATGGTTAGGGGCCTGGGTTTTAAAGGTCTTAATGTTGGCCCATATATGACAAGCCCGTCTAGCTCAGCTGGAACATTCATCAATTCTCCAAACGTGAAGCCTAAGTCAAGTTATAGACAATACAATTGCAGATTTCATTTCTACCGTTAATTGCAATGAATTTGGTTCTTTGGACCTTAGCACTTCTGCAGATCCTGGATACTGGAACTAACGTAAGTTCTTGAATTTTCATTTATTTTAAGTGTCTTTATAATGACATCGGTTACCTAACAACGAAGCCTGTCTAGCTCGCACAAGGTTCTTAACCTTGTGGTCGTGGGTTCAGCCCCACGGTGGGTAATTTCGTAACATTTTCTTTTATTTTTGAAGTGTGTAAATATTTAACAGTCATTTCCGTTTTTGTTATGTAAGATGTAAAATATAAAATAAATATTTTTGAAGTGTAAATATTTAACAGCAATTTCGGTTTTATGTCATGTAAGATGATGTAACAGACAAATTAAAAAAAAAAAAAAGAAAAATTAAATACGCGACTAAATCAGGAAATTGAGCTCTCCAATAAACATAACCGGTTCAGTCTATGTTACAATTTACAAACCAGGTAATAAACCAAACCAACTAAACCCAGAAGGCCAAAAAAACAGAGCAACTCCACTAAAAAAAAAAAATTGTACATAATTTTGCTGCGTAAATTATGAACATATTTCAACGCCAAGTCAATTCATTTGGTCCTACATATTCATCTCTACATCGCTCAAGCTCTTGACATAATATAGTCACATATCTATATCCAAGAGGAAAATAAATAATCGATCTAGTTACGCAAATCAATCTGTTTTACTTGAGTTCATTCATCTCGGTATAAACCTCGCGAGCTTTCTTGTGCCATCCTTGTTGCATCAGCATCACAAATATCGAGTAGTAAGTGCTCAAAGTGGGTTCGCAGTAGCGGCCTTTCGCCAGATAAAAAACCGACAAAGCTTGGCTCACCATCTTAGCTCGCCCCAATATTTCCACAAGCTCAGAGAGGTGAGCTGGGCTAAATGCAACGAATTCGTCACTGAGCAGCGCTTGTATGGTTGCATATATTCCCCGATCAAGCCTAGCGTCTTCAAGGGAACGTATCAAGGCCATGTAAGTGGCAGAATCATGTCGAAATTGTCTTCTGTTTAAATGAGCAGCCCAATTGAAAAAACGAATCTTGGCCTGTATCCCAAAGTCAAACTCAAGAACTGAAAGAACAAATGCATGATCCACACGATATTGATGATCCCAAAGTGATATAGCAGCAGCGCGTTCCCAATTGAGTTCTTCCATTATCATTGTGAACCTCGCACCAAACATCCGCACTGACCGATCCCTTAATTTCGCCTGCTCAGAGCCAGGAGGTGTAATATTGAAAAACGGGTCATAACGGCGATAAGAGCAATCTGCGAATTCCAGACAGAAAACACATGGATCAAACAAATTGTCGGGTCAAAAAACCATAAAGAGCAAAACCATTGTTTTCAGACAAATCACTTTTTCTCCTATACCATAAACCATACCTGTTTGTCTCCGATAGAGGTGAGGTGGTAGAGATGATGAGATGGACCGCTTCGGAATACTAAACATCTGAAAAATCTTATTTTCTGCGAATTCGAGAAAACACGTGTCCTGGATCAAACCTAAGCGAAAATTTCAGACAAATCCTTTTCTCTTTTTTTTTTTTGTTTTTTGAACCTTACAAAACCTTTTCTCCTAAAACCACAAACCAACAATCTCGAGTACCTGTTTGTCTCTGAGAGAGGTGACATGATAGAGTTGAGAGTCTCGAGACGACGGCTCGCATCGCGTAAGTGGATAGAGCCGACATCTACACCAGCGATCGATGTACCGAGTCGCCGTCGATGGTTATAGGCTTCCGACAATTTAACATATATATATACAGTAAAACCTCTAACATATTTTATTAATTTATCGTAATATTAATTTATCTATAAATTAATAATTATTAATTTATTATTAATTTATAGTATAAATTAATAATTATTAATTTATAAAAATAATGTTTGTGTATTTAATTAATATACATTTTTTAATTCCTTAACTTTTTTATACTAATATTCCATATTTTTATGTTAATATATGAAGCAGTTTTCTTCAATTTATATTAGTATTCCATTTTTTTTTATTTCTTAAATTTTTTTTTTGAACTTGAGGTTTTGATTAATCATCTCGGTTATCGGAACAAAATGGATGTTAATACCATACTCGACTATCTTGATGAAAACGATACATGTTTAGAAGTTCAGAGTTTAGAAGAGATTATTGCTACTGTCCTTAATGTTGATATTGAAGTTGAAGATGATGCTATGGAACCTTTGACAGCAATTTCGCGTAAGGAAGCGATTATGGCTTCAAGAACTCTTCACAAATTTTGGATGGAGACTGAGAAGACAACGCCAGAAATTGATGCAATAAGAAAAATTAGAGATGAATTTCAACGAGATTCTAACTTTAGGAAAAGCAAACAACAATATATTCATATTTTTTAGATTACCTTAGATATATTTACCTAAAATTTATAATTATTAATTTATGTTTTTGTTGGGACCATATTTTTAAATAAGAGTTTTTAAAAAATTATTATCTTATTATTTTATCGAATTTGATGATTTTTTACATTGGTCCAATTCAAAACCAAAAAAAATTATTAATTTATAGTAATTATTAATTTATCGAATATTAAGTTATAGAGGTTTTACTGTATATAAGTAGCATCGGTCGGTGAGGAAATTAGTTCACGGTGAACCTGGTTTTTAAAGGTCTTAATATTGGCCCATATATGACAAGCCCGTCTAGCTCAGCCGGAACATTCATCAATTCTCCCAACGTGAAGCATAAATCAAGTTGTGACGTAAGTTCTTGAATTTTCATTTAATTTAAGTTTCTTTAAAATGATATTGGTGTGATAACATTGAAGCCCGTCTAGCTCAGTTGGTAGAGCGCAAGGCTCTTAACCTTGTGGTCGTGGGTTCGAGCCCCACGGTGGGCGATGTTATTTTTTATATATATTCTTTGATTTTGAAGTGTAGATATAAAAATATTTGACATCCAGCCATTTCCGTTTTATGTTCTGTAAGATGTACAATGCAAATTAAATACGCGACTAGATTGAGCTCTCAATTCAACATTTATTCACTAGTCGCCCAGCCAATTAACACAACCGGTTCAGTCTATGCTACAAACCAGTAGTAATAAACCAAACCGACTAAACCCAAATGGCCAAAAAACAGAGCAACAACTAACTTCGACAGACTGACACATTCTACCCATTTAAAACCCCAAGAAGAAAACAAACAACAAAATAATAGATAGCCAAAAACCCCCAAACTACGACCACTACAATTAATATATATATACTATACAATGGAAAAAAAATACCCAAAAGCAAGTGTTGAAAATTCAAGATCAGTTTCAAAAGTCTAAATACGATTAACAGACTATTTACAATTTCACCACTCCAAGATTTGTCGTCATCATCATTAATCGGAATCAATCATCAAATCACACAAACGTAGAAGCCTTTGAGGTGCGTTGATGAGTACCGAGAGTGATTACCATTACAGTCACATCGTCATGATATCTCCGTCTCCGACCAGCCGGAACATTCATCAATTCTTCCAACGTGAAGCCTAAAATCAGGTGTTTGTCGTTGTTGTTAGATAATGAAAACTGCAGATTTACTAAAGAGAAGTTAAAAACATTAAAGAAGAAGCTTACCAACACGAGCAGCAGCTTTAGCTACAAGACGTTCAAGTAGAAACTTTGCTGGATCACCACAAGGGTTACTAAAAATGAAGGAATGGACGAGCTCAATCGCTTCCTCGTTGCTGAAGAAATCGAATAAACCATCGCTTGCGACTATAACAAAGTGATCAGACTCCGTTATCTTGTGAACTCTCATCGATGGTTCAACTGAGACGTAAGGTGGGCTCAAAAGGTTACGAACACGGAGAATTCCCATGAGTGCATCGTTCAGTTTCTCCTGCAATCGGATTAGCCAATTAAAAGAAACCAAACACACAAAAATCTACATATGTCGATGATATATCTTTCAAGTATCGAAATCACCATAACAATATACATACCTTTTTCAAGTAACCAACTCCTAGAGCACGAGTAACTTTAAGCTTTCCTTTGATTTTTCCACCAATAACGATTTTGGGATCATCAAGATGTTCACTCAAGAGCCTAGCTTCTTCGATTTCGTTGTCAACAGTGTGATCCTCTGTGAGCTGAACAGCTTGAAGCTTCCTGTTACCATTGTAGGTCGCTAGAACAGCTCTGCTATCACCTAGATTCAGGATATACAGATCCTTCCCGACAAGGAGAGTGACCAGAACGCAAGACCCAACGGACACTAGATCCGGTCTTTCTTCCATTTCTTGCTCAACCATCCTCAAGAAATCATTTTCCGCCTGAAAAAGCGCACGGTTTAAGCAATCTAGCACTCCTTGTCTGAACAAATCAGATGAAGAAGAATTTATTTTACTTATGTTAGATAACAACCCCGATGATTTTACGGCATCATCAACATCATCTTGCTGCGTCATTGTAAGGCTTTGCTTCATCTGGTGATCAAGCAACTGGAGATGGAACACAATGGACTCATACAAAGTACATGCCAAGAAATCAGCAGCATCTCTTCCATTGAATCCATCATAGATGGCGCAAAAGAGCCAACCGTTCTCCTCAGAGCAAACGGCCTGAACCCTATCTTCACCTGCTGCACCTCCAGCAACTTGAACTTCCATGGCAGAGAGGAGAAACCCTTCGTTCACAGAAGAAGGAGAGCTCATCGACGTCAAGAAACAAGATTCTGGCTCAGGAGGACTCGGGCTAGTAGACGAGCTGCAGCTGAGACTCGCCATGCTGCCATGGAGAGAAGGAGAGAGTATGTCGAGCTTTGAAAGCGCAGGGGAAGATGGAACTTTCCTGAAGGATCTGGGAGAATCTAGAGATGGCAGAATCTCGGAGCCAATCACTCCGTTGCAGATATTCGTGTTGGCTAATGTTGGGTTCCCGCTTAAAGCAGCTCCTGATAAACAAGAGAAACTGCTTGTCTTTTGAAGCCTAAACCCAGCAAGAACCTCACGCCCATCAGTAATAGTATCTTCAGGGATTCCTATCTTACTCTTATTGTTATTGCATTGATAACCAAAGCTTATCTCAATCTCTCCATAAGGATCACTTATCGTCTCTTGCTGCATTTTTTGTGAAAAAATGTTTCTGAAACAGCAAGAAGATCCAATTTACTCATCAGATTAACCACTAATGTTTATATCAATCATTGATCAAATCATGATCCACTAGCCAAGAAAAGTACAAGAGAGGCATATGAAGACGTGTTTTTTAATCAAAGTCTTGGATCCAAAAACAAAACCTAGTGACTTATACAAAAATCCAACCTTTTTAAACTGTTTTTAATGACCTTAGCGAGAAAATACGTGGTGTGAGTGAAAGCACAGATCGAAAGTGAGAGATAGATGGGGCCAAGATAACGAACACTTTCTTTTTTTTCCTATTCACTTGCACGTTCTTCATAGGACGCCATTAAATGCAGACCACATAAAGTTATATTTGGCAAATGATTAAGATAAAATGTTTCATAAAAAAAAAGGCTAAGTAAAACCCAGAAACAGAGGAACAAATCTTCAGAAAAATTAGATTTAGTTCGTCAAATGTTGAAGTATTCAACATGACGTGTGTTCATATCTAAATGGATATCGACAAAAATCTCCTAAGCATTGATATATTAATAATTCCGATGAAAAGAGCAAATCAGAACTTAATTGCAAAACCCTAAATCAGAATAACAGGTTTATTCACGAGCAGACATTAGCTATTATTCAGGGATGAGATAACTGTTTTTACCTTAATGTATCACGGAAAACGCGGGTGGAGAAATCCAAAGAGATATTGGAAGAATTTGGAGAAACTCAGAAGAAGCGAAATTCGAAAAGAAGAAATCGAAGGAGACTAAGGAAAGCGAATAAAAATGAGTGAGAGAAGTGAAAAGAAGATGAATGGATAGATGGATGGAGGAGAAGAGTTTTACGAGTGAATGTTTTCTTTGCTAATTTTGGAGTTAAAATCGAAGCTACTTCCCTTTATAATGTTTTTTTTGTCACTTTTTTTGTTTTCTTTCTCTTTCTATCTTTTTGGTTTTTGATTCGTTACCTTTTAACTTCCTTTTTTACCCTTCAGAGTTCAATTTTAGAATTCTTTTTACAAAATGTTAATTTTTTTTTTTTTTTTGTAACAACCTTCGTAAATACCGGTGGATAAAAAATATATACCAACGAAAGTTAAAATAAAATCAATAAGAGTCAACAATTGAAGGCAATAAGTGTGTAAGTTGACATTTTCTTTGGTGATGTCATCCTCAGATCCCTACCTGTATAAATATTTTATCCAATTATATAGTTCCTATTATTTTTCTTGGACTGCTCAAAGAACCAATATAATACGAATACACGGTTAAGCAATTAATCTCTGTTTCGTTTTTGTTGTCCAGTTTCCGACGATAGTTATTTATTTACATATTAAAATTGCAACGGGTAATATTATAACGAATTTTAAAATGGTAATTCTTGTCATCCTATTAAATAAACCCACATGTTCAGTGTGGAAAGAAACTCAAATAGAGACTGTATATAACTTTTGTTTTTTCAGAGGTAAATAGCTTCAGATTTGTTGACAAGAATAGCTTCCAGATTTTTATTTTTTTTAGTGGAGTTGGTTGTGTAAATTGAAAATATCAAATTCAGAATAGTAATAAGAGTGGGCATCAGAATAAAATAATCCAAAAATACATAGTGACGTTCTAAAAAATCTGATTTTTTGGGTACTAGATGCAGACGTGGCGTACATCATAGTTGCCGCAAACAGAGACGCGAGGAAGTAAGAAATTAATAAGTACATACAGATATAATAATAAAAGTGGTAAGCAAAAAATCGAGAATGTTTACAAGTTAGGTCGCATGACGTAACAGAGGGGAGCAGATCTTAACATTTTGCATCTCTCTCTGAGCATATAAAATACTTACTATTGTTTATCGAATATTTTTAAAATCGAATGAACAAAGCCACACGATAACAAACAATTACTAATACGTACGCAATGAAAAACCGTGTATTTTAACGAATGCTATTGACTTGGTGAATTGAGCTAATAATCTTAGCTTACGTTGTCACAGCTCAGAGATGTATGTCAAAATCAATTTCGATTTTTGACATATTTCAAACAGTCCCACAACCTCAGACCGGTCTCCGAATTGAACTACGGAAACTGGTACAGGCTTAGCCGGTTTCCTTCCTCAAAACTTACTTAATACTCCTAGTCACTCTCGCCCGATTGATTCGGTTTTGATAAACTAAAATTCCGGTTATAAGCCTGTGATCGCTTTCATGCACAGTACGTTAGCTAAGTACCAAACCGTTGCACAAATAAAATTCACGGACCAAATGTGCGGTATGATTCTACAAACCAAGAGTCAATATAGAGGCTGAGTGGAAGATCATATCACATCAATATCATATCATATATACGACTTATCAATGATAGGGAGAGTCGTTTAATAGACTTGATAAATAACGACATATACTGATTATTTGTGGCTGTTGAGCCACAGGAGAGGCTGCTTGCTGTTGAAGGCAACTTATGAAAACAGTCGTCATCACTACAATTCCCTCCCCTGAAAATGACATTTAATGACAATTCCATTTAGCTTACGTACCCTTTTTTTTGGCAATTTATAATTAATTGGAGAGATCTCGGTTTGTCTTTATGAAAGCGGTTTTCAACTATAGATTATACAGTCTTTGCAAGCTGTTCCAGGTTCTTTTGTTTAAGACACTTTAGGAGCTTGCACTAGATGCACTATAGAACCAGGATTCATAACCTAGGATACGGTAATAACGGACCTTTGTTTGTTTTAGAGACAGGTTTAAGGCTAGCAACTAATGGGACTACTTATATGTAACGTGACGTTATGAATTCACAGTATTAACACCAAGTGCTGCTGAGGATTACCTTGACTTTTTCTATGCTGGAATCAGTAAGCGAAGTATTAAGATGCAATGGTGTAGAAAACTTTTGTCATTCCTTTCTTTGTTCTCATCTGTGTGACCTGAAAAACGGCAAGGGAAGTAGCCAGAATCATGTAAATATAGAAAGCACAAGACAAGAGAAGGAAAAAACATAAAGGGAAGATATCTTCTTTTTTTTTTTGTTGACATCAGGAAAGATATCTACTTGAGAGTGGGTATATTGGATGTGTACCTTCATGCTTACGATATCAGATATATCGGAGACGTGTGTACCACCACAAGGACACCCGGGGTTTTCACCTAATCTTAAGATCCGGGGAGTGCTGCCCTGCGAGGTAAGCCAATATAGAAATTTGAGTTTGATATATTTCAAGAGTGAAATGGCTCAAGACAGTCTATTGTGGAATCTCTGTCATTTGCTATCCATTTTTTCATTGCTTAAGTGACTAGCTTACTCTACCTGGATACCTATTACTCTACTACAATGCAATGGTGTTCCCACAATTTTCACTACCGTAGATACCAAATAGATGATATAACTTTTTTTGTTTTACATCTAGATGATATAACTTTTTAGACAAGGAATAGGAACTGATACAGAAAATGGTGTCTATCCATGATTACGATTTACTTAAAACCCAAAAAAGATCACTCTAAGAAAAGCCATTGATTTACACTGCAAAATTTTAATGTAACTGAAGATAAACATTGCTAATCCTATAAGAACTTTTTCACGTCATTGAGGAAAATGCTAATCTACACGTTGGACAATTGAGGTTTATGGGCAATGGAAACAATTCATTAGAGATCGTGCAAAAATATTTTCTATATTGGCAGATACCTTAGGAATATAATCAGGAAGATTGCCACCACAGAGCACGGATGCCTCTTCATAGGGTAATATAGCGGCATAAACCTTATATAGTGAAGAAAATTTTCATTATTAAGAAGCCTAACACAAAATAAATAAAAAAATCAAAGGAATCCAACCATGAATAAGAGACTCTTAGGATTTACCTTTCCCCCTTTGGATATCAATTCGTTAGCTTCTGCCTCCAACTCTTTCTGCTTCACCTGCAATACATCCTGTGGAAGGATTCCTTTGTATTCCACAAAAGGACTGATCGCTTTGTAGTTAGATCTACCGTTTATATTTGTCAGCTATGTTTAACGAAAGCTTGCAAAGACGCAAACGGATAACAAATCGTTTAATGAGATACATACCCGTCTGGAAAATGGTACCCTTTCCCAGGCTCCAAATGTCCTAACCCAACTTTCTGCATACACAAATCTAGCAAGTGTCCAGCTGAGTGCAACCTGATCACGAACAAAAAAAATGTTAACTTCAAGATCGAGTCCAGGCACAAACAAGAATCAAAATGCAAGATTTGAAAATCGAAAAAATCAGTGACTAATTTTCAGAATTTGTTGCTATCATGTGATTGCATTAACGATGAGAACAATCTTTAACAGTCTATATGGGAATTCTGAAGATTTCCACAAGAAGGATTAAGAATCTGCATCACTTGCTATTCACATAATTTGATTCGAAAAGTAAGAGATAAATTTGAAGCATCAGTATCCACTTTGGAGAAAAGATAATATTTTCTAAAGCATTTTAAGAATGTCTTTAACACTTTTAATGCCAACACTATCAAATCAAAATTGTTTTGCCTGGAATTAAGTTTGCGCCTTGATTCATCAACAATCAAATGAACTTCTTGCCCTTCCTCAATGTTCATTCCACTTTCAGGATTTGAGCCTTCGAAAACTCCGTAATGGAGTACCTATAAGCAATACACAAACATCATAAAATTTCCAAAAACAGTGGAAACAATCTGACGTAAGCAATCATAATAAAGTTTAACATTACAATCCCGTCTTTCGATCGAACATCTTGAACGGAAAACTTGGAATCCGAACCGGTGAATACGATGAAGCCGGTGTCTGATGGCTGGCCACCACCTTGTGGATGAAACACCGTCGAGTCAAGTATCAGAGCTGTACGTCCATCTTGAGCCTGATTCATCGAGTTAACAAGGTATTAAGCGACACAGAGAAAAGGGATTCAGCATTGAAGCCGAAATAAGAAAACGGCGAAGAGCTCGAAAATGGTTATAATGTAGACGGACCTTGAATAAGGAGAGAAATCTGGCTTGAGATTGAAGATTGAACATGTCTACATGGTAAACAAGCTTCGTCGGAGGAAAATCCATGGTGATTCCGACGGCTTTTACTCGGGGTTAACGAGCGAGTGACCACCCGAGTTTTTTTTTTTTAAGTCTCGCGACGATGCGGTCAACAGTCAACCAAATAAAAAAAAACTTTTACTTTTCGTTACACATTACTTGTCAAAAATTGACTAAAAGCCGCCTCTCCAGATTTTTACGAATTGGAATCCATTAGGCCTTTGCTATTGGGCCTTTTTAGGTTTTGATGCTCTGGTACCATATTACTGTAAGATTTTTTTTTTCTTTTGACAAATTAAAAAATTTGGACCATTACAGTAGAGATTTTTCTAATTCTAATCAAACTTTTTGTTTATTTGATTTTGGTAGAGGTTACATTGTGCCTTATATATATGAACCAGAAATTAACATAGACCAGGAAATACACTTCCGGTTATGTACACTTGATAAACGTTATTCAATTTAATATAGATTAGAACAGAAACTGTATTGATATAATACATTACTATATTCGTTAGAAGAGTCAATCAATCTCATACTACAAACCTCAGGTTTCAAATGATGGCAACGCGTAATCGGTGAGAACATAGAATTTAAGCCGCAAATAATAACATAATATTGCACTGACAAAATCCAAATAGAGCTCAAATCCCGGTGGGTGTGTCATGTGTGGGTCCAATTGCTCCTCAAAATCATTTTTCATTTCATAAAACTTGTGCTTGGTGGCGGCGTGTCGCTGCGCATGATTTGGTTTTTGATAATGTTTATTTTGATGAAATTGCAAATCACACGTAGAGTAATACTGTAATACTCAATAGTAATGTATAATCTCCCTTCACTAATATGTTGGCATTTTAATAGATGGTTCTTTTCTTTGTACAAAACATAGAATAAGACCACTCATAATTGTACAAATTCAAAGTAAATGCTTTCTATTTTTATTCTTATCTACCCTTGTACCTTCGTTTTATTGGTAGTACCTTGAAACATCAATACATTTTCAAATGTACATGCAATGCATAATGGTATAAGCAAAACCATAATCATAGTTTTTCTACTTTTTGTCAATCTATATTTTCTACTTATGATTCTGTTTTGGAACATTATAAAAAGTTGTCGTTAAAATAACACAATAGAAAATAATATTAAATAACAAAAATTTAGAAAATTAGTGTGGAATTTTAAAATATGATACTTTTTGATACTTTTTTTTGCCGCGGCACTCTATCTAAAAAAATTTAAATATCTGTATAATTGGTTGATAAATTTAGAAAATCGTAAAATGACAACAAAAACATTAATAATAATCTATTATATAAAAGTTGAGTTGTGCCTCACAAATTTGACAACTCAGCATTCATCTTTTTGACATCTCATCTCCACATCAGGTTAATTAAGTAAGTCACGTTTCCTAAACTCTACAAATTCAATTCATGAAAAAAACGTTTCATATTCTAATCTTTAATTGTGACTGTATTTAATCCATAATTATTAAATTTTTAACAGTTATGGCTCGGTGATGTCTATATATTAATCAAACATCAGAAGTTCATTATTGCTCAGTATCTACTGTTCTAATATTTGATTGTTGCTTTTTAGCGGATGGAACACGAGACAAACTATCTCATTGCAAGTCTTTTTTTATATTCTTACTAACAATGCTTATATAGCTAATAATTTCAAAGAGGTATGTAACCAAAAACTAGCTTTGTAATTTGGTTGTATACCTCAATGTGTCTTAGTATTCTTCCATGCAAATGTTTGGAGCTAATTTTCAAAAACTGTGAAAAGTAGCACAAGTTGTAGAGATGGACAAGTTGGTACTTCCGTACTTGGTAATATGATTCAACATGAAAAAAAAACTATGTTTTGCAAGGTTAATTATGCTGCAACATTATTCTTGGTGATAATGCATTGAGGATCTAAGAATGAAGTGGTTCACACATCTGAAACCGTAGCTGATGTTGCGAGCTGTCAACTTGCGGACCAGCTCGGGTTAAGTAAAAAGTGAAAAATATTCTATTTTTTTTGTGTGATGCTAGGACTAAAAGAAGAAATGGATTTTCTGATTAAAGAGGAAAACGAAATCTGTAGAGAAGAGAATCTGATTTCGGAACAGTAATTGAAGATGGTCGCCTTCTTCACATCATAGCTATATAAAAACATGATAATTCTGATGAGTGAATGAGCAACGGTTGAAGATTATAAGTAGTTTACCAAAAGGATTTGATAGGGTTTAAATGTTTAATGAGAGTGAAAAGATGCCAAAGGTTCACAAGAAAGAACTTAAAAGAATCTTTGATAGGAATTGTTTATAACTTCTTAAAACAAAGAAAAAATGGATATATATATATATATATATATGCTAGATTCCTATCTATTAATAATTTAAAATGACCAACCAATATGAGAAAATTAAAGTAAATAAACAAGATGATAATAAAACCAAAATTTAGTTCAATTAGAATAGGTTACTTTTCTATATTTGAATAATATTTAATAAATATTATTCAATTACACTACATTTAAATATTTATTTCAATTAATATATGTATATAGAAATCACATATAATAAAAAAAAATCCCGCGTGTCAACGCAGGTATTTATCTAGTAATATCAAAGAATTAGTGGATGTCTCCATCAAAACACTTAGCGCATTAAACATCCTTGGATCTGAAGCTAACAAAAGAAAAAGGCCACTTGTAAAACTTCTGTATTTACAACATCACCAAAAGTCAAGTGGTATCATTCGTAATTAATCATATCTTTCAGTGGCATTTTCAATATGCTCCTTCTCTTTTAGTTAAAACCTGTTCACACACTCTCTCTTTTCTCTTTCCTCAAAGTTCGTGCTCAGAGAGAGAGAGAGAGCTTCAGAGAAATTAAGCTAAAGAGAGACACACAATCAAACAAATAATGAGAGGACTCTCCAGAAACTCTGGCACGGCGGCGATTTTCGCGATCCTTGTAATCCTCGCCGTCCAGCACTGGTCCGTCGCCGTATCTTCGCAGTCCGTCGAGTTCGCCGGAGATTTTCCTCCGATCGAGACAGAGTGCCGTGGAACCATCGCAGAGTGCTCGGTTTCCGCAGCCCTCGGCGACGAAGGAGATCTCTTCTACGGCGGAGGAATGGGAGCTGAGTTCGAGATGGACTCGGAGATCAACCGGCGTATATTAGCGAATAGGAGGTACATCAGCTATGGTGCGCTGAGGAGAAACAGTGTTCCCTGCTCAAGACGCGGCGCATCTTACTACAATTGTCGACGTGGCGCTCAGGCCAACCCTTACTCTCGTGGCTGCAGCGTCATCACTCGCTGCCGGCGCTAAATCCCTGTAACTGTAATTTCCTCAAATATTCTTTTCTTTTTCTTATATATCATTTTGCCGGTTTATTTTTATGAGTTCATAGCAAATTCATACGCATATATAACTTATATATGTATGTAAATTTCTCTGAAAATTATCTCTGTTATTGATGTAAAAGTTTGTTGCATAAACCAGGAAAATAAATATTGAATAAAAATTAGATAATTTACATTATATTCAGTAGTATCATCAGTGATAACCGAATGTGTTCAACTATATTGTAATAAATAACTGAGCCCTTTGGTTTTGAAAAAATATTGTAACTAAATGGAATATTGATAGCCAGGCAAATGCGTAATATATATGAAAATAATGTATTATATAGATTTATTCGTTGTATTCATGGGTGCTTCATGCATGTGCGAGAGAGATACCAGAAGCTAGTAAATTAAAATAAGTTTCCATATGGAGAAGTAAAATAAAATAATAGTTCATTTTTCTTTTGTCAAAGAAAAACTAACTCATAAAATAATTAGTTTTTATTTTACTTTTGAATATCGATCGAACAAAATAAAAAGGAATAAAAAGCGTCGATAATAGGATTTGGTTGGGAGCCAACTAAAGCCAGCTTCACCTGTATGTATCTCTTTCGGCAGAGCCACACGTGGAGGATAATCTGTGATATTAATTTATATAATATTTTTGTGTGCACATATTAGAAAAGAAATTAGTACAATTTATCATAGTTTTCAAGTAAAACAGAAATATGAATTTCTCTAGATGAAATTTTCTTGTCACGAGAACTCTCCCCACCTATAAACCAAACACATAATGTCTTCGTGATTAACGGAATTGACCATTACGAGAAAAAAAATGTTCGTTGAGGAGAAAATTGTCAAACGTTACATTATTTGTAAAGGAAGGACCCATTTGAGACATTAATATCGCAACAACAATTCAATTAGAGACACTTTTTAATTTAGAGTACTTCAAATCTACCGGGTCTTATATTTCCTCAATCCTCTTGTCACATTTTCCACATAAAAAAAATATATAGTACAAAAAAATAAATAACAATGATAATAACGCAAAGTTTGGACCACATCTCTCCCCATCCCTCATGGACAGCCCAGAGGCAAACAAAACTCATCACCGATTTGTTATACATTATAAATATTATTATTATATAGATATTGATCCTCATCCGAATAATGAAGCTCAAAAATATAATATATTAGTCTCTAACGTGTGCATCCAAACCAAGAAACGATAACTCCATCTTCCACGTCCTTGTCACACGGACTTTGCTTTCCCATATCTGATATCTATCCCTTATACGAATTTTCTATACAAGTAGCATTTTTCTTTTTAGAGACAAATTCAAATGGTTACATCAAATTTTAGTAGCTGGCATTGATTTTCTTTTTCTTTTTTTTTTTTTTTGGTTGGGATCAATGAGCTCACTTAATATATTTTGGATATTTTAAACCACGAGTTCCTTTACCTACCATCTTTTGAAATGTCAGCGTTCAGAAGCGATGGGATTCCAATGGAGTATCGATCAAGCAACAACTATTTTGGACCACTAGACTTCTCTTTGAGCTTTCTCCAAGGATGGACTCGGACCGGCTTTGCCCGGCCCAATGTTAACTATACATGGCCGGTTTAAAGTAAATCATGATCAAGTTTTTTTCTCCTTTATATTTTGGTAAAATCATGTGTAGCGTCTGCTCAAATGTGACCATTTGTTTTAAGTTAAACTAAGAGTTGGAGGGTTTTTCCAACTCTTAGTTTATCTTAGATTTATTCTCTTCGGTTATTTAAGAAGCCTTTGCTTGCAATTTTGTCTTGGGCTGAAAGATTGATATGAGACATGTTCTGATTTTGCATTGAAAGAGTTTGTATTTCCCTTCCATGTACACAAACAATATTACAAGCTATTTTTTAATGTGGAAAGTGTACTTGTCAACTATCTGATATTGTTGCTTAAACCTTTATAAGCAAACGAATTATTTGAAACGTACTTGTCAACCATCACATTTTAAAATGTGGCATAATTATTAGGAGGGCCTATGTATCAAGAGTCCCAAAAAAATTTCAATTTTGAATTATATGACTTGACCACAAGTGAAAAGTAATTAACAAACTCTTCGAAAAATATCACGCACTAGAGTTTCCTCTAAGAACATCTACAATAAATTATTTCTCCAAAAAGAGGCAAAACAAAAAGGAAAATGAGCAAAATCTCTAAAGAAAGAAGGTTTGTGAATGAAAACACAAAAATCCAAATCAACTTTTACACGTAATAAAATTAAACTTGTGATTCTGCTAATTCATCTCTTTGACCTCGAGGAACCGGGACCAAGCTGGGAAAACAAGTGCAATGCCAAGGCCAAGAATCAACCACAGAATCTATTTGGACTTTTCTAATCAGCTTGTTTTCCCCGAAAACATAGATCCAAGCTTGGCCAGATTCATCGCAAGAACACACGACAAGTCTTTTATCGTCAATGAAGTAACTTGGCTGAGCGGAGGTTCCGGTCGGTATTAAACCCGGAAAGTTAGGAATTGACAAAGTCATGAAATTCATCCAAACCACATCATCACCATCCGTAACGTTAACCTTGTTCTTGGTCACCCAAACCTCAATCTTCTTTGTCTCGTAGCATTGTTTTAACAACGAAAACCGATTCCCCTTAAAGACCCTAAGGACAAGGGCATCGCTAGGATCGTTCATACCACATGGTAGATGACAAAATAATCCGGAGAATTCTTCCCTCGAAAAATCGAAGTAAATTAGGTGGTACAAGGGATCAGTCTTGTCATAAAAAGCAACCCAATAAATTATTCCATTTAAAGATACACCACTTGTAGAATGTAACGTAGAAATATTTTCTCCCTGAATATTACTCTGATCACTATCTACAAATTCCGACCCGAGGAGGACCTTCCACGTATCAGAGACAAAGTCATGAATTTTCCACACCTTTGTATCAGACCAAATGGTCTTGTAGACACTTTCCTGATCACTTGTCCTATTATAACCTATGCCATGTATATTAGAACTAAGCCCGGCTTTGATCCTTCTACTCTGTTTCAACCACGGGTTCCAAACCACACCTCCTTTGGCTTTGTCCATTCTACATAGCAAGAACTCATCGCAATCGACCAAGTATTTAGGTGTTTGAGATTTTAAACCGGGAATATCCAAGGTTATCTCACGCACCACTATCTTGGGATCAATGCTTACCGAGTAAATCTTGGATTCGGTTACTAGGATGAATCGAAACGTCGACTTGTGGTTGTTGATGAACGTTTTGTCGTCGAAGAGAGCGTTCCATCGTTTGCAAACGGCTCTAAAGCGAACAAGAGATTGAGGAGGGACACGAGAGAGTATCTCTTCAATCAACTCCCATGGAAGTTTCTCCTCCTGCGATGCTGACCCTTTTCTTTTCTTTACTTGGTTGAATCCATTACCCATATTTTTTTTTTCCTAATTAGGGTTATAATCCAATGTTCGTTAAATAGAGTTTTGAGATTTTACAAAACAAGAAATAAATTGTTAGATATTCACACGTGACCATATCTGATGAGTATGACACCAAAATAAATAAATTGTCAGATATTTCTATTCTTTAAATTGAAGTATATCCGAAATATATAGTAACTAATAATAAAAATGTATCCAACTCATATTTGCTTTGTATTTTAGTGTTTTTTTTTTAAAAAAAAAATCCTTACAATCATTAGTATTTAAATTGAACAAAACAATTAATTAATGTACTTCTATTAAATCAATTTATTGAGTGTGTTTGCAACAAAAATAAAATTTTAAAGGATTCAAAGTGATCAGCAATTGTTGACAAAGAAAAAAGAGTGATAAGCAATTAAAGCTTATCAAATGTGTGCTTATCCGATCCATAGTATTTGACTATTTTTGAACCAGAAGATTATTTTGCGAATTTGATTATCTTTGGTTTAATAACTTTGGTTAACGATTATCTATGCTTTAACCAATCCCTGGTATCTACGATTATCTTTGGGTTAACAACTTTGATTTCACTAAATTATATTCTCTTCCTTTCAAAATATAAGACGTTTTAGAGATTATTTTTTGTTTTATAATATTTTATGTATTCAAATTTTTATGCAACTTTAAATTTAATGAATAACGTGTGACCAATTGTACCATGCATTTTTTTTTAGTGACTGGTTGAATTGTTTTTAATACAATGATACTTTTTTGAAGAAACATAAATTTCGTTTTTCTCCAAAAATAGACATAACAAAAAGGAAAAGGAGCAAAATCTCTAGTTGCAACAAAGATGATGGTTTGTGAATAAAAAACCAAAATCCAAATCAACTTTAGCCTTCTCAACAACCAAACAAGAAGAATAACGTAAAGAAAACTAAACTTCTAATTCTTCTTCTTCTTCTCTTTGACCTCGAGGAACCGGGACCAAGCTGGGAAAATAAGTGCAATGCAAAGGCCAAGGATCAACCACAGAATCTATTTGGACTTTGCTGATCAACTTGTTTTCCGCCACAACATAGATCCAAGCTTGGCCAGATTCATCGCAAGAACACACGACGAGCCTTTTATCGTCGATGAAATAACTTGGCTGATCGTCATGGTAGGTTCCGGTCGGTAATAAACTCGGAAAGTTAGAAATTGACAAAGTCAACAAGTTCATCCAAACCACATTGTCACGATCCTCAACGCTAATCTTGTTCTTGGTCACCCAAATCTCAACCTTCTTTGTTAGGTGGCATTGTTTTAACAAGGAAAAACGATCTCCCTTAAAGACTCTAAGGACAAGAGCATCGCGAGGATCGTTCATCCCACATGGTAGATCACAAATATTGAAGAATCTTTCTCTCGAAAACTCGAAGCTGTATAGGCGGTACAAGGGATCGGTCTTATTGTCAAAATAAGCAACCCAATACAAAGTTCCATTCAACGCTACACCACTTGTGGAATGTAACCAAGGGCGTTTTCTACTTTCACAGGATTCCGGCTTGACGACGACTTTCCACGTATTGGAGGCAAAGTCATGGATTTTCCAATCGGTGAAACTAGACCAAATGGTCTTGTAGACATGACTTTCCTGATCACTTGTCCTATTACTATCGTAACCTATGCCATGTATTTTATCAGCTCCATGGTCGGGTTTGATCCAGCTAGTCTGATTCAACCACGGGTTCCAAACCGCGGCTCCTTTGGCTTTGTCCATGCTACATAGCAAGAACTCACCGCATTCAACCAAGTCCTTAGGAGGTATCTGATATTCTAAACCGGGAATATTCAAGGTCAACTCACGCACCACTATCTCGGGATCGATGCTTACCGAATAAATCTTGGATTTGGTCTTCAAGATGAATCGAAACGTGGACTTGTGGTTGTTGATGAACGTCTTGTCGTCGAAGAGAGCGTTCCATCGTTTGCAAACGGTCCTGAAGCGAACAAGAGATTGAGGAGGGGCACGAGAGAGTATCTCTTCAATCAACTCCCATGGAAGCTTCTCCTCGTGCGCCGCTTCTCTTTTCTGTACTTTGTTTTGGTTGAATCCATTATCCATTGTTTCTTAACTAGGGTTTCAACCGAGTGTTCGTATTATATGTCTCTAAAAATACAGTATTGAGATTTTACAAAACAATAGATATTCAACCGGTGATATTTTCCCCTTTTTTCTAAGCTCTTAATTTAAGTTTCTATTTTCCAAAATAAAATTGAAAACACAAACGTTAAATTATAGAAAATAAACAACAAAATAAATTAGTATGATAAATACCCTAAAGTGGCATTAAACATTCAAGAAGTTGTGCCATGTTTGCCTGAAAATTTTATTTTGGTGTTATTTTAGAGAATTGCTCTAATTATATTGATTAAGTCCCAATCAATTAAACCAAACTTACGATCGTTCCACGCAATGGTTGCAAACTCGTATATTGCATGCAACTCTCGGACTAACTGTGGTAGTACTGGCGTCCACGTCAACAACACTGTAACCATAACTAAACCCAAAGATCTTGTAACCTTCTCCGGACTACGATTATCTTTGGTTTAATAATTTGGTTTCTTCATATTATATGGTTTAGTATAATTACTAGAACAAAACATGTATTTTTCCATTTTTAACTTCCTGCTGGGTCCAAAAGTTTAGAAATACTTTTAAGCTGGTATCATAATTCTTGCAGCTAACAAAACCCATCAGGGACCAAATCTGGTTGATTCATTCATATGATTAGGCCTGAATTTTTCGGGAATTGGGACGGGAATTGACGGGTAGGAGATGAGAATGAGAATTTCGGGAATTTGAATATACTACCCAAAGTATTCCCACAAAATAACGGGAGGGGAATTTACGGGTATGGGACAGGAACGGGAAATTCGGGAATCAAAACATACTTCCCATACAATCCCAAAATAAAATATAATCGGGAAAAGAACGGGAAAGAGACGGGAAAAATTTCGGATAATTCAGATAATTATATTAAAATCAATTTTTGTTTTTTTTTAAAATTATTATTTGTTAATAAATTGGAAAAATCATTATTTATTATAAAAAAAATTTCAAATAACTGAAATCTCTAAAATTTTACTTTATATAATTACCCAACGGGAAGTTCGGGTAATCTCATTCCCGTCCCTACCCTTTCCCTTACCCATTCAAATATTATTTTCAAATTATTTTCAATCCCGAATGGGAAATTATAATTTCACTTTCCCGAAAAATTCAGGAATTTCGGAACGGGTACGGGACGGGACGGGTTACCCTTCCCGAGAAATTTAGGCCTAGATATGATGATACCAGAGTTGGTATCAACTAGCGTAGATTACATTCACAGTGTGAGTTAAAAGTAGCTAGAGGTTTTTTTTTACACACCATTAAATAGATACTGGAGATCATCTACAGTTAGTCGATCATCACCTTTTTGAGTATGATTATATGTAGGTAAGTGAGTCTCTTATTATTATTTACTAATATATTTAATCAGCTGGGGTTGAAAAAGTTTAAAGACGTCTTTTGTTTGGGATCATTAGAGCATGTTCAACAGCGTCTTTAAGCAGGTCTTTTAGGTATTTAAAAAAAAATTACTAAATGTTAAAGACATTTCTTAAATAGAAGACGTAAGATACGTCTTTTATGTTTTTTATGGGCCAGGTGTCAGTGTTTGATTGGAGAGATTAATTGAAAAGAATTTTTTTTTATTTCTCTCTCATTTCTTCTTCTTCTTCGACCAAAAGGTCTTTCCATTGCACCTCTCAAAAATTTCAGATTTTTAAATTGGATCTCTACTAATAAAATAATCTATTTTAATAATAAAAATAAGAATAAAAGACCCATAAGAATCTCTCCATTAAACATGCTCTTAAGATCATCTCCAACATAAAAGACTTTTCAAAAATCCCTTAAAATTATTTTAATAATAAATTTAGGATTTATTAAAGTTAATAAATTTAAGAGAGAGAATTTCTCAAAATCAGCCAATCCCTATGCTACATCAGGTAAGAGACATCCCTTAAAACCCTTATATAAAGGACTATCGTTGTTAAAACTAATTTCTAATTTTTTTTATTTTCTTTTTATTTCAAAACACTTAAAAATATGGGCTAAGAACTTCCAATGGAGATGGTCTAAGAGACGGTATACAAGGCCACATGGCCAAATTAATATTTTTAAAAAGATAAGAGATGCAAATGAGTCTTCAGCGATAAACATGGTCTAATTATTGCAATTAACTGAAAACCCCATATGGACCAAACCTAGTACAGTAATTCATGGATGAACAAAACCCAAAACATACAAATGACTTCTCTTTCTTCTTTTATCTGACTAATAATTTGGTGCCACTTTTAACCATTTTGCATAACTAGAAAATTTTAATTAACCAACATGTGAAAGTAGACATAAATTACATAACTTTGAGGGCCACCAACAATCTCCATTATGTTCTACACACCATAAAACAGATACTCGAGATCTTCTAGTGTTAATTGAATCGCAGAGCTTTTACCATGATTTTCACCCAATGCAGATGCAACCATTTCCCTTTTACGTTCCTGACAAAAGTTATCAGAACCAACAAAAAATCTCACATTTTAAGTGGAGTAATGTTACTACAAATAAAGAAAAAAAAATGATCATGATGAAGGTTTGGAACAAAGAAGTTGAATACCTGAAGAGCCAAAATCCGATCTTCAACGGTATTGTTGACAGCAATACGAGTAACAGTAACCGTCCGAGTTTGTCCAATACGATGAGCTCGATCAATGGCTTGATCTTCTGTTGTTGGATTCCACCAAAGATCCAACAGAATCACATGACATGCAGCTACCATGTTCAATCCAAGGTTTCCAGCTTTAAGAGACATTAGCATCACTTGAACCTATTGGATATTAAACTAAGTATCCAAGTATTTGGAAGAAAAAACATATATGATTATATTGTAACGTCCAACACTTACATCAGGATCATTGTTGAATTCTTTTACAGCTATGTCTCTTGTTCCTAGGGACATTGTACCATCTAATCTTCTGAAACTTATGCCGTTTTCGACAAAACAATGCTCAACCAAGTCAAGCATACTTGTCCACTGAGAGAACAATATTGTCTTTATTGCCGGAGAGTCTGGACTGTCTTGCTTTGCGTGCGACTGAAGAATCTCTATCACAGCTTTGATTTTCGATGAAACAAACTCGCTTTTTTGCAAAACCCGGAAAGCGTTTTTACCATCATGATCTTCGTAATCCTTGATGCAACTTCTGAGTTTAGATTCAGAGAAAACAAATTTAGGTGCAAGCTCTGTACTGCATCCCTGTACAGGACACGTTTTCGGATCCCCGTTAATGATTTGAGAGACACACTCAAAGCAAAACACATGGCCACACAGGGTCTTCTGGTGGATCCTGGTGGATCCTGCAGAGTATTAAAAAGAGTAAGTAAGAGATTATTACAGCATTGTGAGAGAGAGAGCCTTGAAGCAATCAATCAATGCTCAATTATAATATCATTTTACTCTAGCTATGCACTTACGCTGCTGCAGACAGAGCAGGAGATGTTCGAGGATGATTTTAAGAGATTGAGGAGGATGATAAGAGACTCTCTAGGTATGGTTCTAACTGCTTCTTTTGTGTAACTGCTAAAATCATCTGAGTCTATATATCCTCTGAGAAGTTGTGGATGGTTACAAGCTTGGCGTAGTCGCAGAAGCATCACAAGCATATGAGCATAGTTTCCCGAACCGTTTCCAGCAGCATATTCCTACAGAATAAGAGGAGATTAAATTAGGTCACATTGTATTTTTTATATATAGCATCAATTTGCTATATAAACTGATCATTTTTGGAGAATATTTACCTCGAACTCATGTTGTGCAAGTATTTCAAGCTTCCTGTAGAAAGACCATTCCACTTCTGACAAGTCAATTTTGCTCAAATGAACTTCCTTTGGAGGTAGGTTAATTATGGGTTGCCCATCAAGTAATGTTCCTAAACAGCACAGCTTAAAGATAATTAGCACAACTTCAAAAAGGACTTATATAAACTACGTAGGAGTGGATAAATGAAGACCTTTGGTGCGCCGCAGCATTATAGCCCTTAGAACAGCTTGAAGCTTCTTGTAACCATGAAGAGGATTCTTGGTCAGTGGGGTTTTGATTGTTCGTCGAAATGACTTGTACATGGCATATGGATGGTATCTAAGGAACCTGAAATAGCTATAAAGATCGTCGATTTTGTTCTGTATGGGCGTTCCTGACAAACACCATCTCCCTTTGGCTTTAAGACTGAAACATGCTCTTGCAACTTGCGTTCTACGGTTCTTGATTGTCTGAGCTTCGTCTAATACTACTCTCAGCCACCTAACTCTTTTTAGTGCACCAGAAGAAGAAGGAGGTCTTTCAGTGGTTTCTCTACCTCTCTTCTTACTTTCACAAAAATCCAAGAGAGGGTTTTGGGGAACTTCGTTGGTAACAATGGCGTAGGTTGTGACGACCACATCATGTTTTGCTAATTCAGTAGGGTCTTTGGTTCTTTTAGATCCGTGGTAGACTAAAACAGAGAGCTTGTGTTCATTAGAAACCTTCTCATCAAGCTCTCTTGCCCATTGTTTTACAACACTCGCTGGACAAACAATTAGTGTACCACCAGATTTTTGACTTCTCGGCTTTCTTGGCTTTGATTGTGACTTCAACTTTTGTAATAGGATAAGAGCAATCGTCGAGATTGTTTTACCAAGCCCCTGCCATAATTATAGAACACACATATATATATATATATATATATATATATATATAAATTGTAAGGAAATTTTAACATCCACCTAACTTAAGACAAACTAATATTTTACTTAAAAATGTGACCTGGTCATCTGCTAATATCCCTCCCAAACAGTGCAACTTTCTTTTTTCTTTCTTACGCATCCATTCCAATGCAATTTTCTGAGAGAAAGAAGGAAAAAAAAAGAGGGATTTTAAGTACAAGGACAATAAAGGTTTAACGTCAAAACATGATGTCACTGAAATGTATACTTGATGTCTCATAAGAGGAACTGAAAGAACACCAAAAGGTAGATCCTTTTCGGTCTTGGGTTGCTTCATATCCTGTAATTAATTAACTAGTCATTTGATTAATAATATTCAGGTACATTTAATAAATCATTTGAATGAAACATCACAAAAGAATAGCTAATTAATCAAGTCCATTATTATTATTAAGATGAAGAAGAAGAAGAAGAAGAAGTTGAGATAAAGATGAATAATACTTGTAATGCAGCCTGATAGATGACCCTCTCGTTAACGGTGGACTCTTGATCATCTTGGAGTTCTTCATCACTACCTGAGCTATTATTCTCCATAACAGAATCCATTTTACAACTATTATTATTCTCCATAGCTGATTCCATCTTAGAGCAATTTTCAATAGCAGAATACATCTTAGAGCTATTGTCAATAGCAGAATCCATCATAATTAGACCTGACTTTTGAGATGTCAGAATCAGAAACTCAGGTTTCTAAGAAAACGAATCAGCCCTGCCACGGCAAGACGTTAGCTAGTGTTAGTCAATGAAACTATTGCCATTATTACAAAGTTCTCCTGTAACTATATAATATAACCAATAATAGTATATTAATTAACAAAAAATGAAAAGAAAGTAGCCATCCTTTATGACCCTTTTACTCCAAATTGGGAAAGTTTTATGATCAAAACCAGGTTATCGACTATAAATAATATCAGAAAATCCGAGAACAAATGGTACAGAGTCTGAGATATAGTAAACCCACTGTAGTTAGGGTTTCGGTTGTTGACGGAGTAAAGAGACGATCGCACGGAATTAGTTTTAAACGAGCAACAACACTATCTCGATATATATACAGTACCAAGAAATTGGGCTTTAGTAAGTCGGTTAGCCCAATAAGAGTATACATACCAGTAGTCCAAAGGTCGTTAAGCTGATTTCAAGGGATTTTTTTGTTTTTTCTTTTAAACGGCTGTGAATGATTTTTAGTAGAGTGAAAGCTGAAGCGAATCTTTACTTCTCCTTTGCTGATCTATTTTCTTGGACGGTACTTCTTCCTCTACAAAACCCTAAATGGATTTTCCCCATATTTAGGGTTTGCTAGGTCTACTGGTTGCCGGATTCGTTCTGTAATGTGCACATTGTCATTAGGGACTGGATAACACTCATGTCATGTCACTTCTCCATGTCTTGTTACACTACCTGTTTTACACACAAAAAAAGGGAAACTATTGTTTCTAACTTCTAAGTTAAGAATCCTGAAAATAGTTTCCAACCTCTCTTTACTAATATGATTCATCATCTCTCAAATATTGTTAATTAAAAACATATGCAAAATGCAATACCTGATTCTGCTATTTTGGACATAAACCAATATATCTCTCGCTCTCTATGATTTGCTTCCCTTTGTTAGTCTCGCTTGCAACAATGTCTCCTTCAGCCAAATTATGATTCCAAGAATGCTCAAACCAATTTAGTAACTAAACATCGACCCAGCTAAAACCAGGGGTCTTGTGAAGCCCTGTTTTCTTCTGTGTCATTCTAATATTCGCTGCATCTTCCCATCTCTCAGCAGCTAAGTAGGTGTTGGATAGAAGAACCGAGTTTCCTGTTGTTCCTCCGAGACTCTGCATCATTTTCGACACTTGATCCCCAAGTTCCACATTCTTGTACGTCCAACAAGCAGAGAGGAGTGTACCCAACACATTAACGTCTGGCTCAAACGGCATCTTGTTGACAAGATCATAAGCTTCATCCAAGTAACCGGCACGGGCTAGAAGATCAGCTATGCAATTATAATGGTCTATCCTTGGGATGACTTCGAAATCTCCTCGAGCCATGGAGTTGAAAACTTGTTTCCCTTCATCCACAAGCCCTGAATGACTACAAGCAGACAAAACAGCAAGAAAAGTCACCTCGTCTGTATTCACACCTGTGTCCCGCATACTGTCAAATAGAGAAAGAGCTTCTTTGCCAAGCCCATGAGTTCCCAATCCAAACATCATTGTGTTCCACGAAACTGTATCCCGCTTATGCATTGTTTCGAAAACTCTCTTGGCCACATCAAGTTTTCCGCACTTTGTGTACATATCCATAAGTGCGTTACAAATGGTTGTATTGATTGCATAGCCATGAACAACACAATACCCGTGGCAACTAGAACCGTGTCCCAAAGCCGCCAAGTGAGAGCAAGCGGTTAAAACACCAACCAATGTTGTTATATTTGTCTGAATTCCTGATGATTTCATATCATGAAACAGACGTAAACTCTCTTCTGCCTGATAGTTCTCCAGACACCCGGAGATAAGAGAGTTATATGAAACAATATCCTTCACCCCAATCTCACTAAACTGCCTAAAAGCATCACATAAGCTTCCATGCTTGGCGTAGAATGAAATTACGGTGTTTCCAACAGTTAAGTCCAGCATGAAGCCTGCTTTAATCGCATAACAATGTACACATCGCCCTCCATTATGATCTCCAATCCTCGCACAACCCATCAGAATAAGCCCAACGGCCACCGGCGTCACAACCGCCACACCTGAATTAACTAACAACATCCGCAAGAACACTTCTCCAGCTTCCTTTATCATTTCATTTTCAATGTAGCCTCCAATCATGGCACTCCAGGTTACCTCGTTCTTCATTGTGTCTGAATCGAAAACCCTCCTCGCGTAGATAATGCACTTGCTTTTGGCATATACATCCAAGATCCCCGTCTTGACAACTAAATCATTGCTAAACCCATTTCTTGTGCAATACGCATGAACGGATTTCCCTTCCCTCAAAGCACCAGCTCTTCCTAGTGCAGGAAACATCCCAACGATGGTGGATAAATTAGGTCTGATTCCATCGCTTCTACGCATATCCAAGAACAATGCAGCGACATCAGTTAAACAGCAATGTAAAGAAAACCCGGAAATCAGAGCGTTCCATGCGACAATATCTCTTTGGGGCATTTCGTCGAACACCTGTATTGCCATATCTAGCTCCCCACATTTAGCATAAAAATCGACCAGAGCAGTACAGACATACATATCAGCTGCAAAGTCGCTACATTTCACGTGGCTATGTATCAGCTTACCATCTTCGGTTGCTCGCAGACCAGCACAAGCTTTCAGGGCAAACGGGTAAGTAAATTTCGTGGGTCGAACACCAGAACTCAGCATCTTGTAGTAAAAATCCAAAGCTTTTTCCGGGGAACCATTTGATGCATAGGCTCTGATCATGACGTCCCAAGCAATAGGATTGGTTCTTGGATGAGGGATTTCGTCGAACACATGGCGTGCAAGTTCTACTTCGTTGCATGATGCGTAGAGACGCGTTAGATTGACGAGCACGGCAGAGGAAGTCACCGTAAGGGAGCGTTTAAGAAGGTGCTGATGAATGATTTGTCCTAAGATCAGATTTTCTGATCGAATACACGATTTAAGAAGTCTCAGAAACATTGGAAGAATTGAATGATTTCAACTCAACACATACTAAAAATACAAGTTTTCGCGTTGTTATAAAATTTGGTAATCATAAATCATCTCTGTTAATTCATTTATAACGTCTCTAATTTCAGTCTACTCTTGGACTTTCTGTGATGTGTTTTTGTAGTAATGAAAGACAAAAATTACACGCCATCTTATCTTGAATTTCGGAAAAGGATCATTTCTTTTTTTTTTTTTTTGAACGGCGGAAAAGGATCATTTCTATATAGCATAAATTTAAAGTAAAAATAAATTTCAACCAAATGAAACGATCGAAATCAGCAGCCAAAAGCAGATAGATTACTACATTTTCAACCCACTCTAGGAAGTTCATATGAGAAGTGTGAATCAAAAGTTCAAAGCCTTAAGTGTTATTCATCGTTGTCCATATTGCATTTGCTGGGAGGAATAATAACCAAGTAGCTTCTTGAACAGAGGAACAAGTGCAACCATAGCAAGTTGGAGCTGCTCAGAGCTGTTCACGCGGATGCTTACTTGCCCTGCTCCTCTGTTGTTCAGATTAGCACGAGCAATTAGATTAGAGGAACGTCCAATGGGCACTTGGGACTGTATATTCCCTCCTATGGCAAGATCACCGTGCCAATCCATCACAGAAAGTCCAAGAGTGGACAAACACTGCCCAAGCGGATAATCTTTATCTCTCAACTGAGCTTCTAAACTACCACCATAAGCAACATCTCCACGACTAGTCATTGCCCCACCAGACATAACCATTCTGAACCATTTATTAGCAATCAACTTGTCTTCGACTTTCAGCCCCGCAGAAACCGAATCACCCAAGAGTGTTACAGAGAGACCAGCTGCAGCTTTGTTGTTCCTAAAATTTTTAAACCTCGTGTCACTTCGAACAGTGTAAGCCAGTTCCTTCCCAACATTTTGCATGTCAAAACCTAGGGACGTTGATCTACCCTTTCCATGTTTCACCGAGCTGGCCATTTCCAGCTGCACAGTTGCATCCTTCTTGTCCTTTGTCACTTGGCCCGAGAAAGATATCGGTATTTTTTCTTTAATAACAAAAAGTCGTTCTGCACTCACACCTTCATAACCAACATCATGATCCCACCCATGAGTTTCCAGGACAGCCCTAACAAGCCACTGATTGGAGGAATCAAGGGACCGGTACCTGTGAGTAGGGTTGTCAGAGTCAAACGATGCAGGTAGAGATAAATCTGGCATGGGAACTGGAACAGATGCAGGTTCACTTCTCTCTTCTTCCACATTTTCACTATGCCCGTTAGGCAAATCTTTGATCTCGGCAGCAAATTTCTTCAACATCTTACGTCTCTTTCTTTCCTCTTTCATCTGCTTCTTCATAAATAGTTTCTCCCGGTAATCCATCTCATCGAGGTATTGTTTCTTCTGAGATTTACTAAGCTTAGCCATCTCAGCTTTAGTCAACCGCTTAAAAGGAGGAAGCTGATCATACTCTGATTCTTCATCAGAATCTGATGATTCGTCCAAACCATCTTCATCTTCTCCATCACCATACTGCTCTTCAGGAAGCTTAGCTTGTGGTCTGGATTGCAGAAGCGATGAGAGGAGAAATGGCAATGGCGGAGCCTTGGACCGAGCTGCAAATGGTCTCCCTGCAGTATTATCTTGTGATTTCAGAAGAGCATTTGCTTCTGCTAGAATCTTGGATGCAAATGAGAGTAACAGCAAATGAGGCTTCCACACTTGGCCATTCGGTAATACTCTCTGGCCTGCCCGATTTGTCCTGCAAGCAGAGTGGTTCTCAACTAAAGAAACAGGGTTCATGAGCCTCACATCTCCAGCTGCTTGGCGAATGGCCTGCTGAATGACATGAGAACGTTGTGTTACAAACATGTCATAGCTAGAAGCAGTGCCATTTGGGCCATCTGGTGGAGCAGAAGCGGCATGTGTCAACCCCACAATGGCATTAAACCATATCGATGGTCCAAAAACATCAATGATAGTGCGCAAGAGAGGCATGTCACCAGAATCTCTGCTTTGCGTATCCAACCTATCAAGATATAATACAATGTCAGGTGGATTTTTCTTGATGAACGCCCTAACAGACCTGAGGATCTTCTCATTCTTGTGTTGATCAGACCACGATGGTAAGAGACCGGGAGTGTCAATCACCCGTACTTTAATTCCCTGAACAAAACCCTCAACATTCTGAACCCTCTTTGTCCCCATCTGGAATGCATCAGTACTCATTTTCACTTCATCAAAAATGGAATTGATCGTCGTACTTTTACCAACCCCACTTTTACCCAGCACCATAATCGTACAAGAAAAATCAAGTGGATCCTGTCCAGCTGCCTCAAGCTGTTCTGCCATGGCACTGGCACGATCAAAACTAAAGGCCCCAACACGGCTTCCGCTTCGGCCCCTCAACTGTTCAGCCAATCCAAGCCTGTACAAGACCTGAGCAACAACAACGTTATGTGGAGTTTGCCCTAATCTATGTGCAAGCCTCAAAAATTTGACCCTAATCAACTGGAGCTTCTCACGGGTCTCATCATGCTCATCGGTCTCTGCAGTAGAGTCCTCAACTTGCTGATGTTGGTCGTGAGACACATTGCCATTGACACGAGGCTGTTGAGTAACACGTGGTGTCGGTCCCAAAAGAGGAGCAGCACGACCAAGACCTGCTGGGCGAGCAGGTGGTAATGAACTTACAGACTCTGTCCGTGAATCAGAACTAACTACCTCAAATTCTCGTTCCACATGTGGGCTTACCGTAATCTCTGGTCCTATATTTACTCTGCTGCCTTGCTGCTTCTCAAGATCCTTATTACGTTGAGGACTCTGTTGAACATCATGTCTTACATTACTATTTTGAACAGTCTCATGTTCTCTACAAGTTACCCCAGGGAAACCACTACTGCTGTGACCTTCGATCTCTCCCTTTTCCTCGGGACTAGATTTCTCCAACGGAGAAGAGGTCCCAACATTTAATATTTCAAGACTATCATTTAAGGATTTGTCTCCAGAGGCCATTTTAACACTACTGTATCCGGCACCAGTTTCACCATTTCTTTGTTCCCCAGACACATTGTTTATACATACGAAACCGTTTTCAGAGCAATTCTTATTTGTTCCTTCACCTCCCCCAATCTCTTCTTCTGTTTCCATGCCAGCTGATACATCAGCTTTCTCCTCCCAGTTTATGTCTTCAATGCTATCATTCCTTGTTTCCTCGGAAAGGGCACTTACTGAGATAATTCCATTTTCCGGGAAAGAATGTGTATTTCCGTTTTGCATATTCACATCCTCACCCGCTAAATTGGAACCACTGCAGGTAGCTTTCTCGCTGTTTTCAACCACATCCAAGCTTGAATCAATTTGACCATGAGAAATCTCTTCACCAGCTTCCCCTTTATCATCATTCATTTTAGGAGTCACTAGATCACGTTCCGCCTCTCCCGTAGTTATATCTTGCACGTTCACCTCGCCATGGCTCTCTCCAACTATCGAATGATAAGTCTTGGAATCTTTCACTCCACTCTCATTGCTACTTACTTCTTCCAGATCATCAACCACTTCATGCTCATCCTTGAAATTTTCAGGAGTTGCCTCTAAACGTAAATCCTCGTGCAACCCATCGACTTCGAAAGGTTCAGTTTTTGGAGCCTCCTGCGAACCAATTGCCTCTTCAAAGATCTCTTCTTCGTTATCACTATCACTCGCTTCATCTGACCCCACCAGCTCATTTTTCTCTACTTGCTCATCGCTAATTCTATCCTCTGGAAGCTTCTTCTCTTCTCCCTCTGACATGTTCACAATCTCAGCTCCATCTCCCATTTCTAGATCACCGTAGCTACATAAAAAACTCCCCCAAATTCGTAAACAAATAACTAAATCACGAATCACTGCACCAACCAAATAACATAAAACACTGAAATCTTTTGATGTAACTTCCAACAACCATAACAACGAATATAGAGCAGACAGCATAACACGGAGAAAGAAGAAGAAAAATCCTAGCTCAGAATTATCGTCACAAATCCTAGAATCATCGTCTCTTTTTTTTTTTATCAATCACAGACACTAAATTCGATGGGAGTGAAAATATCGCAGGTAAATTTGGTCATAGAGATTCCCAAAATACCACAAGTATAATTTTTTGAAAATGAAACCTAAAAAAAACTACGTCCAACCAATGGCGGAAATTGTACCTGGTGAGAGAGAGGGAAGGCAAACGACTGAAAAAACTTTCATGCGCTTTATTTTTCGCCTTCTACTCGCCACTGTGCGACTACGACGGGAAGGAAGAGGAGATAAGAGGCTTCGATGGACGGTGGAGATCGGCTTGGGTTTAAGCATCGGGCGGTGGAAAATGGCTCTTTCAATGCCATCGTGAAAAAGGCATGTCACGTGACAAACGTGAGGTGGGCCAGTGACTTTTAGTTGGGCTGCATAATCTTGTTGGCCTTTTTACGTTCACGACAAGAGAGATACTTGTGTTTCTTTGGAGCTATTCAGTTTGTCTTTCCATTGTTTGTCAGTAGACGGCAAGTAGAGGATCTTATTTGCTGCTATTAGATATGTGATTTTATAATATGGCTCACTGAAATTTGGTTACACTTATATCTAATAGCAAATTTGGTTGTTCTATTCTTTTTCAGATGATTCGGGATAGAGTTTGATTCACATTGATGTATCACATTAAGTTTAAATGTTTTTTATATGTGAAAAAAATAAATTAAAAACTTTATCAGAATTTTCATAACAATATGATTGTAACTTTCAAATTATAGTATAATATATTTTGTAGAAAATAAACTTTTAAGTGTATATTATTAAAAGGGATTAGGTCTATGCCAATGTTTATCAATCCATAACATAGACACGACCAGGTTCTTCTACCAACTACCGAGGAACTCTCTTGCGGCTCAGTATTTCTTGTTCCTTGAGACGGTGTTGGAACCGAGCAAGACGGGCTTGGAGACTGACAAGCCCGGCTGCTTTCCGGGACAACACAAAGCTCAGTTGCGTCACATAGTTTTCTATCATGCTTCCTGGTTGGTCCACCTCTGCTAGAAGCTTCATTTCCTGATAAGATAATGATATGATAAAACCGAGATATTAAACAAAGCGTTAACAGTCTACAACCTTTTTATTCATTTAGGCGTGTTTACTTACCTCGCGAACAATCTCCATTGTATCCTCGATTTCTTTTCTGTGCGCTGCAATCAGAGCTTCTTCTTCCTGACGTGGTTAAAATAAGACAAGAACAGAGCTATTAATATAATATCACAGGTTCATCTCATGTTTTAGATGTTTAACTGAGTATTTTACCTCAAGCAGTGCATCAATGTTTTCATCAAGCGAAGGGTCGGTTTCATATTGACTCGAAGCAGTTTCATATTGCCTCGAAGCAGTTTCACTTGTGTTCTGTCTAAAGTTTGTCAAGGTAGGGATATCTGACGACCTGACTTCTCTTTTAGACAAGTTTTGTTGTCTTTCTGGTTTTTCTTCCCGCAACCCTTTCCCACGAGGTGGTGACACTTTCTTCACTTTCTCTTCCCGGTCTGAAGTTTCTTGGGGATATGAAGACACGTGGTTCCTCTGACTAGTGGAGCCACCAGTAGAATTGTTCGTCTCTGGTCTTCCCTTGTCCATTGAGATTGACGGGATTCCACTTTCATCTCGGTAATTTGTAGGCTGTCTGAAGTCAATACCCGAAGTACAGTAGCTGTCCTTCTCCACCCTCCTCCCAGTTTCCTGTACATTCACTTCCTGTGGAGGCTCAAAGACATCTTCAACATCATTTGAGCCCAACAAAGTATCCTTATTAACGGGAGGCATTGAATTGGCAGTTTGATCTTTCTTGCTATTTCCACTTTTAGATAGACTTTTGACCCTGTTTATTCGGTACATAGCAAACAGGTAAGGGAAGCTGAAAATGAGAATTAGTTTCAAGAGAGGATATAGTTCGTACAAAACATACCGATCAGCATATCTTAAAGTATTGAGGGTATGTTCACACGATCCTGCATTCGGAGAGATGCAAGAAATCATCACAGTTCTTGAGTTTCCCACAAATGAGTCGCGGAGCACTTCAGTTAGTTTGCTTCCGCGAAATGGTATATGTAGCTGGTCATTGTCTAGTGCACGTATACATTCCTTAAGAGCCAAGAGACTCTTATTGATTTCTGCGCCTTCAATCCTAAGCAAAATCCACCATGAAAACGAAATTTTTAGATCAAGAGAGTGGTGGTCCTAACTCCTAAAGTAAAAAGGTAGCAACATAGTGCCACTCCATCAAGTCCAATAAGAGGCATAAAAATTAATCTACACATTAGTGGTATGTCAATACTCAACCAAAGGGAAAAAGAGCAACCTTACCTTGTCTGGCGGTCATTGTCTGTGGTGTCTGCACCTCTTTCACTGCCAGCAAGGTCAATGAAAGAAATCTTCCCAACAACTTTCCCACGCAATTCATTGGCATCGTTATTATTACGTCTAGTTTCTTTTACCTCAACATGCTTCTTTACAACAAGCTGCAAGATAGCATGTGATCTAGAGGACTCCTCATTTGCTCCAGTTGACCCTGTGCTCCTTTCAGCATTTCCTTTCTCGATAAATTCCTTTACAATTTGAACATCTGAAACTTCATACTCTTGCAGGCCAACAATGCAAACTTGTTGTCTACCATCTTCTCGCATGCAAAGTTTCCTACTCGACAACAACTGAATGATTTAGACAACTCAAAACATGCATTTGCAATAGTAGACAACATTGAAAGTATGGAGACTGAGATGTATGACAAGTGGCAAAATTTACAATTTAGTGACATCTCTTTTTGGATCAAACATCAAGATAATAATTATAAGCTAGAATGTGCCTGATCAATGTATACGCCAAAAGAATAAGAAAAACATAAAAAGGCGACATTTAGAAGAAATGAGAAAAAGAAAGAACACTAACTTTCTCTCACTGAGAAGGTCGAACAGCTTCCCACCATATATCTCAAAATAGCTGAGCCACAATTTAAACCTCTGTTTGCTATATACGGGTTGACGCAAATACCTCATAAGATCTTCAACAGCTCTTATAGGTAGAGGTTTCATTGTGAATGTCTTACCACTACCTAAATAAAGCAAAACATCATCAGGGCCATGAAATCCTGAAGAAACTATTATCATCTAATATTTTCAGACGAAAATTTGCATACCTGTTTGACCATATGCAAAACATGTGGCTTTAGTTCTCTGGAATATAATGGGAATTATCGGCTCAATTGTGGCCCGATACACCTGTTCAAGGGATCAACAAATAAGGTTAAAGCAGAGTAAAGCTTTCGAAAATTTACAAAGCTAAATGTATCCATTAATCAAAACCCAATCTGGATTATAAGGGTGGGGCACCCACATGCTGATCTAGTATATAGGTCAATAAGACATGTCGTTCTTGACATAAATCACAAATCTATCACAGCTCAAGGTTCCATCATGCACTCGGTCCTGCTAGGATTTTCTATAGACTCCAATACGTTTGAATTATTAAATTACCTCATCATTTGAAACATCCTCATCTAGAACAGCATCAAAGCAGAACTCATGCTTTTCCACATAAGCAGTCAAATCTACCTGCACCAACAAGAATATGATTCGTTCAATATCAGAAAAGAAAATATTAAATGAAGAAAATATATGACCTTTAAAAGCAGGATGCCATCGTTCAGTTGTTCAACTGAATCATGGATGCCATTGTTATCTTTGATGAAGAATACACACAAACCTTCAGCTTGGGCTCATGTACAGTCAAAGAATTATCAAACACCGTCACGACATCATCCTCCTTTCTAGCTGTTTCTTTCTTATTTAAGGGTCTCTTCCTTACCTAGCGAGTAAAGACAAATGACCGTTGCTTATAAAACAATCAAGTAGTAAAGAAAAAAGTCAATGCTCAAGTGAATGACTTACCACTACTTTAATCTTGGCTACACTGTTATTTTCTTTTTCACTCTTAGGCATTGAGCCCAAAGCTTCAGCATCTATTTGTTGTCGTTGTTGACGATTAGCCGGCGGATTAAAGTCTTCTTCAAATTCTTTATTCACACTAGGCATGAAAGGTGATGGCTCAAAGGGTTCGGTAATCACATGCTGCAAAATGAAAGGAAAAAGACATATCACAAAAGCAATGAATTGAGAACTTTCACATGGGTAAACTATTTCTCTAAGGACTAGCAAACGCAAGCGGCAATTTCACACAAAAATATATTTCTTATGAAACAGGAAAAAAAATTGTCATATCTAGCTTAATCCTTTCGAGTGACAAGATCAAAAGTTGTCTAACAGAAGTTGCGAAGACAGATTGCATGCGCACCAAACCAATATGAAAATATAAGATTGGCAGTAACAGTATTAACAGCCGAAACGTAACTCAAGAATAGACAATCGGATGATGAAAAATTATGATCTTTCTGTTCTCTGTGGGCACTTATGGGCATAGCTATGAATAGTCTCTGTAACATTTCTTCTTCCAAACCTACCTCAGATAGCAACTCTGTATCATCCATTGCATGTAGATCCAATAATCCAGCTCCAAAATCACCTCTGAACTCAGGTGAAAAAAATCCTTCTGAAGAGGGCATAGCTGCTGATGTCTGAGCAGTTGGTGTATATGATTCAGAAGTCGACTCCCCGTTGAAGTTGAGATTTCTCATTAGTTTAAAAAGTCTTTGTTTCTCTTCAGCAGTCTGCGCTCCATAACCCTGGAAAATACCACAAACACCACAAAGGCGGCTTCAAATACCAGAACCCATTAACAAGAGCCAGCCACAAAATTTGCTATAGCAAAGTAACTGACCAACAGAAAGAAAAATTACTAGCAACCCTGCATCAAACATCTAACAAGATAACTAATCACATTCACATACATTGCCAAAATAATTCCAAGCTCTTATGACTAATATCCATAACAGGGAAACAATCCTACATTAGTACTGCAGTTTCTTTGGTAGTTTTACACATGCTCAGGATTCAGCGAACCAAAGCTCTAACAAAACTTGCCTAATACAAAATTGGCATACTTTACCAGCCGGAAAACTAAGCGCATGCAAGTTATTGGAAGAGTGTAGAAACAGAAAGTGAATACCTGCATGAGATGGTTTGGGAGAAGACGCTGATCATTGCCCGTGGAAGCAACTGGAGACGCCAAATGCTGCAAGCCAGCGGATTGAAGCCACCGTGCCATGACTGCATCTCCTGCGTCATTTGTGTGTCCCGGATCGTATAACGCCGTCGCAGCCGCAGCATTGGTCTGCTGCATCTGGCCGCCCATGTGGCGCTGCGACCTTCTTTGAGGAGCCAACTTCGGAGATCTGTAAGAACAACTCTTCATCCAAACAAAAACCAGAATCCACCATATGTTACCAAACAGAAAAATGCCCGAATACAAGTATATAACTTCTGAATCAATCGAATGAAAACTCACAATGTGGAGAAAATTCGGATTCAATGCAAAACATGAAAGCAGCAACTCTTTCGTATCTGAAATTCCACCAAACAGTTTGCATCAGAGAAGCGGAGAAGAAGATCGAATTAGTCCCAAGGGAATACAGCACGAAAGTAGAAAAAGTAATGATTACCAGAGGGAAACGAAGACACGCAACGATTGGATAAGAGATCTGTGATCTGAAAATTTTCCCAATATACAATCAGATCCGACTCGGGAAAAAAAACCTAAGCGACGCTCAACGTTTGGCGTTGGAGAGAGAGAGAGATAGAGAGAGAAAGCTCTGTTCAAAATTTTCGTCTTCTATTCCGTATGGCCGTGAGCGACGTTAGGCACAGAGAGAAGAGAGAGAGGGGCGTTGAAGAAGATTTGACAAAGTGTAAGAGACTAAAACAAATAAAATAAAATGAAGAAGAGTCGAGGCGTTTAAACTTTTTTAAAAGTGACAGTTAGAACACCCCTTTTAAGTTCAGAAACATTCACCGATTTCTCCTATTTTTGTTAAATGTGCTATCTAGTCCACAGCATTTTAAAAATAAAGTTCACACGATCTTCTATGAACGGCCTGGATATTTGAAAAATGTGCTGTCTTATGTGTTTTGAATAACGATATGCATAAATTGCTGAAATTGTATTCTACGATACTGTTGAAATTTCTGTAATATATCAGTTCGAGATCATAACACGACATTATAGACTATATACCCCAGGGTGATATTAAAAAATAGTTGTTCTCATCTTGGATCAAACTTATTCGACAATGTGACATGAAACTGATAGGTCTATATATGTGATAATCATTGTGGATCAATACGGTAAGTGCATTTCAGAATTTCAACTTGTAATTAGTGGTATTTTAAGGATGTTAGTTTGGACCATATAAAATAATCATAGAGAAATGAAATTTGAAACTATCCGAGGAAAATGACATGAGTTTCCTTCTACTTTTTTTCCTCAACATGAATGCCACACCTTTTGGAATTTTAGTACATGATAATGATATACTTATTGTATCTTATTATTCTTATTTTTACCTTTTATATATACTTGTTTGTTTGAACTTGGAGTTGGACCCATATAATTTTGTGAAAAACTGATGATCTGAGTAGTTGGTTTCTAATTTTTGTTGTTTTGTTTAGATGTATGATATATACATATATATATTCAAATCTATCAGACTTGTGTGTGTATTGTATAATCCAATATAAAATACGACCGAGAACAAGAATATGCAAATTAGAGAAGTGGGCCAACATTGCTTGTGGTTACTTCCTTTTGAATCAAAAAGCTTTTGCTTTAGCCTAAAGCATTTCGATCTTTTAAGTAGAGTATATGAAAGGAGTTTTTTTTTTTCAGTATTAATCCGTTATAGCAAAATCGGTCTTTAGTTCTGTGCAGCTTTACATCATCTACCTCTATTTTACGATTAACAAGTGACCTCGTGAATATACCTATAAGTAAGTTGATACTAAGTAATAGTAGACGTAATTCTAATTTGTAAAAGTTATAGCTTAAACAAAAGGAACAAGAAGCTTTGGAGAAGATAGTGACTTTAGATACATTAGAGGTAAGAGAGTGAGTCGGAGCAATGTCAAACCGACCAAATCACGTTTCCTTATACTTTAGATACAATACGTACCAACGCATCTGCGTTGTACTTTCCTCCACGCATACACGAAGACAATATATATACAAACACATAAATAAATTCATGATGAGCAATTCACGCACACGCAGCTTAAAAACATGTTTCTATAAACCAATAGTCAATGGTTAGTTTGGTTAGTTTTAGGAGTGTTTTTTCTTTGGTCAACTAGGAGTGTCTTGTTTCTCATCGGTAAAATTAACGTTGGAAAGGAGTAAAGAATCAATCATAACATTAATACGCACAAACAACACACATACATTATAGTTACGACCACAGTCTTGATTTGTCAAGAAGACAGAACTCTAATACGGAGATTCCACACGTGGGATGTGAATGTCCTTCGTATTGGAGCAGACATACAGAGAGGACAACACGCCTATGATGATGTCTATACCACTTTTCTCTTTACTTTTCTTTAAAAAGATAAAATACTATTAAAAAGGTAAACCGGCATCATTATAAAGCATATTCCATCATGGAAAGGAATTTGCCACAAACAAACCACATAAAATACTTAGCTAAAATCACAACTATATGTGTTATGGTTTTTGTGTTGATGTTAGGAACTAATGCATTATTGAATCAATTGGAGCAATGATATGTCGGGTTTAATTGTTTGAAGGTCTTAATTATGCTACGAAGTAATGTAATAGCACATAATTGTCACCAGGGTTACAACTCATAGCTAAAATTATTTTTCATATTTTGGATGATATCTCTTAAGAACATAAAGAAACTGAGATGTTAACATATAAAAATAAATTAAACATAAATATGTGATATTTTAGACTGGAAAATAAGTTTTGATAACAAATAACAGATCCAAAGGTTTGCTGTTTTAGAAAAAAAAAAGAGGATAATAGATAATGCGTAACTTTTTCCAAATTTTAAAACATAAAAAAAAAACAGGGTGTTGGACCCAGGGCGCAATGGGTTGGAGCCGGGACAGAGTTCTGGCTCAGCACTTGACCTCCTTCAAACCATGTGCGAAGTACAAAAATGTTGGGTTAGTTGCACCCTCCTTGTAGTAAGCAAAGACCAATGAGCTGTCATCGTGCATCCCCTCCCCAACAAAGCTGTAATTAAATCCAAAAACATAACCCATAAACGAGGTTTCATATGAGCAAGTATCAAATTTCATCAATAGTCATGCAAGGAAAACAGGATGGATAGGTTAAACTTACAATTGGAAGTCACCGAGCTTGGGGAGCAAGAACTTGGTAGCTCCCTCAATACCCTTCTTGAAGGCTGTTTGTTGTTCCTCATCGAGCTTGGGTGTCAAAAGCTTGATGTATTTCTTAATGTAGGCGATGAATCCCTTCTTGTCATAAGTTGGTTGCTCCTATACGAAGGAAAAAAAAGAGAGCACTTTCAATCAATAACAGCGATTTGGTAATCAGGCCTTATGCTATCATGTTCCTTTTAGCAAATTTTGGTTCCTAGTTGATAAAGCATATACTAAGTGATAACAATGTCAAATACAGCGTGATTAATAAAAGCAGAGAAAACCAACCTGAAGTCTGAAGGTGTCGACAATGTCAACAACCTTTTGAGTAGTGTCATCAACACCCTCGTCTTCACCACCTTCTTCAGCAGATGGATTGGCACCAATGTTAACATCAACAGCTCCCACGGTAACCCACTGGATATAATAAGAATTTTGACCAATGAGCAAATTTAGAACAAAATTTACGACTTTGATGCATGGAGTTAGTGTAGATGATACTGACCTTTCCTTCTACTTCCCAAAGGATTCCATTCTCAATCTCCTTGTAAGGGAAAGAGTCAGACAGAAGCTCATCACCTGAAATTAATAACACAAAATCTTCAGTATTTATTCCGATCGAGCTCAAACACCAGCTAAAGCCAACGAATTTAGCTCAAATTCATACGACCACAGCTAAATACAAGGACAATCTTAAACTATTCAATCACAGATCTAACCATAACATAGAAACTAGAAAAATTCAAGCAAACAACGCCCATCACTAATAATAAGATTAGAATTATCGATGCGTAGAGCTGCAAATTGAAGAAATTCCTAAGACGCGACCACAGATCTAATGAAATTCCAATTCGAAAGCAGAAATCATGATTAGCTCGATTGAACGACCACAGATCGTTATAAACGCGATTAATAACGAGAGACTAATTATTGAGCTTACCGGTGAGAAGATCCTGGTACACCAACATGGTCGCTGATTGTTTTGTTTTTCTCTCTCCGATCGATGGGGACAATTATTGAGGTTGCGGGAGAGAGACGCAGCGACGAGGGGATTGAAATAATGTTGTAACTTTCGTATTTATAGTCAAATATTGCGAGGGTTTTCGACGTAGATGATGCAAATTACCTTTTTAGGCTTTACTTTTTTCCAATTTTCTATTTTACCCTTTCTTTCCTTTTTTAACTATGGAAAAAAGGATAAAATATTAACCGACTCCGAACGCTTTACGGGTCTGGTTCGGGGAAAACGGGTGGGGTGAATTCCAATGTTGGGTTACGTATAAATAAGGGTCCGATTTCTTATTCGAGTCGGTTAATCTCTTTTCCCTCTCTTTTCTCTCCGTCTCTCTCTCTCGGAGTGATTTTTCTGACCCGTCCGTATAAACCCTAATCGACTGAGGAAAAGGACGATGACGACGGAGATCGAACCTCAGTCACTGAGAAAGCTCAGTCTCAAATCAGTAAAACGAGCCCTTGATCTTTTCTCTCCCGTTCATGATCAATTCGCTCCGCCTAATCCAGAAAGGTTAATGGCTAATTTCGCTTGCAGTCTCCTTGTTTCTCCAAATCTTTCAGATTTTTTTTTTATTTTTTATGTATTGACCATTTTTCTTCTCTGTTTTCTTTTTTCCCGTTTCCTTGTCTCTCCAGTAAAAAAATCCGGCTTTGCCATAAGGTAACGAAAATTTCGTCTTTCCCATGAATTGGTATAGCAAGTTTCTGAGATGTTAAACTTTAGGTTAATAAGGTGTTAATCGATCTGGTCAATAGTTTTTGAGAAAGATGGTCTCTTATGTTTCCCAATGAAGTGGCGTGAAATTCTTCTTATACTTTAGTAAGATGTTGAATTTGCATAAACTTTTGCGTTTTGTTGATCTATCAACTATGAGCTATTGTTAATGAATTAGAGGTTACTTGTATAGATTCAAGTTGCATTTGGAGGCGTAGAGCCCGCGAGTAAGCCTATGCGTCGAGCTGGCCATAACAATGAACAGATAGCTCCATCGAATGCCCTTGCTCTTACAGGTGAGACAAAACTAGTTTCCACTTTTCTAGTTTTCCTGTCGTGTCTTTTCCCTCATGTTTACCACATCTATTTATATTAGCTGGGAGATACATTCATATGTCTATAAGTAGGATTGGAAAAGTTTCAGTAGTAAGTTCTCTTAGCTTTTTCTCGTTCTGCAGGTGCAGAAGGGTCCAAGGAACTTCAAAAAGGAGCAACGGAGAAAGCTTTAGTCGTCGGTCCAACTTTACCACCAAGAGCCTTGTGAGTATAACTTTTCCTTTGGATTGCTAATAATCTATATAGTTCTTACAAGAAATTTGCTACATTCTCAAGAATGTTATTGATGTACTGCCTCTGCGATTGTTGCTATATTTACTCTGATGATACTGATAATTATTGGTTCTTGAATTGAAGGAATAACACTGGTCACGCAGGCAAAAGCACTGCTACTCTTCCGGCATCTGGATCCTTACCTGAAAGGTTTTTGTCTCCCATCCTTTTCTTCTTTTATGGCCTCTCTTTAATGACATACATCTACATTGCGTTACCTAGGTGGTACATAAAACCGCGATGAATGTTAATTGTTCATAGTCGGAGAATTTGGCCATATTTATTTAACCTGAATTACCTATATCTTGTTTCCATGCGCCAATTTCTCATTGTTTGTCCATCTTTACCCTTCTATGTGTTACAGAAATTTGTCAACTGCTGCTTTAATGGAGAGAATACCTAGTAGATGGCCCCGTCCAGAGTGGCATGCACCATGGAAGAATTACAGGGTAAGATCTGTGGTACAGTAACATTTCTGCATCTCATTGATATATCACATAAGCGAACCATGTAGGTCTTCTTAGCCCATTTGTTGGCCTCCAGAGAATACCTTAATGTTAATATGTGATGATGTATTTTTTTAACAGGTGATCCAGGGACACTTGGGTTGGGTTAGATCTGTTGCATTTGACCCAAGTAATCAATGGTTTTGCACTGGTTCAGCTGATCGTACCTTTTCTTGTTTCTACAATATGGATTTTGGTAGATCCTGCTTTCCAGCTCTTGATGCATCATTTTCCTGTAGCTCATGAATTTACCTTACTTACATCCTGTGAGTAGTTCCTGGAACTCGAGTGCAACGTTAGCACTTGTAGCAATCCTGGCTGTAGTACTCTTGCTGAATATCTTATTTGGCTCTTGTTCACTAGATATGGGATGTAGCGACTGGAGTTTTGAAGCTCACACTTACTGGACACATTGGGCAAGTACGAGGTTAGCCTTTTCATTATTAGTACCATCCATTTGTTATTTTATCAATAACTCTTGTAGAAAAGTTGCAAGTTTCGACTTTTTAAAATATTGTTGTATTATTGTTTCACAGGCCTCGCTGTAAGCAACAGACATACCTATATGTTCTCTGCTGGTGATGATAAGCAAGTCAAATGCTGGGACCTTGAGCAGAATAAGGTTTAAACTCGGTGATAGACTTCATTTTTCTGTGAATGAATTATTGTCTTCGTGATCTAAACTTCTCATGTGCAATGTTTTTGGAATTTGGCTTGGATAGGTTATCCGGTCTTATCATGGTCATTTGCATGGCGTCTATTGTCTAGATCTTCATCCAACTTTGGACGTTTTACTCACCGGAGGGCGAGACTCTGTCTGCAGGGTAAGAAATTTACTGAAAAGATGTATCTATAAGCGTATGTATTATTTCAATTTCTTGAGTTCGCTGAGACTGTTGTTATAAATCCTTTTCTGCTTATAGGTATGGGATATCCGTACGAAGATGCAAATTTATGCACTCTCAGGACATGATGCTGACGTTTGTTCCGTTTTCACCCGTCCAACTGTATGCCACTTTTCATCTTCTCTTTATTCCATAACATAATTTCCTTATTGTACTTGTGGCAGAGAAGCGTACTCTGCTATTTTTTGCTCGTATAGTATGGTTACGAAATCATTTTGAACTTGGGATATGGAGCTGATGGTGTGTGTAATGTTGCAGGACCCACAAGTTGTTACTGGATCTCATGATTCGACCATTAAATTTTGGGACCTGCGATATGGTACGCTTAACCATTTTTTGGACTTCTGCTTTTCTTTTCATCTCTAGCTTTTCATTATGTGGAGGGTTGGCTAACAAATACACTGTTTGATATTATACTCAGGTAGAACAATGACAACTCTAACGCATCATAAGAAAAGTGTCCGAGCAATGGCTCTCCATCCAAAAGAGTAATTTGCCTTTCTCTTTCAACCTTAGAATTGTGCAAGATAATTTGGACCCTGTTTTAATGTATCTCTCTGTTTCGTTCAGGAATGCTTTTGTTTCTGCATCAGCTGACAACATCAAAAAGTTTAGCCTCCCAAAGGGAGAGTTTTGCCACAACACGCTGTAAGTTTCCGGAACTTCTTGTAATTAGTTCTTGGATCATCATTGTATCCCGTTTTCTTTGAGACTTTAATTTTCGTACATCTTCCTGTAGCAACTTTTTTGTTTTTCTGATGTTATCAAAGAACTATAGTTTTCTGATGTCTTACTCTCCATGTGGCAGTTCTCAGCAGAGAGACACAATTAACGCAGTGGCGGTGAACGAGGACGGTGTAATGGTCACTGGAGGTATTAGCTCATTTCCAAATCTGTTTCTTTGATAGTGTAACTTGATGAAACTTGTAACCTCCTTTCCTCGGTATTTTATCTTCCCAACCTCTTTATTTTTATTAACATGTGTCATCGTTGTATCATTGAAGGTGATAAGGGAGGGTTATGGTTCTGGGACTGGAAGAGTGGTCACAATTTCCAGCAGGCAGAAACTATTGTACAGCCTGGTATGACCTCATACTGTTTTTTTTTCTAATCCTTTGTTCTTGTGTTGCTTTAAAGATCAAGATATAGTCTCTGTGAATAGTTTTAAAGAACCAAGGAAGCTCTCAAGTATCAATACGTAGTAGTAATCGGGTCTTTTTATCATTTACATTGTTAGGTTCGCTGGAGAGTGAAGCTGGTATATATGCAGCGTGTTACGATAAGACGGGTTCAAGGCTGGTTACGTGTGAGACAGACAAAACAATAAAGATGTGGAAGGAAGACGAGAATGCAACTCCTGAAACTCATCCTCTCAACTTCAGACCTCCCAAAGAGATCAGACGCTACTAAGGTCTCCCAAAAAAACAATGAAGCAAACGCCCCGAAAAATATCCTACAATACTCAACAGAAAAGGGAAAAGAAGAAGATAATATAAGAAAACTATACTGACATTAATTCAACAATGCCAAAACATCCACTTCTGATTTCTGAATCACTCATTTTAGCGCTTAGCCTCTAATCTGTCCTCCAACTATTAGCGACTACAAGTTAAGAAATATACTTACACCCTATATGGTGATGAGAACTTATACATATTACTAACATTTTAGTGCCTTACTTGGTTAACTCCCGAATGGCTTTTCTTAGGATTTTCTGGTTTGTATCAAACTATTATTGAGCAATTACCGTAAGCAAGAGGGCAACTTGATCGTGATATACGACTAATCGCGCCGTAGATGGATCTTTTCTGGTCCCTGGGAGTTTAGTAGAATACAAAAATAAGTTACATTCACATTTACGTATGAGATAACTCTTTGTTATGGCTATAGAACGAGCGATTGAGCTCAATCAAAGTCGAAGATTAAAAATAGGTTCAATGGACCAATCTATAACACAAGATGGGTGGTGGATTTTCTCTTATCTCCATATACCAAGAGTCTACTTGTGTAAGTTTGATTTGTTTATATATCATAAAATATTTAAGCAGGAAAAAAGGAGCCAAATCTATAGGAGAGCCCTCCCTATGACTTTGGGGTTTAAGAGTTAAGACCACTCGATGATGCAAATTGTCGGATGGACTTTGTAAAAATTGAACTCATCATATCTTTTTCTTCACCCAACATTTTAGGATGCATCTAAAGACAAAATTGTAGTCCAATATTCTGTCTTTCTTTCTTGATATGTCTCTTTACCTTGTGGGTTCCGATATCTTGACGAAACTAATATATATATTTTTTAAAAAAAAACATCGACATGTTACATATTTTTTGCATGAGAATGAGTTTTCTTTTAGTTTCTAACTTTTAAAAATATTGTCTTCACTCAGTTGGGTTTTTTTTTAAAGCTTTTGTTGTCATAATATAGGATCTAAAAAAAAAGATAGAGGAAAAATTATTTTTGTTGTAACTATGTTTATCAATTTAGTTGTAGAACCAAGAATTCTCAACATGAGTTTTCTTCTGTCAAAAACTTACGCAAAAGCTCACGAAAACTTCATTCTGTTCAATATCTAAGTTACAGATTATCATTTGTATTTTGGTATGTGTCACAATTTTGAGCTCAAGATTTCTTTGTGAAATATCATGGAAGCAACAAGTTGTTTTGCGAAATTGAACGGTTTATGATGGTATATACATATTTTTGGATTTTGATTAGTGATTAGTAAAGAGAGATGTATAATTCACTATTGATTAATGATTATACCCCGGTAGCTTTGGTCCGAATACCCATATGAATTTCTCAATACAATAAGGGTCGAATTCTTGAAACTCATATATTCTCACGCATGGATGGGTTTGAATGCAATCTCAAATACGACCGGTGCTGTTTGCTATTGCAAAAATTATAACCTACCGAATGTAGCAATTGAACGCATGCGATGATTTAGTATACACTGTATAGTACTCTATCACAATACCCGGCTAATTAATCCCCCCGGATATTCCTATGGAAAAATTGCATGGATATTCTTGCATAAAATTATATAATGTATAGGAAAGGATAAATTTGATTTTTGTATGCAAATTAAAATTACATTTTAGGATTTTGGGTTTACGATCAAACCTATGGACTTTTCACATAAATAGATGATATATACGTATATAGGAGGGGCGGGACCTATAAAAACGGTTCTATAAAAAGGCTGCATGGGGGAGACACTTAATCGCATCCAAAGCCGAAAGCAATACACATCTCTTATTCTCTAGTCTCTAATCCCCAAGATCATGACAATGCTCAAGAACAAACGCATAACCTTCTCATTGATCTTGGTGTGTCTCGTGATGGTGTCTCCAATGGCTAAAGCTCAGCTTGGTCTCGGTGGTGGTGGTGGTGGTCTTGGTGGTCTTCTTGGCGGTCTCGGTGGTCTTCTTGGTGGTGGTGGTGGTAGTGGTGGTGGACTTGGGGGACTTGGAGGCCTTTTAGGTCTCATCAATATCCAAGGCATACTCCGTTGCTCTGTCAATGGCAATGTTTCCGCTCCTATTTTCCCTAGTAAGCTTTCCTTTTGGATCTCTATATAACCGGAGCAACAAAATTTGTATTTGCTCTCCAAACCAACACAAATTAACCAGGCCGGTTTGTTATAGACTTGGTAATAGATTAATTACATATAATACAAGATAACGTTTATGTTATAGGTTTTATGTTAAGAATCTGCCAAAAAAAAAAAAAAAATTAGTATATGACATGCATGTAAATATATAATACTGTGATGATATCGAATATACAGAATTATATTGACTCCTACATACAAGTATTTATATAAGTTATATATTTTGTATTCGTGAACGAGTTTATAATTCCAAACAAATGATATACCACTCACTTTTTTACGTTTTAAAAAATGTAATTTCCTTATAGATTATTCAACTTTGATAATCTCCAAAATTGGTGGTATAAAATGAACAGATGCAGGCGTGCAGCTACAGTGCGGGGCACAAAACAACGTCGTTTCAGCGTCGACAACGAACGGTGCGGGGTTATTCTCGATACTAGTAAACCCAGTTCAGCTTTTGCTTTCTACACTCCTCTCCGATTGTAAGCTCGCCGTCACGACCCCTCTCTCCACCTGCGACGTCTCACTTCCTACCGGCCAACTTCTCTCACCGTTGACCCTCGTCGGAAACACCGTCTCTGGTCTCATCCGCATCGCCACCCTCGGCCCCGTCGGCTTTCTCCTCGCTAATTAATTAGAACTATACTTTATGTTCTGCGACTGTGTCTTTAATTAATTTCCATCTCTCGTTATATGTTGTTTGTTTCGTGACCAATTTGTGTTTGCTTGCGCATGCGTTAACCATATATGCATGAATAAGGTCTAGGGTTTCTGTCTCAGTTTTCAAAGTCGCATGCTGTTATAAAATGTAAGAATTAATTTCCCGTTTTTTTATTTGTGTGTGTGTGTGTCCGTACTACTTATATGATCCACCTCTTATGATCGTAAATGGATTAGCTAACTACAAAGTAAAAACCAATGTTGAAAATATTGAAAATGTACCAAAAACCACCCGAATATATTGAAAATATATGATCAAAGTGTACCAAAAACCAATGTTGAAATAATATTGACGTTTAAAACCACCCGAATATTTAGATATTGGCTAAATCAATTAGAAAAAAGCTAGTCAACGTAAAAGTTAATAGATTTCTCATATCCAATTAATGCAATTACTCAATTAGGAAAAAAAGTATTGTAATTTGGTCAATGTTTTGAGCCTTTTCCATTTCTACTAATGAGTTTGACTTGAACACTTTAATTTTATCTGTAAAGAACAATCTGAATTTGAAACAAAGACATCTTTACTACTATTTTTTTTATAAAAAAAAAAATTATATGTTAAATATATTGTTTGTGAAAATACATGTCAGAGTTAAATTAACCTATATAATACATGTGACAATCTTGTGAATTCAATTTAGAAGAAGGTAAAGCAAATACTGTAAGTCAAACAAATTTATTGGTAATAAAGACAAACAAATTTAATTGAGCAAAAGGATTAAACAAAGTGAAGGTTAAAGGTGAGTGAGGAGTTGAGCAAAAATAACAAAAAAGAGGTTAATTAAGAGAGGAGAGGTTGACTTGGTGTGAGGACTTCCTCTTCATCTTCTACGTTTGGTTTGGCGTTTCTGTAAAACGCATAAATTAGGAGTTGAATTGTCCCAAGCAAAAATCCCATTCCATTTGGCACCTAGACACACACAATATAAGTCAGTTTACTATCATATTGTTAATACTACAAGTCCCTATTTCATATAAAAAAAAAATCAAAACAATGATACGTACTAGTAGAAACACATCGTGTAAGAGTAAAGCGTAGAAACCCCAGATCGCGCCGTTTAGGAAGAGGAAAAACGACAGCCAAAACGGCATGTACTTGACACTCTTCGTTGTCACAACTGTTTTCTGCTCGGATCAATAATGTAAATGATTAATGTTGATTACAACGACATTTACGTGTATACATACAATTCCTCTTCTCATTATTTGTGTGTAGCAAATGTGAATAATATATAGCTTGACAAAAAGAAAGTAGAGAGACTTACAATAGCGGAAAGAGGAGATCCATACATGATAATGTTGAGAGTAGCACATATGAAACCCATCGAATTAGAACGCATTTTTGCATCTCCAAACGCAGTTCTTGTTCCCACAATCGCTATAACTGGGAAAATCACGTTTAGAGCTAGAACCACAAGAACCGTGTTTAACTGAAAAATCAGATTGGAAAGAAGAAACAAATGATTTAGTTATAAATTAAACGCGTACAAGTGGACCATTTATATCATAGTTTTATTTTATACAGCAAGTAGACATCTATATATTATCAATCATCAACTTATTGATAAGTTCTGCAGCTAATCAGATTTGAATCTGAGTCATACCAATGCAATCCCTTATCTGTCCATCAATTAATTATTAATGCAGATTTCAAATAACAAAAAGACACATAAGATCTCACTATCATATATATATATATATATATGCAACCAGAAACTATATAAATAATAAGTAATTAAATACACAAGTAGAGAAGAAAACGTACGAGTCTTGGTTTAGGGACAAAGAAGAGGAAAATGAGAACGTAGATGGATTCAGCAAGAGCTCCAAAGCCATTGACCGTAGAGACCAAGTATTCGCCAGGTGTCACGATTCCGTAATATGTCCATAACGAGCAACTCATCAACGTGCAAATGTACGGCAAACATTCGTACTCCTCCGTCGATCTCCGTTTCACTATCCTCCAAAACGTCTCCCTGAGTTATTAATTCACGACCCATTTCTTATAATCATTGAGTCATATATTAGGTTTAATCAAAAACCAGCTAAAAAACCATAGAGATAGAAAAAGTGAGAGCTAACTCACACAGGAGAGAGGAAGACAAGCACCGATATTACATTTCCTGCATCGATCATAAAATAATATAAACTAATTCTCAGTTATGTTATAGACAAAATTATGGCCATGTGTAGATTAAATCACATGCAAGGGAAGATGAGAATGTTACCTATAACTCCAATATAGAAACTTAGTTCTGCCATATATATTCTGAGGATGAGTTTCTGAAGAAGGCAGAGAAAGAAATACTGAAAGAGGCTCAGGCTGAGAGAGATAGAAATAGCAAATTATGAGGCGACTTTGTGTTTATCTGTCCACATACGATATATTTAAAGATATGTATGAGTTAGCAAACAAAAAATTATAATATATGAGTTTATGGTAAAGTATTAACAAAATATAAATTCTCTTTCATACAGCAAAACGAGGACAGGACAGGACAGTACAATAATGCTAAAATAAAATGGCTCATGTAGCATGAGAATATTTGATTAAGGATAAAAGTAGGAGTATCGTGCATACCTTATTCTATACTTTTCAGGTTGAGTAATTCTTTTCCTTTTGTTCTACTTCTTTTTTTTTTTATATTGAAAACTGTGATTCAATCAAGAATTTTATGGATGTAAACAGAATTATTAATAATTACATTATAGCGCAAATCTATCGTTAATGTGAAACCTGCTAGTTGAAAACTATTTTTGCAATGATACCTTAATTTCTTATTAACAAAAATACAAATAATAATATATGCACAAAATTTTGTTTTTGGTTCAAGTTTTGACCAAAACAGCTCAACCAAAACACGAAAGTTGTCATCTCATAATAAACAAATGAAAACGAAACTTCAGCAAAAAGTAGCACATAGCCACATACTTCTGATTTTATGCTTTAAAGCGACATGTAAAAAAAAAATTGTGCCGCATGTATACTTAAACTTTTCTGGAATTCAAAATCAAACTATAGATTTATGTCTATGGACTCCAGATTAACAGATATACTCTTTTCTATTTTACCGATTTAAACACATCATTCAGATTATAAAAACACAGAAATTTTAAAAATTTGCTTTAAACTAGAGATTTGACCAAAACATTAATATTAACAAAAATTATTTATTCTATGGTTTGAACGTGTTTTTGGTAACTAATAATGTTCATTCTAAAATTATAGATTAAATTTAAAGTTTACTTTAAATTAGATATTTGACTCGAATATTTAAATCTATAGATGTTACATATACATTTCTCATTCTAGATAAATCGTTTATTTTACTGATAAATTATTTACTATAGTCAAGATTTAACTTCAAATTAGATATTTATCCGAGCATTTAAATCAATTAAATATAATTTATACATTTTTTGTTTAGATAAATTATTTATTTTATCGATTGACTGTATTTTTGTAATCAAAAATTATTATTCTTAAAATGATATGTTAAAATAAAACTTTTACAAATTTGTGTTGTAATATCGTCTATGTAAATGTTCTAACTAATTTGTAATAAAAAATAATTTAGTGAACCAGAAAAAATCAAAATTTTACTTGAACCTAGATATATGATTTCCAAAATCGTGATGCAAACACAAACAGTAAACTTGTTTAAGTAGGAAGAAACTACACATGAAATCAATATAAAAGAAAATTGAATTTATAAATGTGAAAAAAAAACTCTTTATAGAAGTTTATCTGCCTTCAAATGATTTAAATTGATAGAATTAAATCTTAGATCTGAAATAATATTTTCGATTGAGGATACATCATTTTTAATTTTTTTATTTTTTCGAGATTTTTGATTAATCTAAACACGTTTTCACGATTTTTGGTTGTTAGGTAATTGATCAATTTAATTAAAAAAAAAATTTGGAGAATCAACATCCCCACCTCAGGACAGCAGACAGCAGCTATGTGAATGCGACTAGAAAAATAAAAATTTTAAGATTTTACGAAGCAGTAGGTCCATATATTTTAAGTAATTTTCTACTTTTGGCCACTGACTTTCAAAGCTTCATATAATGACCTTGATCCGTCCCACCGAGTGGACTCGGTAACTCAGTCAACAGCGAGTCATTCTATACGAGAGGAGAGAAAAGGAAGACTGTGTTGACTCTAAAAATGGCGACATCGATGATTAAGAGGTTGTTCAAGCAGGGCACGAAGATCGTCGGCATTGGCCTCAATTACGCTTCTCACGCCAAAGAACTTGGCAACGCCCTCCCAAAGGTACAATTTTTATTTTTGTTTTCCCGAGAAAATGATTCGAGCAAAATTCAAAAGCTGCCGCGTAAATTGAACTGGAAAGATTCCCATATAGATCTCATGTAAAAGCCCTTCATTTTTGCTTTAGTTTGATCATGATTTTTACCATTTATCTGTGTGTGTGATGTAATCTACTGGAAGTAGGACCCGATAGTGTTCTTGAAGCCAACCTCGTCGTACCTGGAAAATGGTGGAACGATTGAGATCCCACATCCTTTGGATTCACTTCACCATGAGGTGGAACTCGCTGTAGTGATTGGACACAAGGCCAGAGATGTCCCACAACGGTTAGCCATGGATTACATCGGAGGTAATTAGCTAGCTGCTCATATTGATGGTCATCTTTGTATGATTTAACGACTCATGAATCATGAGCAACTTCGCTGATACAGAGAAGAATTAAAGTCTTCAACTTTTGGTCCAATTCAATAACTTGGAAATATACTTATGCTGCATTGTATAACATTGGTAGAGTATGTGATGTTGGGTGTGTTGTGGTTGTGGTTTTGGTTTTGGTATGGCTTCTTCTACATTATATAGCCATTGTACGTTTGCAAGTTAGTACATTTCCTTCTAATATGTATGATGTTCTTGTTATCCTTTCTTATTTTGTTCTCCTTATTTTCTAGGATATGCGCTTGCTCTTGATATGACTGCTAGGGAATACCAAGCTTCTGCCATGGTAGATAACCATTCGTATTTGTACATACAAGTTTCCACTTTTTCTTTTCTTTTTTTTTTGCTTTTCTTCTTGCATGTTCTTGCTTTGCCATTTACTAATCCATCCCTCACTCGCCCTTTAATGATAAGATCTTGATAAGGTTGTAACTTGTAAAGCATAAATTGGTCGAGCTTTGATATGTGAGATAATAGCATATGTTTGCGAATTGATTTCATCTTTCTGACCATCCTTTCCTGTAAACAAAATTTAGATTTGTGGTTTTGCACACATATCAATCCTTTTATGTCCTGGAAATATAACTGCTTATGCAATCCTTTATATCATTTATCATGAGAATGTTTATATTCTTGTCTCCAGGCATCTGGTCTGCCCTGTACGCTTGCTAAAGGACATGATACCTTCACTCCCATCAGCTCTGTTGTAAGTCATGATCTGGAACTTATTTCCCAAAATGCTAGTTTCAGCAAATCATATGAATAGTATTACCCTCAAAGAGTAAGAGTTTATTGTGAAAAGTGTTACTTTAATATGTTTAGCAGACCCTTTATTCCTTTTGTCTGGATTCAATTTGAACCAAGATCACGGCAAATGCAACTCGGATTTGATAACAGATTGCTAAGTGTTATTGCGTCCACTGGGATTTATGTGATACTGAGATTGGGATGCTCATCAATCATCACAACCAGTTTATATGGGAATATGCGCAACGAACATAACCGATTAGCTACTGATAGCAAACACTCTTTTGACCTCTTATCTTAAATTTGGTTTCTTTTATCGGGTTTTTAGCTACCAAAGGCAATGGTGCTGGATCCCAATAACCTGGAACTTTGGCTAAAGGTTTGCCTCTTCCTGCCCTGTTTATGTTCCCTAGCTATGTTTATGCCCTCTTAGAATTTCCATCTCTGTGATAGGTAGATGATGAGACAAGACAAAAGGGTTGGACAAAAGATATGATCTTCAAGGTCCCATACCTCATCAGCTACATAAGTTCTGTAATGACCCTCTTCGAAGGAGATGTCATATTGACAGGTAAAAAAGGATCCCATCTTTCAAGATTCTGCATTGAACCAAAAATTTGTAATATTGAAGGAAGTAGATTTGATTGGACTATAGCTGAGAACATTCAGGATATTATTGTGAAGAAAGTTGGTGAATGTATGTATGTATAGGTACACCAGAAGGTATAGGACCTGTGAAGGTTGGTCAGAAGATAACCGCCGGAATCACCGGTCTCTCTGAAGTTCAGTTCGATGTTGGTAGGCGTGTAAAGCCATTGTTGAGCTAGCGTTTTGTGAATCGTAGTATATCGTAATTTGTTTTGTATAATCTTTAACTATGAGAGCATTTCACTTTGTTTTTTCTAGCTATTACCAACTACCATGTCTTGTTAACTTTTTGTGCTAGTCTTTAACCATTAAAGCTCTTACAAAACCACTTCGACAAATGAAGGAGAAGTTCTATCACAAAGAAATCTAATTATGTACTTAACCTAATCTAGTTATGCAATTAAATTAATCTAATTTTGAAGATCAATTAAACTAATTAAAAATAGTTGAAGAGAGAAAAAGAAAATGGTTAAAAGACTACGCGAGAGACTCAGGTCATGTCCGTCGCTTCTCTTAACAAGCATACGAGAGGGTTTAAGCGTTCGTCTTCTTCTAGCGTTTCCTCTCTCCCACTTTCTCTCTTTACTCACAGGGAAATGACTCCAGAGACATAGATTGTGAATGCGTAGATCCATTGCGACTGGGTTTGCGTCGATAGCGAAGAGGTTTCTTCATCATAGGCATCGTCTGGAGATTGGTAATCCTGGAGCTCCTCCTTCCTTTAGCCTTTGGGGTTTCTGTTTCTGGGTACGAGCTTTTTCTGATTACCGAGACAATTTGAGAAATGGTCTTCACAATCTTCAGTTTTATGAAGCTCTCGATTTATTCACTCGCATGGTTCACTCTCGTCCTCTTCCCTCCATCGTCGATTTCACTAGATTATTGAGTGTTATTGCCAAGATGAAGAGGTATGACGTTGTGATCTCTCTTTTCGAGCAAATGCAAATGCTTGGAATTTCACCTGTTCTGTACACCTGCAACATCGTGATGAATTGTTTGTGCCAATCCTCTCAGCCTCCTTGTCTTGCTTCGTCTTTTATTGGGAAGATGATGAAACTTGGTTTTGAGCCTGATATAGTCACCTTTACTTCTCTGCTCAATGGTTTCTGTCATAGGAATAGCATCGATGATGCCATAGCTTTGTTTGATCAGATTGTGGAAATGGGATATAGACCTAACGTTGTGACATACACCACGCTGATTCACTGTCTTTGTAAAAACAGACATGTGAATCACGCGTTAGACCTTTTCAACCAAATGCAAACCAATGGTGTTAGACCAAATGTTGTTACTTACAACTCTCTAGTGACTGGTCTTTGTGATTCCGGTAGATGGAGCGATGCCGCCTGGCTCCTGAGAGACATGATGAAGAGGAAAATAGATCCTAGTGCGATCACTTTCACTACATTGATCGATGCGTTTGTGAAAGCTGGGAAGCTTTTGGAGGCTAAAGAACTGTACAAGGTGATGATCAGTATGTCTATAGATCCTAATGTTTTCACTTACAACTCACTGATCAAGGGGTTTTGCATGCACGGTCGGCTAAGTGAAGCTATGCAAATGTTTCATCTGATGGAAAGCAAGGGATGGAAAGCAAATATAGTGACTTATACTACTCTCATACATGGATTTTGCAAGTCTAAGAGAGTAGATGATGGGGTGAGAATCTTTTACAAAATGTCCCAAAGAGGATTACTTGCCAACACAATCACTTACACCGCGCTTATTCAGGGTTATTGTCTAGTGGGAAAACCAAATGTTGCTCAAAAACTGTTCAATCAGATGGGTTATCATGGTGCGCCACCTCCCGATATTAGGACCTACAACGTTCTGCTAGATGGTCTATGTTGTAACGGGCACGTAGAGAAAGCAATGATGATGTTCGAATACATGCGGAAGAGAGAAATGGATGTTAGTATTGTTACATATACTATCATTATTCAAGGGATGTGCAAGGCTGGTAAGGTGGAAGATGCTTTTGATTTATTTTGTAGCCTTTTCTCCAAAGGGATGAAGCCGAATGTTGTAACATACACTACAATGATATCGGGATTTTGTAGGCGTGGCCTAATTCATGAAGCTGATGCGCTGTTTAAGAAAATGATAAAAGATGGGTTCTCACCAAATGAACGTGTGTCTAAGTAGGTGATACCGCGAGCTGAAACTCATGAGGAGTTAAGTGTTACTCTGATGCTTTTGGTCTCACGCATATGATGGTGTAGTTGCAGTTTGGGGAGAGGACACACAGGTTATATAAACTTACCTTTTATAAGCTTAGGTTCAAAACTTATATTGCTTCATGATGCTGTATGTTGTATTGGATTAAACCTCAAATATTGTTGTGAATTGTAACTTTTCAGGTGCAGTTAAGTTTTGACATACCTCGTCAGCTGCATAGGTTCTGTAGTGATTCAATTCCAAGGAGATGTCATCTTGACAGAGGTATTTGTCGTTGAAGGCTTTTTCTATCGTCAAGATTCCGCATGGAAGCAGAGTTGTACATTTGGAGTATTGAAGTCGAATAGTATTGTTAAGAAAGCTAATCAGTGTATAGATAGGTTGTGGTGAAAGGTATATAGGATCCCTGTAAAGATTGGTCAAAACTCAAAAGGCTATTGAGCTAGTCTCTTATGAATCAACCTCCATTTATTACAATAAAAAACTGCAATAAAACACAAACCAGGACCATTTAAAAGAAACAGAAACCGAGTATGAGAATGAATCAGAGAAGGAAAGGAGAAAAAAAATAAGAAAGTATAATTTTTTTTTTTTTTTTTGGTCGAACATAAGAAAGTATAATTTGTTTTACTAAATTCACAAGGTAAAGTATTTACTAGCGTTTTGGCAAAAGAAAAACAAAAAATTGTATTTTTCTAGCATTTTTGAAAAAACATATTCGAACTCAATACTGAAAAAGTTAACAAAATAAAGTGTGGGGAAGGGCAGAATGGTCAAAGAGAAAATTCGCGCGTCAACTTTGGCGTCGTCTAACATTGCGCTTTCGCACGAACCTCTCTCGCTCGCTCTCTCGCCATTACTAAAAACCCAAACTTTCTTCGCTTTCTTTCACTAGTTGACTCTCTCTCTCTCTTTCTCTCTCTCTGAATCTCTCACTCGCCACCAAAATCATGAACTCATACGAGCAGGATCCGATGGCGAGACCCGACGGAAACATCTCGGCTTCTCGGCCCTACGCCATGAGCGGAAAAATCATGCTAAGCGCAATAGTAATCCTCTTCTTCGTCGTCATTTTAATGGTCTTCCTCCATCTCTACGCTCGCTGGTATCTCCTCCGCGCTCGCAGACGCCATCTCCGCCGCCGCAGCCGTAACCGACGCGACACAATGGTTTTCTTCACCGCCGATCCTTCCACCGCCGCCGCCGCTTCCATCGTCTCCACACGCGGCCTCGACCCCGCCGTCTTAAAATCTCTCCCCGTTTTCACTTTCTCCGATTCGACCCATAAAGATCCGATCGAGTGCTCCGTTTGTCTCTCCGAATTCGAAGAGACCGAGTCGGGTCGGGTTTTGCCCAATTGCAAACACACTTTTCATGTTGATTGCATCGATATGTGGTTTCATTCTCATTCCACCTGTCCTCTCTGCCGCTCTCTCGTCGAGCCTCTCGCCGGAAATGAAAACACCGCGTCGTCGCCGGCGGCTGCGGATGAGCAAGTCGTGATTGCGATTTCTTCTGACCCGGTTTCTTCGATTGAACCCGGTTCGAGCTCTGGATTGAGCGGTGAGCCCCATGGATCTGGGCCTTCTGCAATGCCGACGGAAGATTTGGGGAGAAAACCGGCGGCGATTGAGGTACCGAGGAGGAATTTCAACGAGTTTGAAAACGATTTGACTCGGAACTCGCCGGCGAATCACTCGTTTAGGTCGCCGATTAGTCGGATGTTATCTTTCACTCGGATGTTAAGTAGAGAACGGAGAAGCGCTTCGTCTCCTATTGCCGGAGCTCAGCCGCTATCGCCGTCGTCGATCTGTCGGATACCCATGACCGGGTCAGATATCGAACGGGGAGGTGAGGAGACGAGGTGACTTGCCACGTGGATGTTCCTTATTGGTTTTGATTTTAACCTCGAGGAGAATGCAAAAGTTTATTATATACAGTGATGATAAAAGGCAACAAGCCTTTGTCGAGGGTTGATTTTCAGCGCCCGTGAACACGTGGCGTAATCTGAACTACCATCGAGTCAATATGCACCGTCCGTTATTTTTAGATTAGATAGGCTTGTTTGAAGATGTACATATAGTCGGTCGTCGATATTGAATTCAATTTCCATTTATTTTTCTTTATCTTCTCTTTTTTCTTTTCCCATTTCTACATGATGTTTCTGTAATTCCTATTCAGTGGTCATGAATTCATGATAGAGACTTTACATAAGTTTATTTAATACCAATTTAGAGTCTTGAGAACCCATCTAATTTAAAAATTTGTCAGTTTATTGAATGTAAAAAATTCCATCATCAAAACAGTCAAAGGCATATATTTCATACTCTATCACCCGCTCTTTAATTATGGAAATGTCAATTGCGATCATTGTTTAATTTGAGAATAATCGAACAAAATAGTAAAATTAGCATTGATATAAATTGTTTTTAAAAAAATGAGCGTCTATTGGGTGCATGTTCTTCTGTCGTCCGACCCAAAAAAAATGTCATTGTGCATGTACAAAGCTGAAATTGTTTCATAAATTAGTATTATTGGTTAAATTAAGTTATGTACATATATCTTGTTAATGTTTCTTCACATACATGATACATCTTACTTGTTAAATACGATTATGATAGGTCTTTTTTGTGTGTGTGCATTCTCTGCGTTTCTTTACATATGCTACAACTAAGTACCTTGCAAGTTACACCTTAGAAAACATAATGTGTTACTGTGTGGTCTGATTCTCTGATTACTTCTAGTTGATCTGGTCGAGTTAACCTTTTTATTTGTTTTGGTATATCGTACTCTATTTACGCAAAAAAAAATATATATAAAAAAACATGCAGGCAATCAGATTCCAACGATCGAATCCCATGTATAAAAAAAGAGTTTTAACACGGTAAGTAACAGTCAGTAGGAGATTTATAGTGCTCAACACGACTACGAACGACTTTCGAGTTTTGACTTTAATTCTTTCACTTGTCACTTTTATAGTTTATAAATGTATTGAAAAAAGACTCTTGGTTACTACGCGTAAGTGGACCAAGTCTTATGCCTCCTAACCACACCACAACATGTTGCAACTAATTCATGTTCACAACAAAACGGAGTAACAACTCGCACTATCTCCAAATCCAATCATCAAAAGTTTATTATTGATATAAAACAACTCGTACTATCTCCAAATCTAATCATCAAATTTTTTAAATGAAAATAATACATAAGAACATATTGCTGTCGATGATTGTCGTTGAGAAATACGCGTGAATGATTAGTTTTTGATACAAAAATATTTGATTATCAAAAAAAAAACCTAAAAAAACTGAATAAAGGTTGGTAAAGCTAGCAATAGAAACGTAAATGAAGGGGCAATTTAGGTACGTGTGTACTAACTCATACAAGTAGAAGACAAAAACAAAATCAACATGAGTACAATTTCCGCGAACTTTCCATCGTCAATTAGATGACTCGAAAGTCTTTGTTGCTTTCCCAAAGACCCAAAAGGCAAAAAGTCCTAAAACAGTGTTATTAAGGAATTTACATGTAGCTACAGTCCGAGACTCATTTGGTATGTTTCTTCCTTTTCATACTCTAACGTCGTTTTATGTTTCTTTTTTATTGGATTTGTTACTAATTTATAGTTTTTTTTTTTTTTTTTTGGTCGAACATGTTAAGATTCATACCATTTTCAAGATTTTACATAGTTGTGAGGGATCACTTATTACAAGAAGAGAAAGAGAAAAAGATTAGGAAGAAGATTAAGGATACATCCGTTAGCTTATGGAACCAAGATGCTGGAAATATAACTCAAGAAGGGAGGGAGACGTCGTAGAAATCGGCGGGAAGGAGAGGAGACGATCCCGAAGCATTCTATCCACCGAAGCACGAACAACTGGGACAGGGGAGCTGGAGTCTTTGAAAATGCGAGAGTTGCGCTCTCTCCAAATGGCGTAGATAACGACTTGAAGCAGAAGCTTAAACACAGACTTCAGTCCCACTGAAGAGAAGTGATTCCTGGAGGAGATGAATGCAACGACAGCACGAAGCGAGAGAGGAACAGGAGCGCATACTCTGTTTACAAAACGAGTCCATAGGTCCGAGGAGAAAGAGCAGGCGAAGAACAGATGGTCATGCGATTCAGGCCCTGCTCTACATAAGACACATTGGTCGGAAACAGCCATTCCCCAATTCAAGAGTCTGTCTTTGGTGGGGAGCCGAGATAACATGGACAACCAGGTAATAAAGGTACAGCGGGGAATAGCTTCCTTAAACCACACCGACTTATGCCAAGCGACAGTGGGAGCGGTCACCCGCAAAGCATTCCAAGTAGCCTTAGACGAGAAATCCTGCACAAAAGTACCTGAAGCACTTCGCCATAGATAGCGATCGCTACCGCGAGCAGCGCTGGGAGGAGAGGTAGATGTTAGAATGACCTGCAAATCGTGCGCCTGATCGGATCTGGCTGCAGGCAAACGCCATTCGCCATGCCTAGTGGCGTGAACGACCTTATCTTGAAGCCGCAAGCGAAGTTGTCGAGGCCCTCTTTCTCCGAAGAACCTACTCAATGGTCCAAGCTCCGTCCAATAATCAAACCAAAAGGAAGCATTCTCCCCATTTCCAATATCACACCGCATGAAGTCTACCAACCGGTGCTTTAGTTGGAGCATACTCCGAACCGTAGGAGAGAATCTGATGGCGTCTTCGGTTTGCCAAAAACACCGCCGATGGAAAATATGAGCCCGAAGCCATGCCACCCAGAGAGAACCCGATTTCGAGAAGAAGTTCCAAATGAGCTTCAAACGGAAAACCGTCTGAAACTCCTCCAACAAACGAATACCAAGGCCACCCTCAGCCTTCGGTTTGCAAACGTTTTTCCAGGCAACTCTTGCTCCATTCGCCGAGCAAGTCTTGTTCTTCCAAAGGAAAGCAGCACATAGAGAGTCGATTTTTACATAAAAACTCTTAGGAAGAGAGAAGACTGAGCTCCAGAAGTTAACCATACCGTAGATAACGGAGGCAACGAGCCTCACTTTACCGGCAAAAGACAGCAGCTTAACAGTCCAACTATGCAGCTTGCTAGTGATCTTTTCAATGAACGGCTGAAGAGTAGATAAAGATATTCTTCTCGGGTTGAGAGGCAGACCTAAATACCGAGTAGGGAATGAGCCCAACGTAAACCCAGAGAATCCACAAAGCTCAGCAATCTCAATTTCATCATAACCACCAAAGAAGATCTCTGTTTTGACAACATTCATGTCCAGACCACTGATGCTCTTGAACTCGTCCATAACCTTCTTAATACCCGAGAGAGAATGTTGTGATCCATCCGAGAAAACCAATAGATCGTCGGCGAATAAAAGGTGGGTAATTCGCGGATCTTCACAGTGGGGGTGAAGAGTCAACATTCCATTGTCAGCAGCATTCTCTAGCAGAGATGATAACACCTCCATGACCATAATGAACAAGTAAGGCGAGATCGAATCTCCTTGGCGTAACCCTTTCTTACCAGCAAAGAAACCCGCGAGCTCCCCGTTGATAGATATCGAGAATCTGGGAGAAGTAATACATTCCTTGATCCAGGAAATGAACAAGGAAGGGAAATTTTGTGCCTCAAGGATTTTTAGGACCAAGTCCCAACACACGGTATCAAACGCCTTGCGGATGTCTACTTTCAGCATGCAGCTCTTGGGACATGACATGTTGTTATACTTCCTGATCAATTCAGATGAGAGAAGCACATTCTCACCGAGACTTCTACCTTTTAGGAAAGCCGCCTGGTTCGGACTAATACACTGAAGAAGGACCGGCTTTAGACGGCTCGCAATAACCCTGGAGATTACTTTGTAGATGATGTTACAGCAGCTTATGGGTCTGTAATCACCGAGTTTGCACGCCTCCGGAGTCTTCGGAATCAAGGTAATGGCCGTATTATTTAAATCTTTAAGGAGACGACCATTCCTAAAGAATTCCATAACCCCAGCAACTACATCTTTACCAACTGTGTCCCAAGAAGAGCGCAAAAATTCCACAGAATATCCATCCGGCCCTGGGCTCTTATTCAGAGGCATAGCAAAGACAATCTCTTTAATCTCATCAGCAGTTACATCCCTCTGAAGATCCATCCTCTGCGATTCAGAACAACGAAATGACATCAACGCTTGAAGCTGTCCAACAGAGCACGGAGAAACAGGCATCTCTGTGTGACCAATGATCCCTTTGAAGTAGTCAGCAGAATGGGATTTAATATCATCAAGAGTAGCAATCATCCTGTCATCTACATCTCTAAGAAAATGAATATGGTTGCGAGTAACTCGTTGGGCAACCATTCTGTGGAAATACCTAGTATTCTTATCACCCAAATGCAGCCATCGAACTCTTGACTTCTGAGCATAGAACTTTTCTTCCGCAGTAATGAGAGTTTTCCATTTGGCCCGAGTTTGATGTTCCTCCCTTGCAGTTTCCGGATCTGGGTTAGACAATAGAGTCCGCTGAAGCTCCATAAGTATAGTTACTAATTTATAGTTATGTGTATATATACATTCTCTCAGTGATAAGTATAATTATATATATTTTTACTAAAATTTATTTCTCGCTGAAAATTGTTTTCAGAAGTGATAAGTCAATAAGTTAAAAATGTGATAAAACAACGAAAATAAATGGACAAGTGGCTAAGAAAAAGATGCAATCATGCAACTTGAGCTAAAAGTTGGAACAGATCGAACAAGGCATCTAGATATATAAGAGTTATCTATGACATTATTTGAAAATTTTCAATTTGAAAAAGTTATCGATTCGATTCTCTTGGGATAAAGAACCTCAAGTTAAAAAAATAATCCGAACTCTTAAAATTTCCACAAGCACCGTTTCTAATATGTTAAAAGATCCTCAAAAGTGGAACGCCTTTCATTGTTATTACAACATATGCTACCTCTTCTAAGTTCTAACAATGCCTTCATTATAAATTACATAACTGACAGTTACAGAGTTTCCTAACTGTCTGATTAAAATGCCACACCTACTACAATCTAATTTGTGGAGTCATTAGCCATTTTAGCTTTACAATTTTCTCGCTCTGCTTTTGATTGAAGAAACTTCAGTTACCTCGCCTACCTCATCAGATCTACTCTTTCGTCTCTTCTTACTGTTCGGTGTGCATCTTGCGCCGACACTGTTGATCTTTGATATCTTTAACGAGACTTTCCGAGTCTGGCCTGAGCCTGACACAGAACATGTATTTGGCTTCTTTGGTGGTGGTGACTCGTGAGCTTTGCCTTTGGCTATCGGGGATTTGGCTCGTTTCCGGGGTAAATGCATTGCTCTTTTCTCAGTCTTTCTGTTACAAACACTGAGCAACCTAACGCTGAAAGGATTAACCGCTGTATAACACACTGGTTGGCCTACGGAGTTTCCAGGTTTTTCGAGATCAACGTCTCCATTGTTCACCTGGAAAAACATTTTTAAGTCAAATGATGATTTTCTTGTTTGATGTAACATATAGAAAATGTTTTCCTCTGTGACTTACCAACTGAAGAAGAGCGGAGAAAGCCCGGGCTACATCGTGCTTTTCTTGGTCTTTCATGAGATCAGTAAAGGTCTCGACGTTTCCACTATCTTCAACAGTCAGTTTGTTGATAATCTTTGCTCCATATTCTTGAATGTCAAAAGGAGGGTGTAGCTCCTGATCGTAGAATAAAACCAGACGATTTAGAAAATGTATCACATTTCTGACTTCAAGTGAATGGTGGTAACAGAAACTAGGAGAAAGAGATTACTTGTTCTTCTAGGTTTTGCTCGATTTTCTGTTTCCACGACGAAACCCGAGCAGCCAGATCCGTTTGCTTCTCACTTTTAGCTATGTTAGCAAGAAGAGCGTCCTACAAAAATACATAACATTTAAGCTTCCATAAGAAAATGGATGAAAAACACCAACTCCGGGGTAGTAAAATATGACATCAGAAGATGAGAATTTAAACATCTGAGATTCCATAGAATCAGATTAAACCAATGTAGTTACCAGGTGTGAGCGACAAAGATCTTCCAAGCTTTCTTGACAGTGTGAGTCGTCGTTTCCAAATCCATCGTAGTTGGGAAAATCTGCCGCTCCACCATCATTCTGCATGAAATTAAAAGAGCGGATAAGTGTTGCATATATATTCCACCAGTGTGATCAAATAAGTGAACTAATAACTACTCACCATATGGAGACCATCTTCATCCATGAATTCATGATCATCATGCTCCCCAAAATCATCGAAGTCGCCATTATTAGCTTCATCATGGTTATCCTTATCGCCGTCCTTGTGATTGCCATTAGCATCAGAAGGTTGTTTTCCTCCATTCACGAGCAACGCTCGAAGCTGAGATCAAAAATATCAGTTTTTCATTTCTGCATTAATATATCAGAAAAGGCTATAGAGAAAACACAGACCTTCTCGTGATAGGGAATGTCTTGTTGTACTCTCTCGTCTTTACCAGTACCACGGCGCTTCTCCCAAATTCCGTTGAGCTCTGTGCTGATGGGACCGTTGGGTCTAGCGAGAGGAAACATGGAAGATATATGGTCCTTGGTAAGGCTCCCTCCGATCTTTCTGAAAGTTTTTACTGATCAAGAAATAAAGTATAACATGAAGCAGAAGTAAGGCACAGATCGAAAGATATAGCTTAGAAGATCAATCAAGATAGCCATCTCCCAACCTTTTTTGAAAGGCTTCACTTTCAAATTCCCGGGTTCATAGGGATTCAATGGCTTCCATGGATCATCTTCATCAGCATCTGTATCACTTAAATCCATGGTTCCTCCATGGTCATTATCAATGTCAAAACCATGATCATCGTCTCCAAAGATAGGAGGAGGTTGAGACCCTTGGTTACAGTTTTCAACATCGGGAGCATTCCCAACTATTGGTGACGAGTTGAAATTGGTGCCCTGATTCTTTCCCACAGATGATCTACGAGCACTTCCTCCAGAACGTCCTGCTGGTGAGTGAAAACTTTTACGAACGGGAGCTGCCTCTGAGAGCACTGTTCTTTCCTTTACCGGCATAGTTATCACCTAAAAATTCATTTACCGCTACAGCATCACATGGGTCTAATAGAATAAAATCCCGGTAGAGATGTGTAGTTGCCAACTGCAAGACATGAAAGCGAAAAAGCAGTTCAAACCCCAGGCTCTTTTTTATTTTCCAATACTCTGAGAGGTGGAAGAACATGCTATACCAGATAGGATTCTAATTCTCCTCCGTCACCACTAGTATCCAAGCAGTCACCTTCAAGAACAACTAGATTTGCCGGAGGCTTCACAAACTGACTTGGACAGGAATCCCCGCCAACCGAGTTGTCCAAGCTATTCTTTGCGTCCACTATATACTTAACAACATCTGGATTAGAAATCTGCTCTCTTGAGTGGCACCAGGATATCATGTTAAAAATTCAAAACTTTATCTACCTGGGATGTCATCTACATTCCAGAAGAGATCATTTTCTTCTTCATCAACCTGACGAGAGGAGCTTTCCTCAGCCTCGTTTGATGTACCTTTGGACTGTTCTTGCTCTCTGATTAAGATAACAAGAACAAAATGATCAATGAGAGAATCATTTTTAACTTTTTGAATATGTAGCCTTTTGTAAAATTGAGAAATATATATGGCCTCTATTTGATTCTAATACGATTTCTGGTTTTTCCAGTACATCATTTCTCTAATAATTACAAGAGGCTCAGGATGCAAATTTTCCAAGTGAAATCAAGAGGGTGATAAGATGACCAGAACTAACGATTAGCAACTCGAATACTAAAAAAAAACAAGAAATCATCAAGTCCCAGCATAGACACAGCACTTATGTAGAAAAAGGCGTTTTCAAGTGCAGCCATTGAACCATTGTATAAATTCACTTCATCTGTGAACACAAAGCAGACCCATACACAGAGAGAAAGATGATAATAGAAGTTAGCCCCCCTAAAATCCTGAGATGTTTGGCATCTACCAAAAAGTACTGATCTTTTATCATGTTCGATTACCTTTGCTTATTAACTAATGAAGACAAAAAAAAAAAAAAACAGGGAATAAAAAAAGACGAACCTTTGTTTCGAAAGAAACTCCAACGTACGTAGGACCAAATTGTACAAGTACTCCACTTTCTTGCTGTAAACCTGGACCGAACCCTGAAGCAGCAAAGCAGCTACAGAGCCCCGGAACATAAAATCGAAACCCAATTTTCAATGACCCTAAATCAAATTAAATACAACCAGAAATCTCTGAATCGAAGGAGAACCACAAACCTTCGGCGAAATTCACAGGAACCTGACCATCTTCGTTCCCGGTGATTTCTCCGGAGCAAATTTTAAGTAGGTACTCTTCTAGCTTTTCCGACAAATCAACTTCCCAATTTGCCACCAAATCTCTCTCCGGCTGTACCGTATGAATCCTCTCGCCGCGAACTCCACCGCCACCGTGACTCGTCATTTTCTGTGAAGCCGCACGGAATTTAAGCTTATATAGGGAGAGATTGGATTAGTCATACCCTTAAGCGTAAACCCCGAAAAAAGGGCAGAAACCCTAAAATTGTGAATTGGGATCCTAACAAAAAGCGAAATTTCCAAAAACAAATCTCACGTTTTCAGGTTAAATTTGAGAAATTTTAATGGGAAACGAAGGGAATAGGGAATGAACGATCCAACACAAGAATTCAAATGATTACTGAAAGATAGAAGAAGGAACTGTGAGACTGAGAGAGTTGAGAGAGTTTGGGGAAGAGATACGAAATGTTTTGACTTTTTGACTTCTCAAGATTTTCCCGCTTTTCGTAAAAATGCAAAATAGTGTTGGGCCCTAAATCCATTGGGCTTAACCCGTTCAACATCTCTAACATTTTGGCTATCAATTTTCATGTTTCAACATTTTGACTAGTAAATTTTCATGTTTCAACATTTTGAGATTTTGCTATATAGTAGTATGAAAGTGACTTACTTCCATGTTCTAGTAGCTTTTTATTATGCAAAAAGTTTATTTTGTCTCAAATGTTTCCACTATCTTGAATTCTTGATCATGCGACAATTTTGTTCTTTCACTATTTACTTAGCATACAAGTCTAGCCCAACAATTGCTAATATTATAATTTTTTCTTTTGAATGCGCCAATTAATCTGGAAGTACCAGTTTCTCCCACAAAGGAGACAAACAAACAGTTAAGGCCTCTTAGCTAGTAACAGTAATTCTAATTTTCGACAAAGTTAATAAGACAAGGAAAAATGTAATGGTAAAAAGATGGGCTGTATTGAATGGAAGCTCAAACATTAGGGATCTTTCTAAAATTTTTATTTTATTTTCTCTTTCGTTGGCTCTGGACAACAATCGCTAAAAGAGATCTCTAGATTGCTGGTGGATTCGAAGAATCTCTCACGGTTTGTTCTTGACGACGAATCACATTCTTAATTCTATCCAGCTCCGCATCGGTTTTCTCTGTTTGTTCCTGTATCAGTTTTCTTTTGTAAATCTCAAAATTTTTAGTAAGAATCATGAATTCCAACTTCGGGAAGAGATCATCTGGGTCGATCAATAGCTTTGATTTCGATCTAGGTCTCGGATCAAGCCATGGAAAACCTCTGAATGGGCAGAAGAGCCAAACCTCTTCTTACTCAAGCTCGAATTCGCAGCCGAGACCCGCGTGGCAGCCTGGTAAGCCTTCGTGGACGCATCAACCGGCGCCGAAGCAGACGACGATCCGATCCGAGATCGGAAGTGGACCGACTTCAATGGTCGGCGATATTCACGGTAAGACTTGGGGTTCATCCTCGGGATCGGGCTCTGGTATTGGGATTGTTAACAAGGATCCGAGCTTGTTCGGAGATCTAGTTGGATCAGCCATCGGAAAATCCAGCGGAAAAGTTCCGTTGAAGAATGCCCCGCCTGCTGGTTCGAACAAGAGCTCTTATTCCATGGGGAATTTGGCCGATTCGTTGCCAAAATCCGGTAATTCGATGAATAGCGGTGGTGGTGGTTGGGGTTATAGCAGTAATCCGGGTGGTTTTTCAGGCGGTTTCGCAAGCTCCGGTGGTGGTAATTCCGGTGTTAATGCTAATAGCAGTATTAAGAATCCAAATCTTGGAGGTCCTTCGATGAAAACTATGTCTGGGACTAGCAATCTTAGTGGGTCTGGTCTTCCTTCGAATAGTGATCCGTTTGGTTCTTTGCTTGGTTTCGGATCAAAATCATCAGGAAGCAAAACCGGAAAGACTAACAACAATGCACAAAGCAATGCTTTTGGGAATTTTCAGAGTTCATACCAATCGAATCCGAACAGTGGATCAACCGCTAAAAGCAACGACTTTGGAGATTTCCAGAACGCCGCCAAATCAAACACATTCTCATCAGGCGGATTTGATTTTGGTGTGCAAGCAAGTGCTCCTCAAGCCTCGAGTGCAAATGATGATCCCTTGTCGATGTTTTCCACTTCCAATACCTCACCTGCACCAGCTACACCACAGACTGAAGATTGGGGATTTGAAAGTTTTGACGGTGGGGCTGATTCTGGTGGCGGTTCCACAACCGAGCTCGATGGGTTGCCACCGCCTCCACCGGGTGTATCAGCTACATCAGCTAAGAGCAAAGGCATTGATAACCAGAGGCAGGGTCAGTATGCTGATGCCATAAAGTGGCTCTCTTGGGCTGTGATTCTTATGGAGAAAGCTGGCGATCAAGCTGGATCAGCCGAGGTCCTTTCAACTAGGGCTTCGTGTTACAAAGAAGTCGGAGAGTATAAGAAGGCTGTATCAGACTGTACCAAGGTATGTGTTTGTTGGTTGATTTCCCAGTTTTGATTATTGCACATGAATGAAAAGTCATATTTGTCTTTGGATGCAAGATTCTCTTGATTCGTAAAGAGACTCTCTCTAGCTAGGGTTGTATATGTTATAGGGTTTATGACTCTTGATGGAATCAATACTGATGTGCTTTTGAGGTTTATGAAACTTGACAATATTAGATCTTGGTCCTTGTGGAATCTAAGATATAATACGAGAGCTTTGTGAATATGGAAGTTATAGAGTCAAGTTGTAGAAGAAATACCATTACTGAACAGTTCTGTGGAGCTCAGCATCGTTACATTGCTCCATAGATGGGGTTCTTGTAAACTGAGAACAAAACCAGCACTCCAGCATCTGCAAAACCTGTTGTGCAAAATTTCAGACATTTCCTTTTTTTGTTTGTTCCAAAATGTGGTTGTAGGTACTTGATCATGACAAAAAGAACGTGACCATTTTGGTTCAACGAGCACTTTTATACGAGAGCATGGAGAAATACAAACTCGGAGCTGAAGATCTAAGGATGGTTCTGAAGATCGATCCGGGGAATAGAATTGCTAGAAGCACCGTTCACCGCTTAACCAAAATGGCTGGTTGATTCGTAGATCCTTCCTTTCATATACCGGTATTTCAGTTATTGTCTCAAAGAGAAACAAAAGAACCTTCAAATCTCTATAATCTTTCCCATTTTCCTTTGCTCGATACCGTTTTGTCTCTCATCCACGGACCTTGCATGTGTGTATTCTTTCTGATTTTCCATGGGTTCTTCTATAAAATGGTCAGCTTATGTAGTATGTGGGTTTTGAATATAATTTTTTTTAATGGTGCATTATATGTTGTTGATTCTTAATTTCTTATCAATTGGATATTCTTATACACTACACCTTTTACGATATACCATCAATATTTTTTGATCATAAAGCAACTATAGAACACTGACGGTTATTATTTTCTTACAGACAAGTTTTCTGGTAAAAAATTTAGTTCCATAAGAATAGCGTCGTTAACGAGAAACTTACTTTTGAAAAACGCTGCATGATGAACGTGAGACGTTTAATGCAAAGTAATTAAATTGATACGTTTAAGATGATTTTACTTGGTTTCTGCTTTTTTTGTGCCTATCTATGAGATTCCCTTTTTTGTCAACTATAGAGCTTAGAAGAAATAAATTTACAATAAATTAAATTTCTTTGTAGCTAATAACCCTGCGTGTTATCTCCAAATTCTACATGTTCTTCAATTTATCTTCCAGATAAAGATCACGTGGAATATCAGTATGTATACATTTAGGAAGCATTCATTACCCGGCGCTTCGTGGACGCAACACTCCAAATTCCGATTAATAAATTAATGACATTGTCATACGTTTTTTCCCTTTCAGAATGCACGAAAAAAAAGTTTTAGTTTTGTCGTTATATGGATTAAATTTGTTGTAACCGTCGTGTATCAACGGAACGTATAAGTATTAGTATAATTTTAATAAATTCATTACGACTTTATACTACGTACTTAGTATAAAGAGATTATTTCGCCTATAAATTGGATTTCACCTCCACCGCACCAATCTCCGTATTGAACCCTAGCATCAGAGAACAGAAAAACAAACTGAGAAAATGTGTGGCGGTGCTATAATTTCCGATTTTACCCCTTTCGTCACCAAGGCCAAGGGTAGGAAGCTCACGGCGGAGGAACTCTGGTCAGAGCTCGATGCTTCCGCCGGCGATGACTTCTGGGGTTTCGATCCCACCTCCAAGCTTCGATCCACCAAACAAGGTACGATTCAAATGATCATAAGGAATATCAAACTCTCAGAAGAATCAATATCAGGAATATAAAAAAAAAAAATAGAAATAATATTTCGAGAAGTTACGGGAAAGATGATTGCGTAGGGATTCTTTATTTGGATTTTTTTTTCGCTATCTGTGTGGGGGTTATATCTGTAATTTTACACCTTGAAGCGAGTGTGAAAGAGGAGGCGGCGGCGGAGAAGGAGCCGACGACGACGGAGAAACGTAGGAAGAGGAAGAACGTTTACAGAGGGATACGCAAGCGGCCGTGGGGAAAATGGGCGGCGGAGATTCGAGATCCGCGAAAAGGAGTCAGAGTTTGGCTTGGGACGTTCAACACGGCGGAGGAAGCCGCTATGGCTTATGACGCTGCGGCGAAGCGGATCCGCGGCGATAAAGCCAAGCTCAACTTCCCAGATCTTCTTCATCATCCTCCCCCGCCGTCACCTCCACGATCGATTGATCAGCCTCCGGCGAAGAAGCTCTGCGTTTCCTCCCAGAGCGAGTTAACTCAGCCGATTTACCCGGTTGATTGCATTGGATTTGGGAATGGGGACGAGTTTCAGGAACCGAGTTACGCGTTTGATTACGATCTGAAACAGCAGATATCGAGCTTGGAGTCGTTCCTTGAGCTTGACGGTAACACGGTAGAGCAACCGAGTCAACTCGACGAGTCCATCTCCGAGGTGGTGGATATGTGGATGCTTGATGATGTCATCGATCGCCTCGTATGAATAAATCAAGTAATAATAATTTGAAAAATCAAATCAAATAAAGTCTGTAATATAATGTATGTGTAACCGCCGTTAGTTTTTAAGATGTCATTGGTACATGAGACTGCTAATGATACGTGTTGCGCCGTGTGTAGTGAATGTTTGGCGTTATTTCGACTCAAATCGAGCGTTATATTGCCGTTTGTGCTATTTTTATTTTCTATAATATAGATTTGTAATATAAATTATAAAATTTTCAATGTAGATTCTTTTTTCTTTAAAGCAGCTATTTTTGTTGACTCGGTAGTTTACCAAGAATTAACCCAATATTTTTTCTTAAAAAAAAATGGTTTGTATTGACTGGGTTTCAGGTTTTACTTCTGATCAATATTTTTCATAGGAGATGTTATTTTAAAGTGGAATATTTACAGGTTTTCTTACAAATACTTGGAAGTTGTTGAAACAAGGAGTGACATACAGTATACGTTTATGTGTACTAGCAGAACTCTAATTTTCCGTATAAAAAAAAACCAAAAAAACTCTTATCTTCCTGAAATGTATATTACGTATACATGCATATGATTAAATAAATAATGCAGATGGGGTTAGATGCATGAACCTAGAAGCCTAGTTGGTCTTATAAGAATTATAGTGGGTCCCTGCAATGTTTCAAAGATTTGCCAAAAATCTATTAGTTTCACGAGACTGTCTATTTGTTTCACGATTGAGAGAATCATTAGTATTTTAATACTACGCGCATTTATTCGGTTAACTGCAGTACTCAAATTAAAATAACTGAAATGATAGCATCTAATGATGTCTGTCTTAAAACTATGAGTTATATACTCCATTATAACGTACATCTAGCCGAACTGCGATTATAACAAAATTATTATCCACACACGCCTATCATGTCGTACTGGAATCCAAGTCAATATAACCGAAACGATTTGTTTTGTGTGTTTTCAACCAATCACAATTTTTTCTCGCTCAAAGCTTGATTAGGCCAACCCAAACATAGTAAGCCTAGTCACGTTTACCATGCTGATCATGTACCTAAATTCTGGAACATGACATCATGCTTAAAACAAACTCGTTTACTGTAATTCATAGATTTATGTGTTCCCTGACCCTCGTCATGAGATTGTAGTCCATTAATGTTCCAAAAAAAAAAAAAAAAAGGAGATTGTACGAGTCCATCCATCATTTGACCATCGTCCCTTTGGTTGCTTTTCTCAATCAGTAACCTTGTCTTTTTTCTCCCCACTTGGAACAATCTAAAATGATTCGCATTTATTTGACTTGCAAACAAATAATGTTATCCGTACGTGCGGGTTATATGTAAGATAATGATAATGTATAGCAGTAATATGTATATTATATTGTCAATGTACAACGCATAGTTATATATAGTAAACGAATGTATCCACCCACAACCATTAATAAAAAAAAAAAAGTAATTTCGTCGGCAATCAGCCGATCAGTATAAAACTTTTGTCCATAAAAATATCGTGGAGGCGATAACTATCGGTCTATTTTTTTCTAACATACTGATCAGATTCAAATCTTATATTATAATAGATCTGAAAATTTACTTTCCTATTTCACCTTGTTAACAATTCTAGTAGAAAACCGTGCATTGTCCCTTTCTTGTAGTAGACGGAACATGGTTGCAGTATTTTTTAGTTTTCACAAATTAAACATACAATGGGCCGAAATAAGGTCCATTAAAAGAGGAATGGGCCTAATTACACCCACTCGAGTGAACATACATTTTTGTCGTTTTATGACGAGTCAACTTTTTAGCTTGACTAAAAAACCTAACAGAGAGATAGGCGGAGAAGAGAAGAAGACGGTGAGAAGCCATGGTGTCGCTGAAGCCCCAGATGCGGCTCGCCGCATCCGTAATGAAATGCGGGAAGGGAAAAGTGTGGCTTGATCCCAATGAATCTACCGATGGCCAATTCCAGTACGATTTAGATTCTTTTTCAGCTCTCTTCTTCGATTTTTACTAAATCAGAGCTTGATTGTTTGAGTTTCATTGAAAGTGTGTTTTTTTTTTTTGGTTTGGATTTTTTTTGTGACTGTAATTGGTTAATTCATGAAGTGAGAATGCAACGTCGTTTCTACATTGTGATGTGACAAATTAAAGTATGGTAACAGTCTAATGAAATTGAGGCCGTCTTGAATTCGAGTTTGAGAAGAGCTCGGTTGATTTCTGATAGACTTATATCGTTGTAATATTCTGCATAGAGTTTATATGAATTGTTATGCGATTGAATTTGATTAAGGGTCTATAATGTCAGATGGTCTGTTTGATTTTCAGATAGCTCGCTTATTCTTAACTAGTTTATTCCACAAGCTTAGTTGAGCTATCAAGATTCATCTGTAACAGAGTGGTTGATATTTCTTCTTAATATAGAGGATCATCATCTTTAACAGGGCAGAACATTAGGAAGCTTGTGAAGGATGGTTTCATTATCAGGAAACCCTCCAAGATCCACTCACGTGCTCGTGCAAGGAGATTGAACGATGCCAAGAAAAAGGGTCGTCACTCTGGATATGGTGAAGAGACCGAATGAGATTAATATCTTGTTGTCTCTCTCTCTGGTTTTGGTCTACATTGTCTTCTTTTGTACCACCACTTCTTATGTTTTCTGTCTTGGTTTTTCAGGTAAGAGAAAGGGTACAAGAGAGGCAAGGCTACCAACCAAGATTCTCTGGATGACGAGGATGAGGGTAATGAGGCGTTACCTAACTAAGTGCCGTGAGACGAACAAGATCGACAAGCACATGTACCACGACATGTACATGAAAGTGAAGGGTAACGTGTTCAAGAACAAGCGTGTGCTTATGGAGAGCATACACAAGTCCAAGGCTGAGAAGGCGAGAGAGAAGACACTCTCTGACCAGTTTGAGGCTAAGCGTGCTAAGAACAAAGCTAGCAGGGAGAGAAAGTTTGCCAGAAGGGAGGAACGTTTAGCTCACGGACCTGGAGGTGCAGAGACAGCTATTGTATCTTGTGTTTACTTTCTTCCTCTAGTATAAGATTTCTTTCTTATTTTGTTGGCTTTTTTTTTGTTTTCTTTGAAAATGATTTTGTAGCAGATTCTTTTCTGAAGAAATATTTCTCATGTTTTGGTACCTCACTTTGCTATTTATGAAATTCATCAGTTTTTTTCCCCTCTTCACATTCTGTTTTCTATTTATGAATCCATTGTGTTTTTAACTAGAAAGAAATTGAGCAATATTAATAACACCCCAAATCCAGCAATTGAAAGTTAAATCTATGAACATTATTTTTTTTTTTTAAGAATCAAGCGGTTAACAGTTGGTTTTTTTTATAAATTGTGAGAAAATAATGTAATGTAACATAAACAATTAACAAAAATCCGGTATCGGGACTAACCGTAATTGAGGTCAAAGTCGACGTAGTTCATCTTCACTTTGCTTTCTTCTTCATATACCTGTAAAACAAAAACTAACCCCGTGCCTCTCTCTCTCTCCGACTTTTGAATTTTCCCCTCAGATTTATCTACTCCTCGCTGGATCGTCGAACGATTTGGCGTCTCAGGTTGATCGCTCCTAATTGGAATTCTCGGGGGTATAAGCACCCGAAAGGCGTAAGGATCACGCGACGGGAGAGTCGGAGAAATTTTGGTTTTTTGCTTTGCTAGATCTTGAAATTTTGGGAACGAATTGGGTAATTCGATCGGAGGATGGCGTCTGAGCAGTTGATGTCTCCCGCCAGTGGCGGTGGAGGACGCTACTTTCAGATGCAGCCAGACCAATTCCCTTCGATGGTCTCCTCGCTCTTCTCCTTCGCGCCTGCTCCAACGCAGGAGTCTAATCGTATTTTCGAAGAATTACCCAAGGCAGTTATCGTCTCCGTCTCTCGCCCTGATGCTGGCGATATCAGCCCCGTACTATTGTCTTATACCATTGAGTGCCAATACAAGCAGGCGAGTCCTTCTTCTCTTTTTTTTTTTTTCCTCTCTTCTTAGAATAGTCTAGGTCAGAGTTATGTCGTCGCATAATAGATGCTTGGATCAGAATCTGATTTCAACTGGGGGTATTTAGAATTTCACGGTTACAGGAGAAGACTACCAACTCCTTCGAATTAGTTTTGCTTGGATAGTATTTTTTTTGCTTGATTCATATCCTAGTCATACAAGCAATTTCCATGCGCTTTTGAATTTTCAAGCCTGACTTTTGATCGAAGTAGCAACTCTATTCTTAAGATTCCTAGTTTTTTGGGTTCAAATTAATCGTTAAGATTATATTCATAGACATGCTCTTCAAAATCGTCAAGTTTGACCATTAATTGAGGTTATATGGCTGATATATATCCATCGGAAGGCCAGAAGCGGAAACCCATTTATCAATATATATGGTTCTCTTTACTTTAGTGGAAAGGCTGCTAATTTTAGTGGTGCTTTCGTCTTTTGAATACTTGAAATTCTTGAGTCCTAACTTTATCGCTTTTATGTAACAGTTCAAGTGGCAACTGGTGAAGAAAGCATCTCAAGTATTTTATCTGCATTTTGCATTGAAGAAACGTGCTTTTATTGAAGAAATTCACGAGAAGCAGGAACAGGTTCGTGTTAAAACTTGAAATATCAAGAAATCTTCTATTAGTTTGTGCTTCCCATTGAGGGAACGTATCAGAGGCTTTGCATTAGGCTGTTTCTAAATCGTTTTTCATTGCCTGCTTGATGTTGTATCAAGTTTTGATGTTGTTTTCTTTGGAATATCATATTAAAGGTTAAAGAATGGCTTCAAAATCTAGGAATAGGGGATCATGCACCTGTTTTGCAAGATGAAGATGCTGATGAAGTCCCATTACATCAAGATGAGAGTGCCAAAAATAGGTCAGACTTACGAAATGATTTTTGGCCGGATAAGTTGCTGACGTGGTCTGTTACTCTTCCATCGGATGTCATTATTTCTGACAAGTAGGCTCTTGTTTACAGAGATGTTCCTTCAAGCGCTGCCTTGCCAGTCATTCGCCCCTTGGGAAGACAGCAGTCCATATCAGTTAGAGGAAAGCATGCAATGCAAGAATATCTGAATCATTTTCTAGGCAATCTTGATATTGTCAATTCACGAGAGGTATATTTTTATAATCTATTTCGCTGGGTGGTTCGAATACTTGATCATAGTCAATCCTTTATGTCAAGGGTTGTTCTCTTTTCTATTCTAGCTAGAAATCTGAGTACAGCAAGTGAATGTTGAAGGTTTTTATGTATTTCAAGCTTTTATTCCCATACGCATTGAGCTTCATTCCATTTCTGAGGCTATATGCATGCATAGTTAAATGCTAAATGCCTAATATAGGTTTGCAGGTTTTTGGAGGTGTCGATGTTGTCATTTTCACCAGAGTATGGACCCAAATTGAAAGAAGACTTTATTATGGTAAAACATCTACCAAAGATTTCAAAGAGTGATGAATCTAGTAGATGCTGTGGATGCTGTTGGTTCTGTTGCTGCAATGATAATTGGCAAAAGGTATGAAAGTTGTCATTTTCTTACTCATATTCATGTATTTGTAGATTGCTATGAAAACTGGGTAATCTGGAGCCTCCTATGGCATGACTCGTGAGCTTTGTATATGTGTTCTGTGGTAATCCTAGTCACCCCTCCCATTCTTGCTTTGGCTCCCAACGCGTATGAAAAACTAATATATCAGAAGAAAGTTGATTTCACCTGTACTAGTTATTTTCCTATTGCCAAAATTTGTCACTACTATCACTGGAGAGGTGTTGAGAATCAAAATTGTTTGAATGTTTATTAAGTTTGAAGAACTAAATCGTTTTTCTAAGTCTGCTATAAATCTTTATGTTCGTCGATGTATGTGCTATTGAGACTGCAGTTGTCTCGTCTTACAATTTATTTTTTTTTATATCAGACAATCTTAATCAATATGACAAGATAAGATCGTATCTAAGGTTCTTTTTTTCTCCAGTACAGGTGTGGGGGGTACTAAAGCCGGGTTTTCTCGCCTTATTAGAAGATCCATTTGATGCAAAGCTATTAGATATAATTGTTTTTGATGTTCTACCAGTCTCTAATGGAAATGATGGTGTGGATATATCACTAGCAGTAGAACTGAAGGATCATAATCCTTTGCGGCATGCATTCAAGGTTAGCCTTTGCTGCCCTACTATCTTTAGATTGATTCTGTATTTATGCTTACTCCATCTATATAAACTTTCATAATTTTTTTGTCATATTCCTTGTTTGATGACCTCTGATGTTGTTCTTTTATGCTTTGAAATAGAAATGAAAGTAAACTCTCCTATTTATCTTATGCTTGGGAACTGGACACTAACTAGAGTATCTGTTGCGCTGTGGAAAAGGAAGATTAGGATATCTCTCTTGTTGTCAGTTAAAGTGGGATTCTATAGAATCTTTCTTTGTATAACCTTAATAGTTGAATCATCCTCAGTTTCTTTCCCCTTTTTTGCTGCACAAATTATTCTGGGTTTGGATGTCAACGGGGGGAATCCATGCTTAATAATTTTTGTTAAAAAATCCCAGGTAACATCTGGAAACCGGAGTATAAGAATAAGGGCGAAAAGTAGTGCAAAAGTTAAAGATTGGGTGGCTTCTATTAACGATGCTGCTCTTAGACCTCCTGAGGGTTGGTGCCATCCTCATCGCTTTGGCTCATTTGCTCCCCCGAGGGGTTTGACAGATGATGGAAGTCAGGCCCAGTGGTTCGTAGATGGTGGAGCAGCTTTTGCAGCCATTGCTGCAGCCATTGAAAATGCTAAATCTGAGGTCTGTCACTTTCCATTGCAAGGTCTGGAGACGGATGAATTGTTGAATTTTATATACATCATAAATTTCTGACTTTTCTTGTAGATTTTCATATGTGGCTGGTGGGTGTGCCCAGAACTCTATCTAAGGCGCCCTTTTGAGTCCCATACTTCTTCCAGACTTGATAACTTGTTGGAGAACAAAGCTAAGCAAGGAGTTCAGGTACTAATGACAGACATGCATGTGCTTTAGTTTATAGCTACTTTTTCTGTTGTGAATCGTCATTAGTGAAATGGAGATCTTAGTTGCTAGGTTTAGATTGATGAACACGTTCTTACTTATAGATTTCTTTTTTTTTCCCAATTTTGTCATTGAAGTCTATGGCGGTCTCTTGGTAGCATGCCTTGTTAGACATTGTGTGATCTTGCAAAGAATCTCTGAGGTTATCAAATAAGACATAGTTTTTGTTTATACTTGGTGACGCATTGAAACTGGTAAACAGATATAGTTTGGATGTAATCATTTTTTCCCTCTCCTTTCAACAGTTGCCCTTATTTTTAATGGAACTTTTGCTCAAATTTAGTTTATTCAATGCTTGTTATACTCTGGGATAATCTTGGTAAAATTGATTGCTGACTTCGTTTTTCTTGATTTTTTTATACTCTTAGCCTGGACACGATAAATTCCCATTTTACATAGTATTGACATTTGTGAGTGTGTTTTGTTCAGAATTTTATGTTCCTCTACTCAAGGAGATCGCTCTGCCTTATTTCAACAGTGTTACAGTGTAGAAATGTTAATTGAATGCAGTGTATGGACTTTCAAGTTTTCATTTGTGTAGTACTATCTTTCTTCAGATATACATCCTTCTTTACAAGGAGGTTGCTCTTGCTTTAAAGATCAACAGTGTATATAGCAAACGCAGGCTTCTTGGCATTCATGAGAATGTCAGGGTACTTCGTTATCCTGACCACTTCTCTAGTGGTGTCTACCTCTGGTATGTTATGGTGGACTTTTGCAAAATATCACTCTAATATGTCACAGTACTTTCTCTCTAATTTCTCTTTCTGGATTTGGTATTAGATAACTGTACCTTTATAACTCATATCTGGCCTAATCGGAAAGGATTTTGATCTACCTGTGCATTGTTTTGTAGGTCTCACCATGAAAAACTCGTCATCGTCGATAATCAGGTATGCTTTATTGGAGGGCTGGACTTGTGTTTTGGTCGGTACGACACGTTTGAACATAAAGTAGGAGATAACCCTCCTGTTACATGGCCTGGAAAGGACTATTACAACCCCAGGTAAAAATTATTGTAAAAAGTCAACTTGGCAAATAGAACAGATATTTACATCTATAAATCAACTCTTTATTCGCAATAACCAAATTTGTTAATACTCATCGAAAATCAACAAAATTAGCTTGC